GCCGCTCCAGGTGCTGCCGAGCCCTCTCTGTCCCCCCTGATCAGAGAAGGAACGACCACGGTATTCTAGGAACACCCCCAGAGCCGCCCGCGTGCAGGTCTCAGACAAAGCCCAATATGCATCAAATCGGACCTCTCTACCTCGACCCATCGCCACGGGACTTTCCGTCAAACGGAGTCCAATTCGGAAGCAGTCAGTTGCGCAGGAGATATTTAGGTGCACAAGCGTACGCGCAAACACATGTGCACACCCTCGTCTTCTCCCATCTTGATCCAGTGGAGCGGAGAGACCGATACGACTGGAGACAGGTTCAGATGATGTGTCTGGCCAATGATAACTCTGTCCTCTATCATTGCCCTAAGCCGTCCACCAGGCCTTGCTATCCCGCCGGGTCCGCCAAACTCGTTGCATATCTGCGATGAGTCGCCTTTTCCACCGGGATAGACTTCGTGCTCTAAGCGGGAGGTATCCGCTGTACAACCTGCCTCAACGGCAGGCCCCCTCGACCAGGTTTAGCCCGCGAGTCGACGCGGTTTACTGTATCCACTACAGCTACTTGGAGCCACTGGCGAGAGTTTGCAGAACGTCTGCGATCAGTGGAAAAACCCACCTCCTTTACAGGCCGACTGGTGAGATTCCAAGGCCACAATTCACTAGACGCTGCAATACACCCCTAGTAAACAGACCTAGTAATAAAAATATGAATTACTAGCTGACTATCGCAACTTCATCTAAGTCACATTTCACCGCTTTTTTTTTTTGCAACATATAAGTATGAAAAATATCCAATATTATGAATTTCAATTGACATACATGTTTGTCATAAAATAGATATAAAAGAGTATACATACTTATTTATTTACGTAAATAGATAACAATGGCGGCATTGAATTTAACTTCCTTAATTTTATTCGCCTTCGCAACCCATGCAGTATGCACACAACCAATTGCAGCAGAGATCAACATGGCTCCGTTGCATATAAATGGAAGTATTAGTTGGACAAATTATGTATTGTGCCTTCATTCATAAAGGCTAGCAACTTAACTTCGTAATCGTAAATAAAATTATACATTAAGCGGATCGCTTACGTAATATTTATACTTTTTGTGTTTATTTTGTACAATAATAACAAGACAAAACAGTGCCTACAAGCTCTTTAAAAAAGATACATTGAACGACATAAATGAATTTACATAGCTAAAAGATCTGTTTGAACCATTTTATTATTTAGCAACGTTACCAATGTATAATCATACTACTGTACCAGATGCTTTATTTCTTATAAGACAATATAAAACAGCTGAAAATAATGAAAACGTAGAATTGAATATTACACAATGAATAAAAAAATATGGTTATCCTGTGGAGCAACACGCAGTGCAGACTAGTGACGGGTATATACTCACCATGTTCCGGATACCAAGTGAAGGTCCTGTGGTATTCCTAATGCACGGCGTTTTATGCAGTTCTGATGATTTTGTAACGAGTGAACCTAAAAATGCTTTCGCATACCTGCTCTCTGATGCTGGATACGACGTATGGTTGGGAAACTCTCGAGGAAATAAACATTCCAAACACCATATCAGTTTATCACCAAACTACTCCAAGTTTTGGGACTTTAGCTGGGATGAGATGGAACGGTATGTTTTGCCTGCCATGATTGGTCATATACTAGATATTACAAATAAAACTAATCTTATGTACGTGGGTCATTCACAAGGATCGAGCATTATTTGTATTGTGTTCAGAAAAGCCCGAATATAACAAGAAGATATCATTAATGATAGCTCTATCTGCAGTAGTCTGGATGTCTCAAATAAAAAGCCCTATTGTTAGATTAATAGCACCTTTAGCTCCTAGTGCCAGTGTTATATTGAAAACATTATGTATATATAAATTCGCACCAAGAGATATTCTAACGAATGTTATAACATCCATATTTTGCGGATCACCAGAATTAGCTGTAATTTTTTGTGAAACTTCGGTATTTCAAGCAGCTGGTTTTGATTATAATCAAATAAACGTTACTAATTTGCCTGTTATGTTTGTTCACTATCCTGCTGAATCATCTTTAAAACGATTTTTACATTACGCTCAAGAGGTGGTTTTAGGTAAATTCTGAAGGTGATGACTCGAAAACGCCTCCCAATTATAGTATTGAAAAAGTAACAACACCAGTAGCTATTTTTTACAGTGGTAACGATTGGTTAACGAGCCCTAAAGATATTAAATCTCTTCTTAATAAATTAACAAATGTAATTAAACTTTATGAGGTCAAATTTCATTATTTTAATAATTTCGAATTTTTATATGCAAAAGATGTCAAAACTCTCGTATACAAAGACGTAATCAATTTACTAAGCCAATATTCGGGATCCAATCTAACGAATACCTAATGTAAACCTTTTTTTAAATGCAATATATTTAATAAAGGTATCTAATATAAAACTTAGCGGTGAACTTTTGGATTGTACCTTTTGTACAGATATGATAATATTAAGTACATACTACTACTACAAGATATAAACTGAGCCAAAGGAGCTACTGACCCAATCCACTGAATGCACTTTATTTACTTGTAGGTATATTTAAATATTAATAAATCACAATATGTAGACTAACAGATAATCACACCTTTACATATAGTAATATATTCCAAGTTTCGCCGAATGATAAAAAGTTATAAATTTAAATCAATACTTTTTTATGTAACTAGTATGGCAAACAAACTAACTATAGTAAGTACAGATAGGTAGTAATCATTGCCTATATATATACCTACATCAATGGCACGACTACCATGTTGTCATATCACGCCCGTCGTTCCAATCATGCGTTGCCATTCGGCCGGATTAAAATGCCCTACCTCCGTGCCCTATAATTTCACTGTTGTTCAACAGAAATACATCTTAGGAATCAAACTGCTAGTAGCTGAAATAGGTGACAAATGACTATCTCGGTGAATACCTAAAGATTATTATCTTTAGGTACTCACCGAGCAAGCATTTATAAGCAATCGCAGACATCGTTATTGCAATTCGATTCACAGGAAAACGTAAACTGCCTTCAGTAACAAGTACGATATTTTCAAACACAACAGCAATTAAATCACCTCGCACATTATGCAATTATATTTTGAGCTAACAAAATGTACTATTCGTATGAGAATAAATCATTTTACTCAGATTCAGCATAAACATACGATGTACTTTTTATGACTCTTTTCTATTTAATGCGGTCTATTTTTATTGAATCTTATTAGTTCTTAAATGTAACTAATAGCCAGACCTACATTGTTGTTAAGTCCACTGACAAGCTAACTTCTAAAACTAACTAAGAGACAATAAAATCTTAACAAATTATTTTAAATTTATTTAATGATATCCTATTTTTAATAGTTAAATAAGTACCACTACTTTTTAATTTTCACGGACGAACTAGTGCCTGAAGTTGAGAACGAAAAATTAACAAAGAAGAAAAATTAAGAATTGAAGTTCTATTTAACACAAAAAAATAAATGTCGTCAAGAACTAAACTCAATAAATAGTGTGCAAGATTTCCAAAAAAAACTTTACGTCGACTGCCGAATAAAATCCAGCGTTAACTGATCGGTCTTGATCCTATCCAGTGCCCCGCCAGAGTCAACTGTTAAAGCAGGCAGTAGCAACAAAGATATAATTATCATTCAGAAAAAAAAATTAGATAACTATCAAACTATTAGATAGCTCTATCAGTAAGAAAATACAAACTTTTATAAGACCAGAATTATGTAATCATTATGGATATTGGTGGCTGCCTAATGTGATGGTTGCCTTTTTAGCCACTGCAAGATATAGGTACTTACTATCATTATATATCTATCTCTAAATGGTCATTTGTATTATTTTACTGACGTATGTCTGTTCTATTCAGTGTGCAACAACTGTGTGTGTTTTATCTGTAGCTTAAAAATAAATAAAACCTTGGTTTTATTTATTTCTAAATCAAAAGCAGTGACTCGTTAGTTGAACTATACACGATTTTTATAATTTTATAATTGAATTGGTAAAATAAAGCTGATGTACATCTATTAAATAAAGTCTGAAAGAAGCTGACAGTCCACTTAATAGTAAACAACAATCGGCGCATCTATAAATGAACAGCACTACAAAAATTTTCGTTTTCATAAAAGTGTTTCTATGTATGTGATACCCATGTGTTACTATTCCAGGGGACTAAGGTGTCATGCATCTTATTCTGTAATTTCACTGCATAATCTACACTGTTTACAAAGCAAGCTCCTTGGCGGTCCTAAGGATATAAATGGCGCACTCGCTTGCCTAACGGTATGCGATGGTCAGGTTAGTTAGCAGCCAAATTCACCAGGAATGTAATATGATGGTTTCCAGGAGGTACCGTGTGGAGATCAACATGACATGATACCTTGCTAGCAATGGGGTTATTGATCCACATTACTCTGATTGGCGGTTGAAATAGGTGAAACTGGGGTACAACACGCAGACGACATTTTATAGCCCATCTTTGGTAAACTGCCAAGTTTGTTAGTTTATTAGTGAAATATAGGTAGTTGTTTTAATTGTTAGGCACCTATGTAAGTAGGTAATTTCAGATTCATTTTAAATAATTACAATATTTTGACTTTTAATTCTCACTTCTCACACTAAATAAGGCCAGTAATTGCTGCTATTAGCCTACGCGATAAGATATTCAAGTAGTCATGAAGATAGTCTTCCTAGTTATGTTTACAAATGATATTATTTATTCGAGTCGAGATCATACAGTACGTGAACGGTTGCATAGCTGCTTTTTCCTATATATTAGAATTATATTTTTTTTATACTTTATATGTTACCAAGTACCTACAACAAATTTGAAATTGGCAAGAATTATAGTATACAAATTAGTAGAAAATGTCTGGAACGTCAGTGAGCAACTCTCAGTAAATGTCAATCATCCAGTATGGATATAAAGTTCATTTTAGGTTATCAATAAATGATAACAACAAATATTGTTTCCACATGTAAAAGCTTATTTTAAACAACGACCGAGGCTAGTGTACAGAATATCAAACAAAATGAATGCAAATTTAGTAAATACATGTGTTCTAAACGCATCTCGGAGATATATTGGATTGTCATCACAATTATTGAAGAAACCGGCACGAATACCACTGTGGAATATAAACCTTCAGGTGAGTACATTTGTTTCAATATTATATTTTAGTGTGGCAGGGTCAGAAAGGAAAAGTCTAATTTAGTACGACAAATGAACAAACACGAACAAGGAGTTCACCAGAATTAATTTTTTTATTTTTATATAACTTTACGGCTTTAGATAGCCCTTTACATCCCGTTAGTGTTGCTGAATAAACACTTTCTAGCCCTAAAACAATATAACAATTGTGAGTAATGATTTAATTTTATTAAATTAAGTCAATTCACCAATAAATATACCAAATTCATGTAGGTCTATTAGAGTCACTCAATAAGTTAAATCTACCGTCAGTTCGGAAAATAGTCCGAGCCATGAAGAACTGACAAACTCTGCCCTAGCTCTTTACGAATGCTATTGTACATCATTATTATAATTTTATTATTAAAACTTAGGTTGAGGATGATTACAATGACGATCAGTATAATTCTGATATTAAAGTATGTACATTAATTTTCATTCAATAAAATTAATAAAGATAATTAATTCAGCAGGCGACTTGAAGAGACCAGTCCCTACAAGCAGAGTTTGAATAAGTTTAAGAGATTTATTATAGATTGTACATATCTACTACACTTCATTAATTATACAATGGATAAAGCGTAATAGTACTTTATATGTACCAGCCAACAATGAGTGATACAGAGGACGGTTGTTATTATTACATTTATATATTCTCCTTATTGTATATATTATGACGTGTTTATTATATATTTGAATTTGAACCGAAAACAAACATCCTCTGCATCACTCACTATATTATATATTTATGTAAGAGGCTGGTAGTTAAGCAATAACAGGTTACATCCGCCGGATGTACTACTTTTTGTATGTCATTTAATGTTATATTACCTAGTATAAATTTTCATTTTAAAAATTAATAGACAATTTAAAGATCTATTTCAATTTTTAATTATACTAACTCTGTAACTTAATAATATTTAGGCTAAAAATTACGGGATTTTGCCTCTTTTGAACAAAAACCTTCTGATCTTCTGTTTTCTACTAATATCGTTACATTACATTGATTAGAAGAACTAACTTATCGTCTTATGTCCGTACTTTATAAGGAATATTGCTTAAAAAATGCGTTGCATTTCTACTTAGCTCTATATAGATACGTTAATATTACATAGAGTTTTATAAATTCAAATTCAAATACTTTATAGTTAGTAAATATAAAAATTGCGAATATTTCTGGATGCAGATGTTTGTTACTTTTTTACACAAATACTGGTAGATGGATTCAAATGAAATTTTGGTATACAGGCAAATCACTTGTCACATATTCTATTGATATTCTAATTTACTACTTGCTCATTCCAAGCTCCATTCTATATTCTTATTTGTACCGTCGCTATATTCTAAAAAGATAATTGGCAACACTGGTTGCATTTATAAAAAAAAAGTACCCGCCCTAAAACCTAAAGTTTATTTTAGTTCTTCAAAAGTAAACACGTAAGTTAAAAATGGGAAATGAATAATAGTAATACTTTTTTAGCAGTGTAGTAATTATATAACTTTATTAATAAATTATAACCAAACGCTATACAAACTTAAATAAAATTATATTGATTTAAAATTTGCAAGCCATTCCAATACAGAACAACTCATCCCATGCGCCTGCGCACATTTCTTATTAACCCATAGTAATTATTTACTTCATTTATTTATATAGTAATCGTCTATATATAAGTGCTTTATTATTGCCACTATACTAAATTTGTAAAGTATTACTTATTTATTATCAATAACAGTTCCAATAGATTAAATTGACTGATGTAATATATCTTACAACAGAGTGGAGTTGTTTATTGTTGTTGTCATATGAAGAATAAGTTTTTATTAATGATTATGTTATCTCTAGTTATTGTATCATAGTCAGGTCATTGCTTACATGAACTGTGCAATACTAGCGCTTTATAATTCAGTCTGTATTCTCATATGAAAGGTGTAACTTGTGGACTATAATATAAATTAAATTATTTCAGGATAATACTATAAAAAAATTTACAACCACTACAATGAGTAGCCAACTTCTAAGTGGAAATGTATGGGACATTGACCCTGAACTTTTTGAAATAATTAAAAAAGAAAAGCATCGCCAACAATCTGGTCTTGAGATGATTGCTTCAGAGAACTTTACATCGGTTGCAGTACTACAATGTCTAAGTTCTTGTCTTCATAACAAATATTCTGAGGGCATGCCAAATCAGAGGTATGATATACATTATTTAAATAGGGTTATTATTTAATAACAATAAATATATTCTTAAATGTGCACTAATCATAACACCACATGCTGGGTTTTATTTATTAGTTTTATTTTATTTGTACATTTTCCATGTATTTTTGCTGTACATTTTTACAGGCTAAAATATAGTCGGTAATATTTAAACTATACTATACATATTTTTACTCTATAAAGTTCAATATAATTAACAAATTTTATATAAAATTAATGTAAATTTTTATATAAAATTATGTACATTCATTGAGAGCTTGCTTACAGATATTATGGTGGTAACGAATATATAGATGAAATAGAAATATTGGCACAGAAACGCTGCTTGGAAGCCTACAAACTCAACCCAGAAGAATGGGGTGTCAACGTTCAACCTTATTCAGGTATATTTTTTACTAGCATTTAGCTGTGACATTGTTATAGACACCATCTAATTTCAAATTCGACCAATGCTATTTGCATATTGCATATCTAGTACCACAATTATAAAGTGGACTTTCCAAAATTTGTAATTTTTGAGTTAAGCCAGTATATAAGTGTGTGATATATTCTGAAATATAATAATTTGTAAGAAAAATGGACTAATGCAGTATCAAGCAGTATGCTGTACAGTACCTAGTAATGTAATTTACCTCTAGATGGAAGGGATTGTTAGTAATGGGGACTAGTGCTTGCTAATGCACCATATCAGGTTAATCTCCATAAGGTCCCCTGGAAACCATTGCAATTAAATTCACATGAATTAGCGGAATGAATTGAATGCTTATCCTATCATCCTCAATTGGACCCACCTGTGTAAACCATTAGTGCAAGCGAGTGCTCTATGTTATCTCTTAAAAAAACTATAATAGAAAATACTACTACAATGAAATATAAATTTCCGATATATTATTATTGATTAAAATATATGATTTGAATGTTTATATTGAGTGTTTATTATTGTAATTATAATTTCAGGATCCCCAGCAAACTTTGCTGTCTATACTGGTATTGTGGAGCCACATGGTAGAATTATGGGTTTAGATTTGCCTGATGGTGGTCATCTAACTCACGGCTTCTTCACTCCAACTAAGAAAATATCAGCTACATCAATTTTCTTTGAAAGCATGCCATACAAGGTAATTAATCATAAAAATGAACATAGCATATTAAAAATAGTACTATATTAATAACAGAAATTGAATATGTACCAAGTGATGAGCATCATGATTTTTATTAATATCCTTAGTGATGCTTTCACTACCAGAGATTAAATAGAAATATAGTTTGTATTACTTGAAAGAGATCTTCCTTAGAAACCTATTTTTTTTTATAATTAATGCTACTTTCATGAGTCTTCTGTCATAGCCACTATTCACTTTTATAATTATTTTGTGGAATTAAAAAAATGGTGCTGTTCAAAATTTTATAGGGTAAAGTGGCCTCTTCGTTATGAATGGGCTACACTATTATTTTCGCCAGTTTTGTATCACTCAATATCTTAAGGTGCAGTTTAAAAATGTATATTTCATCAATTGGGTCAAGTAAAACAAATAATATAGTATAAGTTTATAAATAAGTAATATTTAAAAACTTTATGTTATCTTATATTTTATGTTTTACATATCTACTACGTATTTTTATTTTACGTCAATTAATCTATATATAGTTATTTATTTTATTTATTTCATCTCAATGAGTAATACAGTATTATTTGGTAGTAATACTTTATTATCATAAATATGTTTACTTAACAGATAAGGGGCCAAGTCAAGTATTACGTAAGCACTATAGGGGGCGGGGGGTCTTTACTTTGCTTATTTTGGATGACATGGGGGTAGGGGAGTCTGTATGATGATTACGTCATCGGTCGTAATTTACTTTTTTACACGAATGGCAACCCTCACATTGTCTTTGCTAAAAAAACAATACATTAATTGAGAGATGTTTACGTAAGCATGGGTGGAGGGGGTAAGAGCTTTGCTTACTTTTGCTGACAACGGGGGATGGGGGGTAAATAATTGTGATAAATCTGCTTACGTAATACTTGAATAGCCCCTAATGAAGTCACTCACATTTATTTATGAACACACAGTTTATGTTATATACTAGTAATAGAGATATAAAATTATGTATCTTTACATAATATAAGACAAAATCGCCACTGCTGTCTGTCCATTTATATCTTTTAAATTATTGCAACAGATTTTAATGCAATTTACAGCAATAGATCGTGATCACGAGCAATAACTATAAGTATAATACACGCGTGTTATAGTAGAGATCAAGTTGAAAAATTAAAACATTAATAATGAAAAAAGCCGGGACATGTCGCTAGTTTAAATATGATACTTGATAATAATAATGTAACTGCTTTATATAATACAATCATTAATAATAAACTCTGTAAACTATGTTTACATTTAGATTTAATTTATAGTAGAAGAATTCTACTAGATATAGGATATAAAATCCTATATTTAATTAATGTAATTATTTAACGTTTCAAATCTATACAGTGGTCACCATATTACTTTTCATATATCAGAAACCCGAAGATTGCCTGGAAAACCATTACTTAAATGTTTTATGATTACATCAATTAAATACTTCAATGGTATTGCATGCAGTATGCGACATTCATTATATCAGGGGTTATCTATCAAAGTGTAACAGTCAGCTGTTTATTTATATACGTTGATAGGTACTATATAGGTTGTCAACCAGATAAAGTGCAAGTTCTGTAAGCAGACTTCCAGAATCGATATCGTAATTATTTAATGCAATATTTACTACTCATTATACAACAACAAAGATAACTGATTTATCACATTACATACAGTATTTTAATAGATAGATAGTACTCCATAGATGTATCTATTGTCACGTATTAAATTTTAGATGATAAGTAAAATCCGACATAAAAAATAATAATATACCAGTTTTTAATACTATACTTATGTTTTTTACAGGTAGATCCTGTAACTGGCCTTATAGATTATGATAAGCTCGCTGCAACCGCAAAACTATTTAAACCACGACTAATAATAGCTGGAATCAGCTGCTACTCCCGCTGTCTCGACTACAAACGGTTCAGAGAAATCGCCGACGAAAATGGAGCTTATTTACATTCTGATATGGCACATGTATCAGGACTAGTCGCTGCTGGTGCGTATAGTTACCATAGTAATAATAATAATAAGAAGCTAGGATAATTCCTACTGCGTAAGGTATACTATAGTTCCAATCTAAGCCGAGCTTGTCTTATAATAACTGATAGAAATACTTAAATATATAATTTTGTAAATACATAACATATATAGAAAATAGCCTGACTTGCAAACAATTATACTAAGGAATACAAATGTTTGTACCGCGTGAGGAATCGAACCCGCGACCATTGGAAGTAAAGCAGTGTGCTAAATCGGAAGGCGGCCAACAATATTAAAATTAATCCATATTATTATTATTATAAATTCCGATGTGTGTCTGTCTGTCTGTTTGGGATCTTTTCACGGCTGAACGGCTGAATTAATCTTAAGGAAATTTAATATGGACATAGATTGTATCATGAAGATACGGCTTACAAGTCTGTGTGTTAAATTTAGGTTGTATCATATTAACACAAATCGTTAACTGTTGAATACTATTTATTTTTAGTATTGAATCTAATTTATTTATACTTCTAAACTTATTGAAGTCAACAATGTAAAGTCATTTATCAAATTGCATATCTTTTTTCAGGCATTATCCCTAGTCCTTTTGAATATAGCGATGTAGTTTCTACTACTACACACAAGACGTTAAGAGGTCCACGAGCCGGCGTCATATTCTATCGCAAGGGTGTTCGTTCAGTCAAGGCCAATGGAACTAAAGTGATGTATGATCTAGAAAGCAAAATCAACCAAGCTGTATTCCCTGGTTTACAAGGCGGTCCCCACAACCATGCAATAGCAGCAATAGCAACTACTATGAAGCAAGCCACCACGCCTGAGTTTGTTGAATACCAAAAACAGGTAATATTTTCTGTTCTCTGATACAATATACACTATATATCAAATGTACACATTAATAACATATGTATTTAAATAACACTAGTACCACACTCTCTGTACTTCCTTTTATGTATATCATCATATCATTTTTATGTATATCATAAGATGTTTTATTTACCTTTAAGCTATGTGGGATAAATTAAACGGTATGGAAAAAAAATGACATTCACAAGCGGCTTAAATGTTCTACATGAATATATTATTTTGGATTTTATTATGTCACATTTTAAGTGGTAATCGATAAAGAATTTGTGTAATAAAAAGGGGTTAAAAAAGTCACAATCTTCGCGTAAAAATGATGAAATCTAGAAGGGGAATAATTACTAAATCAGATATTTTGTGACGTCACGTTTTAATTTTAATATTAAAAAAACATAAGTTTTTAACTGATAAAGTTTTACAAGTTGTGGCAGAGAAGTGAAGTGGTGGTGAAAATTACTATGAGTGTGACGTAATTTATGAATAGCCTCATATCTATTTAAAGACTAATATTTTATATAATAAGTTATGTTAGCATAATCACATGATTAGTTCATCACGTTTCAAAGTTTTAGTCTTGAGACTGATAAGAAAGTGGTGTTGCAACTACGTCCAACTATGATAGTACATCCTTTTTGAGTGTAATTCTTATTTGTCAGTCACATTTGTGATTCTTTAAAATACTGTAATATAATAATAATAATATAATAAGGATGGTCATACAATTGGTATGACCATCCTTACCTCAAGTGTTTTATGAGGAAAGGATGGTCAGCATTTATCTAAGCTTGTGTTTAATTGAACTAAGAAAGGAATGTTTGGTTATGTCATGCTAATTTAGTTATAATGTACATTAGACATTCACTAATAAGAGAGAACCTGAAATTCTTAGCCTATTTTTGAATTTTTTTTCACAGTATTTTAATATGTATGTTACAGGTCATTAAGAATGCGCAGAGATTATGCGATGGACTCAAGTCCCGTGGATACCACATCGCCACGGGAGGCACCGATGTTCATCTTGTCTTAGTAGACGTTCGTAGCGCCAGCCTCACTGGAGCAACTGCCGAACGTATTCTAGAACTGTGTAGCATTGCGTGTAATAAGAACACAGTACCTGGAGATAAGAGTGCATTGAACCCCAGTGGTATTAGATTAGGTAAGTTTCATTTAGTTTTAAATATTATTCAGTTGCACTTCTTATATTATAAATATGAGTGCCTCTGTTTGTTACTTGATCAAGCTTTAAAAATGGAACTGTTTTTAATTAAATTTATTTCATAATTTTAATCTTATTATATTTTTTATATTATAGGTACTCCTGCTTTAACTACAAGAGGATTGAAAGAAGCCGACATTGATAATGTGGTTAATTACATTGACAAGTCACTACAAATTGCCCAAGCTGCTATAAAGATATCAGGGCCTAAATTAGCAGACTTCAACAAAGTTGTGGTAGAAAATTCGGATATTAAAAATAGAATCATTGCTTTGAGGACAGAAATTGAAAAATACAGTCAATCATTTCCTCTACCTGGCTTAGAAACATTATAAGCGTATTTACAATGATGTTTACAAAAACTTTTATATTCCTATATTACTTTTAACTTTAGTTTTAAATCTCCACTTTATTTAATAAGTTTTACTATATAGATTAAATAAGAGATGTTAATTTTCTTTTAATGTTTTATTTTACCTAAATTTATTCACCATGACTATATCTAGGATAGTGGTGAACTTTAATTACCACCCGCGCTCACGATAGTCTACACGGTAAGCTACGGCAGTTTAAGACACTTTCATACAATGAATAATTTTTAATTGTAATACACCTCCTTCAAGAGAAATTTTTAAATATCTTGTATAAATTGTGATGTGAACAATATAATAACATTTTAATCGGATTATTTTCCAATTTTAGATACATGTTGATGCTTTATTAGTTTTTTTTTATATAAAAATACAGTCTTATGGATGATAATGGTGCACCCTCCTGAGCTAACCGTTTACGCTGGCGGGACACCAATGAAGGATGATAAGATGAGCATGAAGTTAGCTCAGTTAGCGCACCATGAATTTATCACGATAGTATCCAGGGTAAACCATGTAGAGATCAAGCTGACATGGTACATTGCTATCAATGAGGTCTAACGATCTGCTTGCCACCAATACATCGAAGTTATTACCTAAAAATACAATTGCAATTTTAGGACATTACTGGTGTAGCGTTTTAACATACCAATTTACCTTCGATGGTCGCGATTTTAATTCAAACTGTATTCATGATATAGTATGATTAAGAGTCTTGGTGTTTTCAATATACATATTATGTAAGTTTTTAAAAAAACATATTTCATTATTTCTACTACTTGTCTAGTACTCATTAAACAATCACTGCATAGCTTGGTACTAGATGGCGCAGTGCGAATTGTCCGGGATTATTATTATGAATTTGAATTATATAATTATTTAAATTATGATGGATATATGTACATTAGCTCCATATAATCTAATCTTTATAAATATTATATTTCATAAATGACTAATTCTAATCTTCCACAATAGTATTTATTTTATTTATATATAGAACAGTCCCTCGATTTAATAAGAAAATAACTTTTGATAAGTCAGTGAATCAGTCTTTTGATAATGCAGGGCCGGATTAAGCACTACAAGGAATTAATAGGAACTATACAACTTGTATTGCCTAGTACAAGTCGTGTAGCCCCTCCCTATTTAAAAATGTATTCAAAAGAAGTCATTCAATGCTATTTTACATTTATATCATAAAACATCGAAAATTTTAATCATACTATATCATACTTATTGTAATATTGGATAGAAATTGTACTTAAATGTTTTAAATTTTTTTTGCGGTTGCGCGGGACGTACGGATGCGAATATCCTGTCATGAATTGAAATTGAAAAAAACTACGCTTTAGTCATTAAAAAGGATATCGACTCAAGCCATTCTCAAGCATGTACATTACAGTTTATGTTATTGGTTTTGATGCCTTGATTTGTTGTTGACTTGTCAAAATTTTGCTACGTATTTCTTTAGGCCATCTGTGGATTTTACTACAGTCGTTATTATCAGTTCAGATTTTTTTATCTGTGGTGTTTTATACATATGTATATGTTGCTAATTTCATTTATTTTCTTTCTCATATTAATTAATTTTACAACGCAGTTTTAACGACAACATTCTCAAAATTTGCTGTAGTGTTTTTATAGAAGAATATTTTTAAATATTCTTATAAAAACCTTATTTCACCACCGACCTTGTGTAAAAGAACTACGAACAAAATGTATTTTGCTTGACACATTGAAGTAGCAGTGAATTATTTACTTATCTGTTTTGATTAGTGTGTTCTCGATTTGTTGGATGTAAAAATAAATAATATGGATATATCTACAACTAAACGCATAATGTAAAAAGATAAAATCAGAACAAGAGTATGTATACAGATGTGTACACCGAACACCACCTGGAGCTCAGGCGAGTGAAATCACCATGACTATGTACCCTATGTCTGGAATGGTAGCAGCACCACAACAGGCGACTAATCAGGTTGCCCAAAACGGTAGCACCACATTGCCTCGGTCACATCATCAAAGAACAGGTAAATAATGTCTATTATATTTATTCATTGATTTTTTGTTCTGCTGTTATGTATTTGTAATATACACTTGATTATAAAAGAAAAATGTTAAATATTCCACACTCCATATGGATTAGAATCATTACAAAGTATATCAAAATATATAAATAAAACAATGTAATCCTAAAATAACTAATACTTAAATTTTATTTATTCACATCCAACCCATCATACTATATGTAGATTGAAATATCTTTCCAATTAGTGTGAAGACTGTAATGAAAGATATTTTTTTTAATTCACATAATAAATAAATGGTTGTATTCGAACATTATTTTTAAAATATGGACTAAGCATTAAAATATAGATTAAAAATTAAATGTGTGTACCAAATTCATATACTCTTAGTTATTTAAACTAACATTAAAAAAGTGTTATCTGAAACTAATATAATTTATGTCTCTTCTAATAGGGCGACCCCCAGCAGCTCCAAAATCTTATGACTACTTACTTAAAGTTCTACTTGTTGGAGATTCAGATGTAGGCAAACAGGAGATACTGCAAGACTTAGAAGATGGATCTGCTGACTCTCCCTTTTGCAGCGGCAGTGGTAAATATATAATAAATAAAAGACAGCCCTTATTTAATAGTAATAATTCCCTTTGTTGTGCATAAAAAAGTATTTACAAAAAAATCTGATACAACAATATGCTAACAAAAGGTGGCCTTATAATGCCAATATTAATCAATGCAGTCTCTAACAGACAACCTGACTTTATTTTCTTTTTAACAGATTTTTTTAGTTTATTACTACCATCATACAGTCTTGTAAACTATCCTACCCTGAAAATATGCATTACTACTTATAGACTTAAAAAACTAATTTGAATAATATTTTTTAATATATGGAAGTTACTTTGAATATGTGTGTGTTCTCTTACGAGCTTTGTCTTAAATTGCAATTCGGTATTATTACTTCTGGTTTAAATTCTAAGGATGACTTGGATCTGTAATAAAAAATAATTAATAACTCCACCCAAATGATTTACATGTTACTTTATTTAAGATCAGATGAAACGCTGCCATTATTTTTGTTATAGATACTATTGATATGGCATATGTTTATAAAAATGTTCATTGTTCATATTTTTTTATTTTTTTAATTCATATTATAATGGTCAGTAAGTTCTAATTGGCAAGTGGTTCTTAATAGATAAACTTCTACAGAAAATTAAAAGTGTACATTACATATTTTTTATTCTACATTATGCTATTTAGAATTATTACATTTTCTTTTTATTTTCAGCATACAAAACAACAACAATTTTATTAGATGGCAAAAGAGTGAAGCTACAGTTATGGGACACGTCAGGGCAAGGCAGATTCTGTACAATTATTCGTTCATACTCAAGGGGGGCGCAAGGCATTTTATTAGTTTATGACATCACAAATAAGTGGTCTTTTGATAGTATTGACAGATGGCTAGAAGAAGTTGAAAAGGTATTGGATAAGTTGTAATTGACTTTTATTATGAATATTATTTGTGTAACTGCAAAGTAAACAGCCTAATAAAAATCTATTCTGGATTGTACACTATTAAAATAAATGTAATGGTATATTGAAGATACATTGAGATACATACATATAACATTATACAGAAATAACTTGTGTGAATGTTGTTTCTTATTTGGATGGTCTGATATAGTGAGAAACCTTGGCTATAAATAATTAATTACAGTCTTAATTAGAAAACATATGTATCATGACTTGAATTATTAGATATGTTATATCAAACAACATTAGTGCATTCAATAGACTTTAAATAAAGAGTTTTATAAATTTGTTTTTTAGCATGCACCAGGAGTTCCAAAAGTGTTAGTCGGCAACCGATTACATCTAGCATTCAATCGACAAGTACAGGAGCGTGATGCTGAATTATATGCAGCTAAAAATCATATGGCTTTTTTTGAAGTTAGCCCATTGTGCGATTTTAATATTAGGGAAAGTTTCTGTGAACTTTCTAGGATGGCATTACATAGAAATGGCATGGAAAGATTATGGAGAAGCAATAAAGGTTAGCAGTTTTTCATTTACTTTGGTCATTTTGCGAACTTTAATTTTATAATTGTTACTCACTAATTAAACATCGAACATACTGGCTACAAGACTCAACTGGATGTCAGGTCAATCTATTTAAATTTGAAATATTAAGTACATTCCAAATTTAAAGATATATTATTGCTAACACTAATTTTATCTTTAGTGGGTATCAAATATATAGTCATATAGTCTTGTTGGTAAAAGCACAGATAACATAATATTACATACAGATACCCCATCCCATACAAGAAAATGGTTCCTTCCTAACTCGGGCTATTCTTCGGGCTATTTTATTTCGCCACCGTAGCCGCTAGATGTTAGATCTGAAGCAGTTCGGATTACTAGTGGGTGCTTAGTAACAAAGCATGAAAATAGATGGCAGTCAATTCAGTCTACATGACATCTGTTTTGCAAAGATATGTATATAATAGATATGTAGGTAACTGTATCGTGTACCTCATTAGGGACGATTCAAGATTCAATGTAAATGTGTAGGTATAATATCGTTAGCCGACACTCTGCAGATATGGCTTATGTGCCAATGTATATACCTATTATGTTATGGTTTATTTTACATTCCATGCCTATTTTTTTGATATGTTGTAACGCGTCTGCGCTATACGTATAGCCTGATTTTGATACGTTTATACTCGTACGTATCAAAATCGGGCTATACGATTTTTTATTTCAATCGTTATATGTATGAGACTGATTTTAGCTACAATTAATTTACTGGTATATACCTCATGTATTCTACGATGTACCCCTCTTTTACCTAATGAGAATTCCGCTATATCTTATATATAAATTTTGTATCACAGTGTTAGTTGCCATATTTCTCCCACATTTTGATGAAATTTGATATGTATACTTGCCAGGTCTGAGGTAGGGTTGTTATCTATTTTTTATACCCCTAAGTCATAGGGGTGGCCTACCCCGAAAAAATATTTTTTTGTATTATGGACAATTTTTTATTTATTTATAATGTTACATTGAAAATACATACACGCCTAAATTTTCACCCGTCTTTCACCAACCCCTATTTTTAATAGCGATATTCTTACAAATGTCTCGCTTTCACGCCAAAACTACTGAACTGATTTAATTGAAATTTGGTAGACAGATAATGTAGACCCTGAGAAAGGCTACTTTTTAATGCGAAAAAGTATTGAAAGGGGAAATGAAAGGCTATATGAGGATATCGTAATTTTTAAAGTCAGATCTTGTAAGATTAAGTGAACAGGGTCGGTCTAGGTTTTTCATTATTAGAAATGTGTAACGGGGTAACACGTTATTTAGTGCGAAATTGTGTATATTACAATAAAATTTAACGAGAAAATATTACAATGATGTCACTGGGACACTCATTGCCTTACTACTATATCGTCCGTTAGTCGCGAACTTTCTGGAAACACGAGAGGCGCGCTCCTATTGGTCGGTCGGCGCGGTTACCGCGCGTAGATGAGTAGATGAGGTAGATGAGTCTTAGTACTTACTACATATACATACGTAGTATACATATGGGTGTTACAAATGTTTTTATTACGAGTAATATTACTCTGTTATCTAAGCAAGTAATGTGTGCTTATTTTGAACTTGATAACATTCTGAATTACTCGTATATCTTTCAATATCTTTAGCGGTATAAACCAGGTTATGTACTACTACTAGTATTGTTAGTGAGGGATAAAGTTGATGAACAAAAATAAAACAATATTCGTATTAAAAATATATTCATCTAATATTTTTGGCATTATTTTTAAGTTTCTTCCAAATACAAGGGGTCTGACATGGGGTGTTATGTACCTACATTAAAAGATACTTTTTGAAATGTATGAAATGTATGTACCTACATTAAAAGATAATTTTTGACATGTATGAAATGTATGAAAGAAATGTATGTACCTACATTAAAATATAATTTTTGAAATGTATGAAAGTAATGTATGTACCTACATTAAAAGATAATTTTTGACATGTATGCAATGTATGTACCTACATTAAAATATAATTTGTATGAAATGTATGAAAGAAATGTATGTATGTACCTACATTAGAAGATAATTTTTGACATGTATGAAATGTATGTACCTACATTAAAATATAATTTTTGAAATGCATGAGATGTATGAAAAAAATGTAGGTACCTACATAAAAAGTTCATTTTTGAAATGTATGAAATGTATGAAAGAAATGTATGTACCTACATTAAAAGATAATTTTTGACATGTATGAAATGTATGAAAGAAATGTATGTACCTACATTAAAAGATAATTTTTGACATGTATGAAATGTATGAAAGAAATGTATGTACCTACATTAAAATATAATTTTTGAAATGTATGAAAGTAATGTATGTACCTACATTAAAATATAATTTTTGAAATGTATGCACCGTACAATAACAATACACGTTAAACATTATACCATAGAGTCATACGCAAGTTAAAAACAAACTGCTATGATATTAATGAGAAAGAAAATCAACTTTATGGTATTCGAGTTAGGGTCGATTTCTCTCTTTTTTTTAAATACTATTTTAATCTTACCAGTTGCCAGTATTCGAAGACAGCTACGATTCGTACTCGATATTTTAAATTATTATTTAATCGATTTTTCAGTACAAATGTAAATAACCAACGACACTAATAATGTACTACTATATTCCGTTCTTTGAAACGGAACACTGCTATAATACAAAATAATGAAAATTTACTGTTCACAACGACTCATTAAAAGCATCATCGAATAATGCGCTGTAATAAAATCCTGTTATCGATTATTCAAAAAAATCGATAATACATGTATTTATTTTTAATATGACAACACTTTAGTATTACATGCTTGTTCGGCTATTTTTAATTTACTTAAAAATTTTTTATATGTTTAATTTACAATAATAATATATTAAGTGCTTCTTATTGGAAAATATAAAAAAGACATTTAATTAGGCCGATACAAATGACGACAATGCCATCTATGAAAGCATTTTGAAAACATTGAGCCCCATATTAGCACTGATTAAAGTGTAATTAAGTACTGGAAAATAACAAAATGAGTAAATATATGAAAATTACTTTTCTAAACGCATTATTTCATTTTAACATGTATATATAACTTTTTAAAAATTGATTAAACATTTTTGAAAACACAGTTTTGTTTTTTAAAACGTTTGCAAAACTATGAAGAATTCCATCGATACCAATCACGCCATCTATATGCAACTTTTAGCAATAATAATGGCTACTTCCTCATTGAGTGCCACTGGTAAAAGCCTGCACAGTATGAACACTTGTGAAATTACAGCACAGCAGAAGCACAACTCTTTCGTCACCTAGCTTTGTGACGTTAATATGTATGTGATACTACCTATGATTGGGTAGTATCATGTTCACTGAAATATCTCATCCTACAAACCTCCAGCAAGCAAGCAGTTGCAGTTGAATTTCTATTTGAGACACAATTTTATGAGACACAATTTTAACCAAGTCAAAAATATAATTAACGGCTATTTAGTCATTTTTAAACTTAATCAATTTGATTAAGGAGATTTGACGTAAATTTCCAAATGTTATCAGTAAACCATTTTTTATGAAAGTGCAATTAGAAAACCTAGACTTAAATGACATTATTTGTAACACACAGTTTCTTTTTCATATACAGTACTTAGCCTCCAAGAGTTATGTTGTCGTGCTATCGTTGCCCGTACGTCTGTGTACGGGCTGGAACGGCTGCCGCTGCCGACAACGCTGAAGTGCCACCTGAAGTCGTACGCGATCTCTGCGGCGCCAAGTAGGCATCGGGCGCGGACCACCAAACATCCGCACCACGCGCGCCTCAACTGCACCGGAAATCGCAACATGTGCACCATCGCTTGAAGACACATCCTGTGATCGTGACATGTGTGACCACTGAACATTAACACGGTTCGAATCTACGACAGATGTGCATTCGTAATGTCAATAACACGATTCAACTGATGACTATTTCGAATCTGGGATGACTTGTAATCTGAGGACTGAATCAGATATCAATGCATATCTCAAAGCGTTATATGACATTTTTGTACAAAATATTTTTTCCATACTAAATCTTTGATATTTATACGACTTTGGTTATATGTACAAACTTTCTGACTGCCAGTAGTATATTTATACACATGTAAATGTTTCATTCACACTTTGATGGGCCGATGAATTTATAAGAACCATTTTTATTTCCACAGCCTCCCAGAAATGAAAGAAAAAATAAAGTACTATGATCTTAATATTTGTATAATTACTCATATTCACGTTCGGATTCACAAATTTATAGATCAGGTTCAATGCTTATATATTTATGTCTTCACACATCCATGAAATATATCCATAATATATCCATAATATATAATATGTAGATGGGACCGGGGATACATTATTGTAGTATTGCGCGAAGCGTTAATTTATCTTCAATATATTAACATTAATTGCATTGGATTATATTATTGAATAATATAGCAGTATTTATTTTTTTGTTTTAATCGATCATTTTAGCTGTACTTAATTAATGAAAATGTCATTCATTATTTTCACATGTGTGTAAATATGTTATGCAATACATACAATTATAGTAGTTATCCACATAATTATGAAATATTAATTAAATAAGTTGGAATATTCCTAACACAAAAGCAGGCTGTAACTAACAACGGATTTGTGACTAGATAATAGGGACACTAGATTAGATATTGTTACTTAACAAATATGTGAATATAAGTGTTATTTAATTATAATAATGTGAATATTTTTTAGTACGGCGAGAAGGCCATTTATTTGTCCATCTATATTGTACGAAACTATCTTAAAATTGTACTAATATTATTATTACGTGCCTAGCTATATGAATAGTAATCTGGTGATAAATACAACAGGTCATAAGTGCCATGATTTTTCTGGTGCATTGAATCACTGTATTTATGCTTTTCCACTTGTATAATTATATTAACAATTAAGTATGTAACCATTTAACACAAGTATATAACCACTTAATCCTTGTATATGTGAAAGTTTGTATATTTGTTCCTTATTAGCATAAAAACTGTTTAAAAGTTTTGTATTTATTTTTGCGCTCAGATTATGTCAGCTTACCTTATTAGAACATCATTAATACCGCCAATTTCTCCCCGTGCCGCGATACAAACCATAATGGAAACCCACGTAACCAAAGTCGCAAACTAATATTTATAGTGTAAACTCTGTATTTAATTTATACATTATTACTTTGCTGGATAAATTTCTAAGGTAAAACTACTCTCAATCACTTGTATCTATTTACATTAATAAGTACAATTGAGCCAATTAACATAATATCGGAGTTCACATAACTCACATGCTAATTTGTGTAAATTTAGCATGTGAGTTATGCTGTTACACTTATTTGTCCATTATAATAAGTATGTAATATTCATATTGTATGTAATATAATATTCATATAAAGTAATTGTACATATTTTGTCTAAATTTATAAATATTGTGCAAAGTTAATTGTGTACTAAAAATTCGTAACTATAAGAACGTCGATATAATATGGTGACTATTTTCTGAAACATTATTTACGGAGTAACATGATATAATTTCGTATGTTACTATGTGGTTCTTTATTATTCCGTGTCTATTCAAAGTTCAGTTTCTTATTAAAGATGTCAAACTATTTTTGGCATTTGAATACTTTAACTCGTGTCTCTTAATAAGACTAATTATAAAGTTATTAAAAGTAATTTTAATTGTATTATTAGGGTTATTGCAGATATGTACTTCACAGCATAAACCAGCATAAAAAATTAAGCTGACCCGTGGCGTTGGTAAAGTGTAAAATCAGTAAAAAATCTAGAAACATGCCCAAACTATTGACGAAGTATTTAAGTCACCACAAGTACTAAATTTCGCAATATATTAACCGTAATGAGGATACTACATTATTACATATACCTACTCGTATGATTCAAAACCATTGCCTAAAAACATAAAGAAGCGTCAATCGGCGTTTATAAATTCACAGCAACAATGTGGCTTAATTAATTAAAAGCCATCAATAATGAATTCATCGCTACACCCTGGAACTTAAGTGAACAGTGCGATTTCAGATGAGCTTGCTCCCGCATACACTTAGATTGTGGAATGAATTACCTGCCGAGGTTTTCTCTAGAAATACAGGATAGCCTACAGTAACCGTTTGCCATCAGATGACACGTATGCTAGTTTGCCACCATCGTGGTATAAAAAAAATTACTTCGTCGTATTATATCAAACTATCCTGATTGCTACAATCCGTCCCTAAAACTAGCAAACCCAAACATCAATTGATTAATATATTTATTTATAACGGCTAATCATCTGACATTTATCAATTATAACCAAATGATATCAATATTTTATATTATAATAAAACAATCACAACTTTGTATTTATAATTATTTTTCCTTATTTGGTTCGTATATTATAAAATTGCATGAACTTATCAGTTTCTTTATGTTATGAAAATATATTCCAATTTTATACTTATTCTATTCGACATATTACAAATTTAGAATCTAAACGTCTTTAGCTGAATTACCTCTTTAGCTAGAATAGACGATATATTATTTTTTTAATAAATACATGTATAAATATAGAATATTTTATTACTTTAAAAATTAACTGTATTGTAGTCAAAACAAATACTTGTATACTATTCTAAAGACAGGTCGTTAATGTTTGACGCGTGCACAATTACACCAACCGAAGTTATTGTATATAGTGTATTTATCAATTACTTATGTTCGTATTTTTGTGATAGTTTTAGTTTCTATAAATCCAAATACACTAATGCAAGCTATAAGTTTGGGTTAGATGATACAGTCATAATGTTATTTCTGCTATTATTATTGTAAGTTGTGAAATAAAACTAATTTATAATTAAACAATGTCGTTTATATATCCCATGTAAACTATTACAATATACTGTATATTTTGAATTAAGATAATAATTAGAATAATATACTATATATATATATATACTCTTCAATATATATATAACTAAAAGATAAAAAGAATTCGACAATAGCAATATTTTGTTTAATAATATATAATAATAAACACTTCTCAGAGACTCAGAGTGACACCCTAAAGGAATCCCTAGCGTATCCTGAAGTGATGAGTCAGTTCATGTTATCATATGCTAAGAAAATAAGCCATCGCTACGCATACGGTAGTAAGAAAGCATGTGTGCTGGAATAATAAATTCAATTATTTTTGGTATTTAATATTTTATTGTCGTGCTATTATTTAATTCAACTTTACATATATTTCATTATTATCTCCTTTCCATTTGTTTTTTATAGAACTTTATTGTAAATAACGAAGAACGTACTCGTTCAAGTATTGTCTGTTATGTCCATTCTAGCCATCGTATGAATGACCACAGACACCGTAGTCGAATTTTCGCTCATAATGGCAAGCTAAAGACGGGGTCGTTTATTTTAAATAAATGATTGTAATATTACAATAGAACACAATGATATACAATAAATAAATAAAAAACTGACACTTAAGTAGCGAACACTGTCGGTTGTGTTTTCTTAAATTCATGCGCCGCGCGCTTGCTCGAAACGCATTCTCCGCATGTATAACAAAAAATAATCAATAGTAAATAACATGCGCGTATACCACCTTGAGTTGAAGTATATTTCATTGGTTTTTATATTTAAACAATGTTTTTAATTCTCAGTGTTGATTGTATAGTGGTATAATAAACGCAAATGTTTGATAGAACAAAGCAATGTAAACTTTCACATAAAATGATGATTCGTCTAAACAATTTTTTGTACGTTTTCAATTTACGTCAAGGCACAATTCTTATAGCCGTCCATCAAATAGTAAGTAGACAATTTCATATTTTGTTCTACCCAAAGAAATACTGACTTTCAGTATTTTTTCATGAAAAAGTATTTTTATTAACGCATAAACAGGAATTCCGTAACAGACAAGCATAACAGTGTACATGACAAGATATAAACAATCATCAAAATTGAACATATTGCTGTTCACGATATTGGGGAAAAATAAAAACTCCAATTAGAATTGAAAACCTCTTCGTCTGTCTGTTGTAAACGGCCCTCAGTCGTAATAGTAAAATAGAACCTAAGACAACCACACCAGTGTAAAGCCAGCCAATTTATAAAAGCATTAAATCTCTTAAGCAACACCTACCTAAAAAACATTAAATAACTAATTCGAGAGCTATCTGAAGTCTGATAATTTTTTTTCTATTATGTATCATATATAAATTAGAATAATTAAAAATATATATTAAAATACTTAAAAATATATATGCTGTATTAATTTATTCAGGCACTATCTTCGTTCGTGTTGATAATATTACTCGTTGGTATATCTCATGTCGGTGAGATGCTATCAATGCTACACAATGATATGGAAGATGATGCAGAGAGGAGAGGGTTCTATGAGGTAGCCGCCTATGGAGAACAGTTGACTTTCCACGAAGGAGACGTAATCAGTACTAACAACCAACGAAGGTTTGCTAAGGCGCAACATCTGGCATCAGGTAGATTTAAATATTTATATTAAGTATAATAATGATATTTAAATAGTTATTTTATAGTTTCTAATATATAAAAATCCAGTTCGGCAGTGTTCGTTATCAAACTCCTTTGAAAAGGCTCCCTTGTTACAATACGATACAATACATGAAATAAAAAATGATACAATACGTGATAAGGGTGGCCATTCCAAGAAATATTTATATAGAGAAGCAAAATTTGCTGAGTCAGCTAGTATTTTAGTACACTTTTATGGATAATGTAATGGTGCACCCGCATGCGCTAACGGTAGACATGTTTAATACCCATAATACAAACGCTGGTTAGCTTAGGACTAGATGGCAATGTGTGAATTGGCAAGGGTTACTATTATTATTTATATTAAACATATTTATGGCCTGATGGAAGAAATTACCGCACTATACTATCGAAACTAGATGTGTCACGTGACTCAGTTGCAGACTGTAAAGAAACCTCTTGTTTAAAGATCCCTATGCTATATATATTTTCTACATTACAGTAACGGTGATATTCTTGTACACTAGTACGATACTGACGTCCATATACCTGATGTGCTGCATTTCGCTGCTTCACGGCGCTGTTAAGTACAAGCGGGAGTACGTGGTGCCGTGGATAATGGCCGCGTGCGTGGGTGTTGGACTACTCATTGTCGCCATAGTTATTGGTGATGGATACCCATGTGTTATCAACCTCTTTGGGGGGCATAATCTTTATCGTAAGTCTTACTGACCCACTGGCCACATATTTTCATATATTGTATTTTTTATTATTAAGAATATTATTTGTTTAGGTACAGGATAGTCTATTGTATAAGGTAGCCAAAGACTTATTTTGTTCTGTGGTTAAACTTATATATTTAAGATAAAAAATAGCTGGTTGAAGTGCTGTGTATTATAGGTACGTCAGCTGTTATTTTTTTTATTTATTTGTCTATAGTCTAAAAAAAACCTTAGTAACATCAGTGCAATACCACCATATTAGATAGGTACTTTGTTACACCAACATTGATAAAAAATATCATACAACGGTCGGTTCTATTACTAATACAATATCGCATATTATAAAACCGTTATAAGGGGAGTAGGCAGAAACGCACTAAGAACTATTTGGCGCATATGTGAAATTAAATAATCTTATACGTACACTTATATGTATTAGCACAGATAACATAATATGTATTATACCTAAATAATTCCTAATATTTATATTGTAATTAACTTTCAGATTTCGGATGTGCGCTTTTCGTTTTGACATTCATTTACGCAATTTGCGCGGTGAGTAGCTTCGCGCTGGAGACCGGCGGCAGATGTCGCGCCGCGCGTGCCACAAGCGACGAGAGAGGAGAGAGACTGCTACTGCTGGACCACGTAGCCCACTCTAGCCTGCTCTCTGCCGCCCAACTGAATAAACTGTCCCACGGCACGCGGTCACAATTCGTTTAAGTCGGACTTCTTAGTTACAAATGCCTAATACTACACTTTTGCCTTCCGTCCGGCGAAATATTTATTTGCAAAATACTCATCGTTTCAGCCTGTTTTCGAAATATCAATAATATACTGGACGTACTGTTTAAATTTTATTCGAGCACTTAAAATTATTACGAATTGTAAACAACTAACAAACATGATGATATTCACATCAAAGGTCATAAATTACATAAAATGTTATGATATAATAGTTCAACAATTTAAAAATATATATATCATTCAAGTACTAGCGTCAACTACGGCAAATTGACTGTTGAGAAGCAAATTCTCTCCAGATTACTGCTATGCATTCGTAGATGTACCTACGTCTATTATTCTAATAATAATATTCTATGTAAAAACTCCAAAACAACCCGTTATTTGTGGTAAAGTCAATTATGTATAAAAGTTCACAAAAAATATTCTTTACACTAGTAACGAATATTTTTTGTGAACTTTTGCTAAATTAATTATATTTTATACAGAAAACATGGAACCATACTCGATGGACATATTTTTATATTATTATCGATAATTTGTACATTACATTACATTATATTCGTTGATTGTGTCATTTAAACAGGCTACATAATTATGTATTTAGATTAGGTATTAAACAGCTATGAATATTTTTAAATTACTTATAAATATGAATCTGTAAAATCAATTGAAATTGTGAACATGACAAGATTTTTCATATATTATAAAAAAATATTGTCCATAATAATACGCTATTGGATTAACATTATGCCTTTTAATTTGCTGTATTGATAAGCTAAGGTGGCTACAAGCATTTTATTATAATTTAGTGGCTTTTAGTGCCAATAGCGTTTAGTGAGTTTTTATTATACAAAATAACAAAAGAAATCATATACATTATTTTATGATTGTCACGTCCATATATTTAGTGCTTTAAACGCTTAGCCAAGGCGTATTGTAATATACTTTGGTTTTTTAAAATATAAATAACAATAATGTTTCGTTAATAGTACAAAGGAATTTAAATTATGTACATAATAAAATAAGTATGCTGTTATCACTTGTAGTTTAATTTATCTTTTACTTATATAGTAATTCAATTTAATTACTTATATAATATTTAAAACAAACATTTAAGTATTCAGTTCTTGCAAGTAGGTGAAATAATGATCACCTCAGTAATTTGTAAGCAACAAACAAATCAACAGAGGGTCAACAGTTTATGTAACAATCTCTTCATACCTCTTGATTTGTTTGTGGTACTTTTTGTGGATGATATAGGGTAGAAATCCCAATGAGAAGATAGAGGGGCCAGGGACCCGGACGTGACCTCTGTGTCAAAATAAATAATATATAGAAAATATTTGTGCACTTGACTAGGTAACAGAAGTGGGGATCACATTAACCAAAACCACATCTATCTGTCGATGTGATGCAGCATAGATACTAGAACACATGAAAAACTAATTTAAGAGTTATTTATCAATCTTCACTTAGTACTTACTACAAGATATTATGATTGCCAAAATAAGAATATATTATATTTTACAGAATATGTTTCTTTATTTCTTACAAAAGTACAAATTAAATTATAATTAGAATGAAACAATATATATATTGTTTCATTCTAATTATAATTTAATGACAAGATGGTTGATGGCACTAGTGTATATTAATTTATAAGATGCTAATAATGATGCAATTTACATATACACCTTTATTTAAACTGGAAGACATGTGATTAATTATAAATTTAAAACAAGTAGCATAAAAAATTGTTTTTATCCCCACCTTCCTTTTTCTAACGGCCTTTGAATGCCTCTAAAACCTCTAGCAAGTATATATTTTTCAGAAGAATCAGACCTACTTGCTTTTGGTTTTAAAATTTTGATATTTTTATAAAATCTTTCTAAGTCCATTTCTAATATAGGAACTTCTTTTCCATCCCATACTTTAAATAAAAGGTTTCCATCTATTTTTGTCACAAGTGCAGCAAATCTAATAGCCATGTAACAGAGTCCAATTATTTTATCTTTGTCTAACTCTTTTACACCAGTGGCACTGGGAGCCATGTCGGATAACACCAAATCAACTTTTTTGCCACCAAGAACATCAATCACTTTATCATGAGCCTCAATTGTAGAAAAATCTATGTTGTTCATTATAGTTGCACCCTGTAAGGAATTTTTTATACTTAGTATAACAATACAATTTGACACATCAGGTTTACACAAAAGGTACATTATGTTTCTAGAGGTTTAGTGTGAGACTAAAATGTACTTTAAACAACTGATTAATACAGTTAACAAATAGAAACAAAATTAGATACAATAAGTAAAAGAATAATAACCTCAATGGGGAATGTCTGTAGTTTGTCAATAGAAATAACCATTCCTTTCGGCTTCTTTTTATCAATACCATCTGCATTTGTTTTTTGAACTGCAACTTGTGTCCAGGAGCCAGGCGATGCTCCAAGATCAATAACAAACATACCAGGAGTCAAAATATTGGTTTTTTCATTCATCTCTAATAGTTTGAATGCACTGCGACATCTGAAAATATTAAAGAAGTAACAACAAGCTGTTATTGCTATTTATTAATTTATCTAAATATATACATAATACCTTTAGTAAGAGTAATTATTTTCCCTTAAATAATAGTATTCTTATTGGTATTTAAGTGTTTAATTTTTAGTTCCTTATTTGCTGTCCAAAAGACCCAAGATTCTTCTAAAAATCTATTGTATGTTTAATTTACATGTATTATATACAGTTATAATTATATACAATGTTGTACAAAATTAAATAAGTAATTTTAAATACCTGTAGTTATAAATTTTTGCTTTTTCTACATATGGATCTGCTTTTTGGCGACTTAACCACTGCTGAGAACTTTTCAGTTTTTTGAGGCAATTGACCACAAAACACATTCTTGTGTAGTTTAGAGATTCCAGATGCACCTTTCGCAGTGATAACATGGTTTACTGTAAGTTCATATGGAATAAAATTAAATTAAAAAGTTTGGACAAGAAATATAGAAATGTACTGAAAGAGAAATAGCTATACAGTTGAAAGAAAAATAATACAAATAATTTCATTTTTTCCCTTACTCTTTATTATGCTTCAATTGAATATCATTTTGCACCACAGCCAGAAAAAAATATTTAAAAATTGATAAGATTAAGATCTTCAATTTCCGTCCTAAGTTTCAATTTTCTTTTTTGATTACTGTTTTATTATATTTACAATTTTACTATACATAATATGTGTATATTTAAAATTTCTTTTAGATTTTAGTATGAAGTTATTTTTATATTTTTTTTCCAGTATACTGTAACATGATAAATTATATTTTGAGTAACAAATAAATAACACCAATAACTATATTAATAAATAGTGTGTAGGTAAATTCTACAATAATTATTTTTAATAATTACGTGAAATTAATATTATAACACAAATAAAATAAAAATAAATCGACTCGTATATAACACTTTGATTTTTTTTTTTTTTGGTTCTGTTTTTCCCTTTTTAGGGAAAGGCAAAAGGACTCAGCCCATACAGCCATTGTCTTCAGTAATATTTTCGTATTTTTTTTTTTTTTCTAATACTTGTCTTCAGTAGTTATATATCTTGAAATGTTGTTATTACGTACTCGAAAATGGGTTTGTATGTTTCTGTGTTCTTTAATAAATTCTGGATGGAGCGCGGGATCTCCATTTTATCATATATATTGATCAATTTATCAATAAATATTAATCGCTGGATTGCGAAATGTTGACATTCAAAAAACAAGTGATCTAATGATTGATCTTCGTCGGCAGAACAATAATCACATATAGGAGACGAAACCATTTTCATCCTATGCAAATGCTTTTTATATCTTCCATGTCCAATTCTAAGACGACATAAAATTGAATAAAATTTTCTTTCCACATATTTTCCTTGAACGAACCATGGCGTTTTAAATTCTTGCTGTATTTCTCTGAACCATTTCCCTTTAACTTTTATAGATTCTTCCCACTGTTGTTTCCATTTAGTTTTAATTGTTTTTCTTATTTCAACGATAAAATCTGAAGCTGGGATTAACATGTATTTTTCTTTTCCTTGAATTTGACAGTTTGTGATGAACCTAGCCAGTTCATCAGCTTTTTCGTTGCCAGTGACATCAACGTGAGCTGGAGTCCAGACAAGATTAATATCCATATTAAGCCGTTTTTTAAAATCATATATTTTCCTTTGAATATTTTGTATAACGAAAGATGTTTTACTAGAAGAAACATTCGCAAGGGCCAACAAGACACTCATGCTGTCCGTTAATATGACCCATTTATCATTATTGTTTGTTTCACCAATATAGTCTAGCGCTGAGATAATAGCGTAAGCTTCAGCAGTAAATATGCTCGATTTATTCGATATTTTTGTACCGAATGATATTTTTTCCTTGGCATCATAAACAGCAATAGCCGTGCAGTCTTTATTTTTAGCACCATCCGTATACATATGCCTATAATTGTTCCATTGAGATATGTAATCATAGACATCATATTTATTATGTAAATTCTTATTTATAAAAATGGGGGTTTTAAAAAAATTACAATCATATGAATTGCTATTGTGAACTAATTTCTGATTAATAAATATGTTGGAGTTATGTAGACTTTTAATAATTTCAGTTATATTATTAGAGAGGAAATTATTAGGAGAGGATGGATTTTTTAATTTATGTAATAATTGGTTATCATGAACAGAATAAAGTTTCAGTAAAAACATAAGTTTTAGCAATTCAAAACGTAACGGCAATGGGGGTATATTACATTCAACTTGCAACGAATTTATTGGTGATGTGCTCATGGCTCCCAAAATTAATCTTAAATTTATATTTTGGAGTTTTTCTAATTTATCAACATATTTTTCTTTGTTACAAAAACAGAAGAACGCATATTCAAAATGCGTTCGAACCAGCGACTTGTAAAGAATTAACAGAATTTTAGGGTCTGCTCCCCAAGTAGTGCCGACCAAAGATCTGAGAATATTAGTGGACATCATGGCTCTATCTGATACACAATCGACATATTTTTTAAAACTTAAATTATTTTGAAATATTACACCTAAAAATTTTGCTTCTGGCTCTACTGGAATAATAGCGCTCATATATTTCACCTGACTAGATGAGTCTATATTTAAATTGTTATTACTAAACACTACCATTTTGCTTTTAGAAGGACTGATTTCCAAATTTACATAAGAAAAATATACTGAAAGATTACTAAGAGCAATATTGATTTTGGATAATGTATCCACAATATTGTCACCATAACAATATACAGCTAAGTCGTCAGCAAATTGGAGATTATGGACATAAGGCCCTAAAGCATCATTAATTCTATGAACATAAATAATATATAATAAAGGACTAAGTATACCACCTTGTGATACTCCTACATGAGATAAGCGAGGACCTATACATGAAACATTACTAACTTTAACGTATAATTTTCGACCATTCATAAAATTATATAACCATATTGCTAGTTTATTTGAAACTCCGACAGAAATTAAGATATCTGCCAAAATCTTCGGATTTACATTATTGAATGCACCCACTATATCCAGAAAAATTGCTACCAAATGTTGATTATTTTCTAAAGCTTTCTTAATATCGATATAAAAATGCCCTAAGCTTTCCCGAGCTGAAAATCCTCGTCTGAATCCAAATTGATTCGACGGCAATAGATTTTGAGACTCGAAATAAAACTCTAGTCTTTGTTTAAGCAATTGTTCAAAAACTTTTCCTATACACGATGTTAATGTAATGGGCCGATAAGAATCAGCAACATATAAATTTTTATTAGGCTTTAACACAGGAATAAGATAATCTGTTTTCCATTCTTTTGGAATTATAGAGTTATACCATAATAAATTTATAATAATTAAGAAGGTATTTAAATTGTTACCATTTAATGCTTTCAACATTTTGTATGAAATATTATCCAACCCAACTGCTGTGTCCCTTCTTGATTTTAATGCTGATTGAAGCTCTGCTAATTTGAAAGGTTTATCAAAGAAAATATCTTTAGCTTTATCAGAATTGTTAGGAACTGTTGTAAAAGGGCTCGCAACGTAATCTGGAGTATATTTGTGTAAAAATTCATTTAACCACATATCATCGTTACCTGAGTTGTAAGTGCGAGGTTTATTTATATATTTCTTATTAAATTTTCGAACTTTTGTCCAAACATTAGATATAGAAGTGGTTCTGTTTAAATTAGAACAGTATTCATGCCAACTTTGTAAACGCACAGTTTTAATAGTAAGTTTTTTTTCCGCTTGCAATCTTTTAAACTTAATATAATTATCTGTGGTAGGATCATATTTAAAATCTATATATGCTTGTTTACTTTTACGAACAGCTGTTGCACAAGTGTCATTCCACCATGGTACTGGAGGATGCTTATATTTTGATAGTTTAGAATTGCTAGAAGAATTACAATTGTATTGTTTTTGATGTGCCGATGAACTCTTATTTAGAACAATATCAATAGAATTTAAAATAATATTACAAAAAGTGTCATATGTTGAACACGGATCGCTCTCATTGACAGAAAAGCCTTGTAATTTGGAATTAACAATTTTACTGTAATTGTCCCAGTTTACAAGTCGCAAGTTACGCCGATTTACTGGAACTGATACACAATTATTTGCTCCTTTACAAGAAAAATTGGAATATTGTAAATTTAATTGTGTTATTGTTGGCAAATGATAACTGCCTAACGGATCTTCGTAAACATACCAGTTACATGAAAGGGATAAAGAAGGACTAACTATGGTTAAATCCAAGCCATTTGGCTTCCAAATATGACTACCTACAGTAGTGACATGACCATCGTTTAATAAAACTAGGTTACATTCATCTAAAGTTTCCAAAATATCTCTACCTCTGGGTTTAATTGAATCACAACCCCAAATGGTGTGATGTGCATTAAAATCACCAGCAATTATAAAAGGCTTAGGAGTATTATTTACAAAGTTAACAAGTTTAGATTTTGTGAAAGGTACTGAACAATTGGTGGGGCAATAAATAGTAGCTAATGATATTTTTTCATTGTTTATAATGATCTGAATGACTAAAGTTTGTATTGAATCGTCAGAAAACATATTAATTCTATTATAATGAAGGTTTTCATGTATGATAATAGCAACACCGTTGTGGTAATTACCCGAGTCATTGCGTTCTATTTTATAACCCTTTATTTTTAATTTATGATGTCAAGTTTCACATAAAAGTGCAATATGTATGTTATTACTGTAAAGAAAATGTGTGAGTAAATGTCGATTGCTCAGCAGACTTTGAGCGTTCCACTGAGCTATATTTAAATTATTTAAGGTGAATTTTGAGAGCTAATGTTTTTGTTACTGAAATTTTCAGTAAGAATGTCTAATAAATTTTTTGTGCAAATTGAAGTATTTTGAGTTTTATTTAATGTAATCAATTTTACTATGGACTCTACTAAGAGACCAAGAGATTTATCATCATTTTTAAGAAAAGAAATCAAATCATTATTATATTTATTCTGTCTAGTACCTAGTGATGGGAAAGATTTAAATACATCTGCATATGAAGATGTTTGAGCTTTGTTTCTGTTTTCTATAATTTTTTTTTGTTTGATTGGACATTTGGAGGAAATACTAACATGATTACCATCGCAATGGAAACATTTGGCATTTTCTACTGGTGTATCGCATATTTTAAAATTATGACTTCCTTTGCATATGGAGCATGTCTCTGCATTTTTACAATATTTAGCTAGATGTCCATACCTCAAACAACGGAAGCACTGCTTCACAGGAGCGATGTATGGTGATATATCGTGTCGCCATCCTTCAAGGTCCACATAATCTGGAAGAACTGAAGCTGCAAAAGTGATTGCTATGGTCTGAGTTGGCTGTAGAAAAAAGTTAGTATCATTTTTAACTTTACGTAGAAACCGCCGAACACATATAATTTTTTTATAACTTGATATCATGGTATATATCTTCTTATTGGATAGGTTTAATGGGACATTCCTAATGACTCCTGTAACTTCTGTGGATCCAGCTGGTATACTCGCTTTAAATTGGTATTCTTTAAGAAAGGTAAAATTATTTAGGAAAGCATTTGCAAGGCCAGGTTTCTCAAAATATACTCCTATTTTATACTTATTTAAGCTTCTGAGATACTTGACTCCTTTATTAAACCTTTTTAAACAAGATGAAAGAGATAGAAGGTCTCTAGAGCCTATTATAGTTTTAGGGTCACTAGACTCAACGAATACAACGAATTCAGTTGCACCGGAATCCTCTGGATAACGTCTATGATAATCCGTGACAAAATAAGTTTTATACAGTTCTTTCTGATCTAATTCCACTTCGTCAGATTCGATGAAGTTGAAGATTTGCAGTCACTATCTGGATCATCTGGAGATACAGGCTTTTTACGCTTTCTTCTACTCTTCCCCATGTTGTGGGTTATTTATTTTATTTTAACCACAATATATACGATATACAATTGAATAAACCAAATAAAATATAATAAAATTTTTAAAATAGCGCGCTTCCTTTCAAGCGTTCCCGCGCTTTTTTTTTTTTTTTTCCTAACACTTTGAGTTAATTAAGAATGATACACAGAGGGTTATACATGTCAGTTAGGATGTCATATCTGTCTTTGTATATGTCAGAAATGTCAGTGCCGCTGACACCGGGCCGATATTTTTCTGTTGTCTTGTTTTGATTTTATTTAGGTATATAATTATCAAAATAATGATTCTTTTCCTACTAATTATTTGCTCATAAATTGTACTAGTATTATTTTGTTATATATCAAATTTCAGCATTTTATTTTAGCACAGCTTCTAAATAAAATCGTTTAATAAACGCTATGTAATCCGACGGATAATATGTTTATGTTTCATCTTCGGCGATATAACCTAAAACGAAAAATTACCTGTTGTTTTACCAATAACAATGCAGTCTGTATAGTATTCAAAAGAAGTAAAACTGTTATGATGAAGTATTTAAATGTCGCAGAGAAAAATGATGCGGCTAAAAATATTGCTCTTCACCTGTCTCGAGGAACGTCTAGAAGGGTAAATAAACCAAGACAGCTGCTAGCAACTCGTATGGATAAATAATTCATAATTTATTTACATCAGATTTAACTATTATTTCTGGAACTGCAGCTACCTTTGCAGATCACTCATATATACATAACATTATATCATATAAACACAAAATATTCACCCACTTCACTTCAAAGAAAACCTGCTACTATTGCTACTGATATATATTACTTGTTAAGGATACTTGTTTCATAATATTATCTTTAGTTATATTACTAAATTGAATTTATATTATATCATTAATATAATATATATATTATAAATGATAGTGTCTGTTTATTACCTGTTGATCTATGCCAAGAGCTGAACACATATTAATTAAATTTGATATAAAGGTAGGTAATATGACAAGCACAGGTATAGATTACCTTTTATTTAAAAAAATAATGTAAAATTAGGTGTAATAGAGGTTGAAAGTTTGTGCATGATGAAGTAGGTAATAATTTTACACATTAAAATATAATTTCCATATGCAGACATTATCTATAGCATGCTGTAATAAAAAAAATATATTTTATTCCAGCGAGAAGGTTTATCTCAGTTTAATAAAATATATGAATTCGAGACTGATGTGATGGGTCAAAAAAGTCAAATGGTGATGACCTCTGTATCAGGACATTTATTGGGATTAGAATTTGTTGGATCCTATAAGAATTGGCAGTCATGTGATCCACTTGCACTCTTTGATGCACCTGTTTTTAAATACTGTCCTGAAAATTATGATAAAATAAAGGTTGGTAAGACTATATATTATGTTATAAGATAATACATATATATTATTAACAGTATCTTAGTTTTCACAGCTTTTTATTTAGAGATTAGATTAAATATAACAGGTTTTAACTATTAATATGTCCTCAAGATATAGTATTTTAAATAAAACGTGCTATGTAGCTTGTATCACTTTATGTAAAGAAGATATTGTACCTACCTACATTAATACACTTTATTAATCAACAAAGTATAAAAGTAAGTACCCACATCTATATATGACATACCTCCCCTCTAAGATAGTTTAATCACTTTGTAATTAAGTATAACATAATTAAACATATTAATATTAAGAATATTAAGAATAAACAATATCTACCAATAGTATAACTGAAACAATGATCACTTATATATAAAACACATTTAGGATAAATACAGATTGTCTATATGATCTTGTGGCCTTTGATATGGAGTTCTGGAATGTACATTTAACTTAGTTCTAATTTTCCCTGGAACTGGCAATGTTGATTCCGAAGAAGGAGGGATACCCAAAATCTCAGCCCATTTCTCGGCATCTGGTATTTCAATAATTGTCTCTGACTCTTGACTACTATTTTCCTGTTGCCCATATTGGTAATTCGTACCACTACTGTCTGTGCTATTAGAGTCTTTATTTGCCTCTGACGTTATATCAGTAATCCCTTCTTCCCCTTTCTCTAGCCTTGGTTTATATTTAATCAACTGATCAATATGCCGATTAACTGCTACACCGTCCTCTGTTTCGATTTTGTAATTGGAAGGCCCACTTTTCTGCAAGACTTTGCCTGGTAACCATTTAGGGCCCTGATTGCTATAATTTCTGAACATTACATTTTGTCCCACAGTAGTTTCTCTGCCTGCTATCTGTTTATTGTTGTCAATTTGTATTTCTGTTCTTTTATGTTTCAGATTATCTGGATGTATAGTATCTAACAATGTGCGCAACTGTCTATTCATTAATAGTTCTGCGGGGGTTTTATTGGTTCTTGTACATGGAGTAACCCGCAAACCTAACAATAAATTCGGAATTTTGATATCCCAAGATAAATCATTCATTTTCTTTAGTTTATCTTTGACTGTCTGTACCATCCGTTCTGCTAATCCGTTGGTCGCCGGATGGTAAGGTGCTGTAGTTACCTGACGAATTTTATTGGCCTGCAAAAAATGCTTCATATCTCCTGATACAAACGATGTACCATTATCCGATACTAAAACTTCACATAGACCATGAGTTGCAAAGGTCGTTCTCAGCAATCGTATTACCGTGGCTGTTGTTGTATTATTTACCATGAATACTTCAGGCCATCGGGAATATGCGTCGACTATAATTAAAAAGTATTTGTTGTGATACGGTCCAGCGAAATCGATGTGGATTCTTGACCAAGGTCTCGAAGGTGTAATCCATTCATGTGTAGTCTTAGGAGGCATATGTCGATTTTCCAAGCACCTAACACAACCACCAACTAGAAGTTCTATGTCATCATTTAGTCCAGGCCACCAAACGTAGCTTCTAGCCAGTGCTTTCGTTTGAACTATACCTGTATGTGTTTTATGTAGTATTTGGAGCGTTGCTCGACGAAGAGTGTGAGGTACTACAACGCGGCATCCCAGAAGTATGCAATTTTCTTGCAGTGACAGTTCTGTGCGATGTAACCAGAATGGTCGTAAATCAGCGTTGGTTTCTTTTGCAGGCCATCCCCTTTGTATGTAATAAATAACTTTAGATAAGATTTTATCCCGATTTGTCTCTCTAGCTATATCTTCTGCATCAAATGGAAAATCTTCTGGAGCTTCAGCCATTAACAAAACTTCACCAATATGTGTTTGAGGTTCACTTTGTACTGGTTGTGGCCAACGACTTAAATGGTCAGCATTACCTATCTCTGGACCAGGCTTATATTTTATCTCATAGTTATGAGATGTCAAGGCTATGGCAATTCTCGTCAACCGTGGTGAAATCATATTAGGCATTGGCTTCTTCGGATCAAATATACCAAGCAATGGTTTGTGGTCTGTTATTATACAGAATTGTCTTCCTGTGAGATAGTTATGAAACTTTTTTATGCCAAACATAATTGAAGCGGCTTCTTTGTCAAGCTGTGAATAACGCCGTTCATGAGGATGTAAGGTTCTAGATGCCATAGCTATAGGAAATTCGTTATTATCTGTTACATGTGACAATACAGCTCCTACACCATATTCTGAACTATCACAAGTAAGTGTTATAGGTTTAGCTACGTCATAATGAACTAACGTTAAATCAAATGTCAATAATCGCTTTGCCGTCTCAAATGAATTTTGTTCCCGTTCAGTCCAATGCCATTCTTGCCGGGTATCCAGCAAACGATGTAAAGGCTCCAATAAAGTGGCTTTATGAGGTATGAACCTCTCATAAAAATTATAAAGACCAAGAAAAGCTTGTAGTTCTCGTTTGTTTTTAGGTTCAGGAGTCTTTGCAACAGATTCAACCTTACTTGGTGCAGGATGGATGCCATTCCCATCAATTACAAAGCCTAGAAACTCCACTCTTTCTTGACCGAATTTGCATTTGTTTTTATTTAGACGTAGTCCTGCACGTTCAATTCTTCCTAGTACTTCGTTAAGTCGTTCTTGCATTTCCAGCAAAGTATGACCCCCGATTATTATGTCATCAATTAGAACAGCGATACCTGCGATACCACCCAGTAAAGATGTCATCAAACGTTGAAAAATTCCGGGGCATGCTTTAACACCGAAGGCCAGGCGATGTACAGTGTAAAGGCCCTTGCAAGTATTCAAAGTAAGGAGTTTTGAAGTCTTCTCATCTACCATAACCTGGGTATACGCCCGATCTAAATCCAAGGTGGTGAAAAATTTACAACCAGCAACTGCAGCAAACACTTCATTCGCTGTAGGCATAGGATAGGTATCAGATTCAGTTGCCTCATTTACGGTGCTGCGATAATCTCCACACAACCTTATCTCCCCTGACTTTTTTATTATTGGCACTACCGGTGTAGCCCAATCTGAGAAAGACGTTTGGCGTAATACTCCTTCACTTTCTAATCTAGCAATCTCAATTTCAACCCTTTGTTTTATAGCGAATGGCACCGGACGAGCTTTAAGGAACTTTGGAGTTGCTCCTTGTTTCACATGTATAGTCACAGGCTGTCCACGGTAGGTACCGAGTCCATTTTTGAAAACTTCCTTATGTTTAGATAGGATTGCATCTATTGCTTTGATATCCGTATTTGATACAAAATTAATATTCATTGTAAAGTTAAAAGCAGCAAGCCAGTCTCGACCAAGCAGGTTTGGTCCATTCCCCTTGGCCACAATAACACACAAATTTTGTGAGACATCCTTATAACATACAGGCAGTGTTACTTGACCGAGTATTTGGACCGGTGTGTCTGTCCATGTTCGTAATGACAATGTGCTAGGTCGCAGTACGGCTTGTGGCATCTGTGTGCAAAGTTTGTGCCAAGTTTGCTCCTTTATTATAGAATAGCTTGCTCCTGTATCCAGTTGCATACAGACTGGCACTCCAGCCAGTGAAACTATCACTTCATAAGGCGGCGTGCGACTCACACTTGACATACAGTAAATTCCATTCAAACAATCATCTGATTCTTCAGCGAAATTAACAGTATTAGTTTTGTTTTTCTTTTTACTAATGCAAATCTTCTCAAGGTGACCCTTCTTCTTACAGTAGCTACAAATGGCATTTAAAAATCTGCATTGTCCATTGTGCCGGTTACCACATCGGTAGCAAAAACGAATGGAAGCTCTTGACTGGACAGCGTTAATATCCATCGGTTCTGAACCCAAAAATGACGTTCCGCCGGACCCGCGAGAGGGACCGGGCATGGTTGTGTCGTCCGCCGCGGTCGCGCCAGCAGACACTTGAATCATGCGTACATCTCGCCCCGCACTTTCCGATGATAACATAGCATCCACTACGTCTTGATAGCGTAATTTGTCCCGTTTCAATAGTTCGTACTGTAACCGGTCATCACGCATACCACACACGAGTCTGTCGCGTAGCATACGTTCCAAATCGACAAAATTGCAACCCGAACTAAGTTTTCTCAGGTGAGCAATGTAATCTGCCACTGATTCATTATGTTTTTGATCACGTTTATAAAATTGAAACGAAACCGATATTTCGTTCGGTCTCGGGCTGTAATGTTTACTTAGAATAGTTTCTATTTCCAAAAATGTCACTTCACTCGCTTTTCTAGGTGTAATTAATGCTAGTAACGTTTCAAACACTCGTGATCCACACACAGTAAAGAAATTTGCTCGTTTAGACGAATCTGTTATGACGCCATTTGCCTCGAAACAAAATTTTAGCCGGTCAAAATATATGTCCCAATTGTCCGTTTGAGGATTAAACTCATCGAATTTCACAGCTTTTGTGTCCATTTTAGTACTTTTACACTACGGCGCCACTAATATGTCCTCAAGATATAGTATTTTAAATAAAACGTGCTATGTAGCTTGTATCACTTTATGTAAAGAAGATATTGTACCTACCTACATTAATACACTTTATTAATCAACAAAGTATAAAAGTAAGTACCCACATCTATATATGACAACTATATCAAAGAAATGATTTCTGTCCATTTATTCTTCTTTGTTGTAAAGATTTTGCTGCTACCGTCAAACTTCCATCATCAGGATTTCTGTGCAGTCTTTTAACAAATTATTTAAAATTTATTATAGATTAGATTTTAGATAGCTAATTTTTGTAATATTTCAGCAAACCTTAGAAAGAGAAGTAAGAAGTTGTCAAGGGCTTATTATATGGACAGATTGTGATAGAGAAGGAGAAAATATAGGATTTGAAATAATAGAAGTGTGTAAGTCGATTAAGACTAGTCTCAGAGTGTATAGAGCAAAATTCTCAGAAATAACAGGTGTGTCTGTGCAGAGAGCACTGCAAAACCTGGAGCAACCCAATAAAAATATCAGTGATGCTGTTGATGTTAGACAGGAGTTAGATTTGAGAATTGGTAAGACATAATTGCCTACATATTGTAAAAACAAGAGTCCCTCACTATATTTGACTTGTATATCAATGATAATCACTAAAATTACTACACATAGTTATTGGATTTTCATGATATTTTCAACAGAGTAATTCCTGTGGAAGGTTTAGGTATATTATAAAATATTCTATTACCTCTGTGCATATAATCATCTATTGTATATGAATTTTAGTTTGAATGGGTCTAAGTATTAAATAATAAAGTTAATAGCCATATTTTCTTATTCTTAGTAGTGAATATGTATGAAACATACATTTAATTATACCTCAGATTTTGTAGTCTGATATTACATAATTGTAACTATATTATTTTTATTACATATTAAATAATCTGCAGGTGCAGCATTTACTAGATTTCAAACTTTAAGATTACAAAAAGTTTTTCCTAGTAAACTAGCAGAGAGTCTAATCAGCTATGGTTCATGTCAATTCCCTACACTTGGATTCGTTGTGGAAAGATACAGAGCTGTTGAAAATTTTAAAGCTGAACCATTTTGGAAAATAAAAGGTAAATATAGATAAATATTACTAACTGGCTGGGTACATATTACAAATGGATTACTCAGCACAAATCTAATGACTCGATTACAATGAATTTCAGCATAATTGTGTTCGATGTTTAAAAATGATTAATTGCATAAAGATAAGGCTGCTAGATATTAATGCACATATTTATTGTATAAGTAACTTTTGAAAGTTGGCAAGAATTAACTTCGTAATTGTTTATTTTCATAGATCTTAGAGACATTACAGGTTATTGGACTCCCTAAAACGTGGTTGAGAATTGTGGTAGGGACTGGTCTGCTCTGGTATGACTGATTTATTTTATTTCTCAACCAACTATTTATTTACTTATATCGCTGTTGCTATTTGCCAGTTTGTATTCAAACAAAATGTTAAGAATGTAATCTGAATAACATTTATGTAAAAGAGCAACACACAAGTTATTATCGCATTCATCTTGTGCTGAGTGGTAGTATTAAGTTTACTGAATAAAGATTATTTCTATTCTATTTACATTAGTAATACATACATCAAAAATAATTACAGTTAACCACACTATTAATGGACTCAGTGTAGATTTCTCATGGGAGAGACACAGGCTATTTGATCAGGAAGCGTGTCAGGTATTACATGATATTTGCGTTGAAAGTCCACAGGCGAATGTATGTGATGTCAAAACAAAACCGAAATCTAAATGGCGACCCCTGCCATTAGACACTGTGGTATGTGTTATACTTATTATTGTTCTATTAACTTATAAATTGAGCAAACATCGTATTCCTTCATCAGTTAGTTTTCAGATTTGCCTAGCCCACACAACAGCGGTAGTAGTTTCGAAAGTACATTTTTCTATAATTTCCTATATTTTTGTACTCCTGATATAATAGTGTTTATTCATATTTTGTAAGAGATTCATAAGTAACTATAACAAAATTTTAATTGATTATAGGAGTTAGAAAAACTAGCGTCTAGAAAATTAAAAATAAATGCAAAAGAAACAATGCGATTGGCCGAAAAACTATACACGCAGGGTTTCATTAGCTATCCACGTACAGAAACGAATGAATTTCCTAAAGAAATGAACTTAGCACAACTTGTTGGGTTACAAACAAGTGATGCTAACTGGGGGGTGTTCGCACAAGGCATCTTGGATAGCGGCGGTCCCACACCTAGGCAAGGAAATAAAAGTGATAAGGCCCATCCACCCATACATCCCACAAAACACACAAATAGTAAGTATAATGGTAATCTGATTATATATTATTGAGTTATTCCTGATGTAACAGTTTTTGGAGGAGCTTAAGTACATTTTAATAAATAATACGAACAGTCAGATAATTACATCATGTACTTGTTTTTTTTTAATCAATCTTACTTTGTGGTTGAAGATCCGAAGTATAATCATGTGTTATCATTCATCATTTATTCACTACATTATTACATAGGTGGATAACAATGAAACTGCCCCAACGTTGTACAGGATTTTTTGATTATTGTAGGTTGTTTCTATTTTCTTTTTAAACACAATACAATCTATACATACTTACTGAATAAGATAATGTAACGTTATATATTCTCTTTATCTATACACAAGGAGGTCTCTTAATACCTTGTCTAGTAAGTAAATTGAATTTCCGTTTCAGCCTTATCAGGCAATGAGCAACGGCTCTACGAATTCATAGTGCGGTCTTTCCTTGCATGCTGCTCGAAAGATGCTCAAGGACAGGAGACGATCGCAGTAATAGACATCGCCAACGAGAAATTCAGTGCAAGTGGTTTGATGATCACTGCGAGGAATTATCTTGATATATATCCATACGATAAATGGTCCTCCAAAGAAATACATGTATATGAAGTGAGTATTGCTCATTTCTTTTATGTAACTAGAATGGCTAAGAAATAGTTGTACGGTGCAACTATACCATTGATTGTCAGCAGTTTTACGCCACCTTATTATTCGTCGTGTAACGAAACTCAAAGACACAGCGCGCGCTCCTTATCATTATATTTATTTTATCATATTTAACATCTCAATGAATTTTATTACGATAATTATCGTAATCGTAACAATAGAAACGGTAAGTTGACTTATATAGAATATTGTTTTATATTTCTGATTATAGAATAGAAAAATATATTAAAACAAATGTGTGTTTTAATATATTTTTCTATTAAATAAATAATATTAAAGTGTTTCTTAATACGGCTGTATCTATGCTGTATAGGTATATCTATCTAGCCTGATCCAATGTAGTTACTATTGCCTATATACATACACTGCATCATATACATCGCGTCATCCTGTAACGCCTGGTACCTCTCATGTATTACTATTCCTGATGACTAAATCCTAACAAAATCGAAGTTAATTGTATAATAAATATTGTTGACGCATATTCCATCAATAATCTTTAATCAGCATTACATATGATGGAGAACATTCGACCAATAGTAATAATTCATTGTTGAGTAGAATGCAAAGCATAAACAAGGTAAATAACATATTACAAAATAAATATTGTGATATCAATTCAATGTTATCTTTCTACAGAGAGGTCAACGTTTTACACCAACTAGTATTGACATGGTAGATGGCAGTACAGCCCCACCAAACTTGCTAACAGAAGCTGATCTCATAGCCCTAATGGAGAAACATGGAATCGGTGAGTATTCCTAATGGTCAATTTATCATTTTTACGTAGGTATGAAACTAAGACGGGCTGCTACACGTTTGCTTGCATTCTAAGGATTTATTTATTAATTTTTATCTAATTTTAATCATCCTTTTATTCAAAATCATTTTCTGTCCAGGCTGTTAGGTTGTGGAACTCGCTTCCCGCTCCTATTCGGTGCGCTCAATCTCTTGCTAGCTTTAAAGCATTAGTAAAAACTCATTTCCTTTCCTTTTAGTTCTACTTTTCCTTTTCTTATAGTCTTTCTTTCCATGGATATGTGTATTATTAAGTTTATGTATGTTTATGTAGGTATGTACATGTGTTTGTCTATATGTATATTTGCATGTATTATTTATACCTATGTTAGTTGTGTTGTCATTTGTACGACTTACTCTTTTTCTTATATCAACAAACTTGTTCACGATTTGTCCGTTCTGTTCCTCGACTGCCGCAAACTTGGTCCCCACTAGTCTCGAAAAATGGGAAGTGATATCATACTACTGTTCTGACTTAAGTATGAAATCAAATAGACAGACGAAATAACATCATCCAGCTCTAATATAGTTTAAAATCTTTAATTATTTTTAACAGGAACAGACGCAACACACGCTGAACACATTGAAACTATTAAGAATCGTTCCTACGTGGCGCTCGCGGACGCTATACACTTTGTGCCCGGGCTCTTGGGTATGGGATTAGTGGAAGGCTACGATTCAATGGGCTTAAACATATCTAAACCACACTTAAGGGCACAGCTGGAAGCAGATTTAAAAGCTATAAGCGAAGGAAGGAAGCAACCGCAGCAAGTGTTAGCAGAACAGGTTTGATTTCTTTTTGTATATTGGTACAATAGCTATAAAGACTGTTTTGTAATATGTTTGCTTATTTATTGGAGAGTTTGGGCTATTGGCAGGTGCTTAGACCTGTAGCACAGCGACCTACATAGATCTATTGTGCACGCGCTTTTTGAGAGTTTGGTTCATACACTAGTCAGCAACTAGAATTGAAGGATATTCTTAGGAGCGATGCTTTTTATCTCCTCATGGCGTTGCCTCTTCATAGAGCTTCTAGCTTGGCAAAATCTGCAGATTTTTGTTGTGCACAGGCCTAAGATTGTCATTAGTTTATATATCGCTTTACTATTATTAATTCTAATGCTCTGTGTATGACGCGGTAGAGAATCCGACTTAAAACAACTAGTATCAATAATGTATCTGTAGCTTTATTATTTTCCATAACTGATACAACATTGACAGGACTGTAAAAAGACTTTCCATCTCTGCACAGAAACTTTAAGAATATAAAATAATTATTTATATTAGATTTTAGAAATTGGCAATACCGCTGACTACCGTCCAGGATAACAGTCGGTATGGTATTTATTTGGTAGGGAGTGGTATCAAGTTGTTACTAATTATTGCGAAGAACAATGCAACAAACATGTTACTTTGGTCACATAGACAAATTGGCGGTTAAAAACTATTAAATAACTAAATCAAAGAATAAATTCATATTATCATTATAGTAAGCCGTCTAACAAAAATGTATTTTTGTTTCAATGATCTCCTCTCCAATAAATTCTTTCACCGAGATCAATTATTAAAAATTTACATATCTTAAAAGTAATCGTACTTCTGTAATACATTAAATATGTTTCAGATAGCCAACTATAAAGAAGTGTATATTACAGTAGCGGCAGAGGCAAACAAAATCGACAATGCGCTAGCAGAAAGGTTTAACGAACGGCCCAATGACTACACGCCTATATCTACACACTCGGCTCCAATGCCTGCAGGTAAGAATGTATGCTAGAATTAATTGTCTTATTTCCAGGTAACAATGATTATAGCATGAAATAAAAAATAAACCATGCCTAATTTAAGGCTGACAACATTAATGGCTTACACAGTATCGATGTAAAAGAATATTCGGAAATAGAATTTATGATTAAACTTAACTATATATAACTTTTTATAATCAATAATCTAAATATATTTTTTTATTTCTACTATTAGTTTTGAAATGTCCAAAGTGCGGCAGTGAGATGGTCGTTAGACAAAAGAAGAGCAATGCTGACGAATATTACATAGGCTGTACGTCATTCCCACGTTGCAAAAATGCTGTATGGTTGCCGAGTATTGTTAAAACTTTACAAGTGTTGTCAGAAACCTGTTCTGTGGTAAGTGCGATGAAGTAAAGTTATCCTTTTGTATAATTTAAAATTAAACTTCTATTTTCTTTATATGTATTTTCACATCTAGAACGAAACACCAGTGATACATAGATGTAAAAAGGTATCATTAGAATAAACAGACATTTACATTTATTTTGTCAAATGTTAATTAATGTATTTTTTAATACATTGACGTAAAATGTTATAATTCTTGTAATTGTACAGTATTGTGTTCCCCTCTGATCGCTCCCCCGTCCAATCCAAACGGAAATCGAAATTGCAACGGCCTTCGAGGTTCGAAACCCTAGCGGTGTCCTCAGACTAAAGTCGTATACATCAGCCGGAAGTTGGCATTCAGTTGTATGTACGTTGTAGTTGTTCCACTGCATAAGTCCTTCCACAGGATTAGAGTGCCTTCTGCACTCACCCCCTATCGTCCGGTGAAGATGAAAGCATTAGAGTAGTCCTAAAAAAGAACTGGTCATGTTCTAAAATTTTAAAAAATACCCTACATTCTTTTTATAATAAATGACCTGTAGTTAATTTGTATTTCAGTGTGGACCAAATTATAAAAAGGTTATATTTGAATGGAAGAATAATTCTATAAACCATCTATACCCGTCTCCTTACACAGCTTGCATAGGGGGATGCGACACCACCTTTCTAGAACTGCTTAAAATTAATTTATCTAGTGTAAAAACAGTTAGCCACCACACCACAAGTAGTGTTAATCGATCGAATACCTCTAGAGAAACAAGTACATCTTTCTCAAATAATACGCGAAGAGCACAAAACCAAAATGGCACAGGTTCTGCTGCACAACCGTGGCAAAATGGCACTACAAGCACTAGAAATCAAAATACAAATAACAATAATAATGCGAGAACTGAGCCTGTCAATGAATCTGATGACAATAATATAATCTGTAGATGCAACAAATCGGCAGTATTGCTAACTGTCCGAAAACAAAACCATAATTTTGGTAAGTATTGTTATTTTAGTTAATATTATTTTGTCCTAATACTAGTGGCCCGCCCCGATTTCGAACGGGTGCTTGTAACTCGGTTAATTTTGTAAGTATTAACATAATATTTAACTGCCAATCTGGTATAATTCAAACAGTAAAAGCATTTTTCAAATCAGTGCAGTGGTCGTTTACTTTCCTCAAAGTAAAATCATCTTTCTATTTCTTTATAAGATTAGTATAGATACGTTTCACTAATCTAAAACTAATTTTATACTCATGCTATGATAATGTGTAACATAGACACATTGTATCAAAATACAATGTGTCTATGTAATTATATTTTTCAAGCACTTGTTAACCTGCCGGACTAGACGGCCGGTGTTAGTCTGATAATGGAGCTAGTATAGCCATTAGGAATCTGTAATAAAAAATCTCCACTGAGATTAAGCTCATTTTTATATTTACCTACCTACCTACCTGTGATTGCAAATTTTGGAAACATCCTCCCTATGCTTCTAATGATAAAGAGAAAGCTCGATTAACTGACGCAACAACGCCCTGAGTTAAAACTGTGTATAAGAAAATACATAGAGATAAATATAGATGACGAAATTTCACTTTCTTATGAACTAAAGACTAATTCTAGGTAAAAAATACTACAAATGCCCAATTGGAAGGGAAAACGGGGGCTGCGACTTTTTCCTATGGGCTCCAGAGTCGGTAAATGAACAGCATCCCTTCATGACCCCGCCTTCCAACGATACCTGGGGACAAGATCCCACAACTTCTGCAAACAACACAAATACAAGGGGGTGGGGTTTAACGTCAAGTAACACCAGAGACAGTTACCCAGATAATAGTGATGGGGTGATGTGTGATTGTAACCTTCCTTCTAAAAAGTGAGTAGCAATGCTCTTTTTTGCGATGCACGATTCTGCTTTACTTGATTGTCATTTATAAACACAATTTATAGTTTTTTGTGTTAAAAAATGTTGGTGCAGATTTAAATTAATGTTAATCACGCCAACTTAAATTCATGATCGTATACCAATTTACTGACCGTTAGGTTAGGTTAGGGCATAAATATATAAACTAGATATAAATCCTTAATTATAAAACTAAAACCTAAAAATACTTTTCGTCTGTAGTAGTGTTCAGCACTATAGTTATCGAATCAAGAAAATAGTTTGAAAGAAAATTATATTTAATATGTAGTTTCCAGAGTGTAACTCATATATTCATTTCCAGGTTAACAGTTCATAAAGAGGGACCAAATAAAGGTCGACTGTTTTATGCATGTTCCAAAGACTTCAACCAACGGTGCAATTTTTTTCAATGGGGTGACGGCGATGCTGGAAATGGTAATGTATATAATGGTATAATCATGTATAATAAGACATTATTAATTCTTTGTAAGTCAACTAAAACTATAATCGCAGACGCTTCTAAAAATAGACGGTTTGATGTCTGTTAGTCGAATAGAAAACTGCTGAAAGGATTCGAATGAAATCTGGTACACGTGATAGATCATATTCTATACATAATGTAAGATATGGCTTAACAGAATGCGCAGATACCGTCATATAACTAACAAATCATAAATTGCTTAGCAGAAATGCCTAATAAAATCACGGAAAAATATATACGTAAATAACGATTGATTGATCACAATTTTCAACAGATGTGCAAGAGAGGAGCGGGAGTAGTAATCGAGGAAGGGGTGGAAGGGGAGGGCGCGGCGGTGGTAGAGCGAGGGGAGGAGAACCGTCACGAAGAAAATGTGGCCACTGTAAACAGGAGGGACACACTAGAAACCGTTGCCCATCTCTGGCCAACGACTGATAATTTTATAAATACATAAACTCGTATTTAAGTTCTAAATGTATATTTGCTAAATATAAGTCTTTATTTTATAAAACTATCTATATTATTTATGGAACGATAACGGCAAAATCACAGATTACATAACGTGACTATTTGTCCTTCATTAAACGTAAATTTAAGAGTAAACGTAAAAGAACACGTGGATAGCTTTCTTAGCTATCCACGTGTTCTTTTACGTTTACAAGTATAACATTAACATATTATTTTGCTTTTTACGCTCTCTGTTTTGATAAGAAAAATCACGATCACGATAGGACCCCTGCTATACAGTAATAATATAAAAATACAAATATCCCGTAACTATAGAATATTTCTTAAGTATTATTAATTGAAGTACTACCACCGCTGCTTTTTACTTTTTTTACTTAAATTACTTAAGCTCTGGGCCCTCTGTAGCTCAACTTGTTCAGCCTCCACAGTCTTGTCCGTCATCATGTCCAGGAGTATTTCAAACTTCAACCGTAACATATTATTTTCTTCTTCTAGTTGCTCTAATTCTCTTTTCAGACGTAAGTTTTCTTTGTGTGTCGCACCGGCTTTACCAGAAGCTACAATTCAAAGGTTATTTTAGATTAAACGGGCATATCTAAAACAGTGTTCGTAACTTTATTTGATTTAAAAACTTCACTGGAATGCTGAGATTTTTTTAAAATCGCTGAATTATTTTGTCGGATTAACAATTGAAACATCTTTAAAAAAATTATATATTGGTATATTTATATATATATATAGCCATAGATAAAATAATAATGAAGTGCTATTCGATCTCGAACACCAAGTATCTATAGTAGGTTAATCATAAAGGGGTGTTTTTTGATGGATGAATATGGTATACGCTGTCAGTGTACCAGTGGAGGATAAAGTCAAATCAGTCAGCCCATCGTGGTTATTTCACTACGATCATTTCCAGTGAAGGTAGTGCACTAAATTGCTAGCAATGTTATGTTAGGTTGACCTCCATGCGTCCAGCTGACTAAACATTGCTAAGACTAAGCAATGCAGTTACAAATTCCTATTACTAATAATCCCCTCCCCCTTTGTGAGTATCAGAATTCATAAAAGGCATTAGCATTTATGAAAATAAATAATATAGTGCGAGGAATCAAACCTGCGACCATCAGAAGTAAAGCGTGGTTTCCAACCGCTAGACTACCGAGGCCGTCAATAGATAGTTTTATGGGCCGATACATACCTGGAATCCAGTGTCCATCTACAAAAGAGACTTCGAAGTCGCTTAATTTTAATTTCAAAGGAGCAATATCTAGAGATAATTCCTTTGCTGCGTAGTCACTCCCAAACTCATTCTTTATAACTGATGTATCTTGACGTCTTACAGGAATAGTCTTTGTTGAGAATTTACTGCTAAACAATGGCATTTTAAAGGCAATGTCTTATAATAACGAAAGATACAATGAGAAAGTTATATATTTTCAACATCGACATAACATGTCATTTCGACATCGTGAATTGTTACTACATATGTTACCATGGCAACAAAAAAAATTAAAAACTAGTCTTTTTTTTTTCTTTAGCTAGGGACAGTGTTTTTTTTATGGATGATAATGGAAAGGTGCACCCGCATGCATCCGCCTGTGCTAATGGTGGAGGATAATAGCATAGTTCGGCCATCATATATATACGCGGTCCCATCCCATGCGTAGGGTTTAATGGGGTATTAGTCGTAACATATTTAAAAATTAACATTAATTGCAAAATCTTGTAATGTATATTGAGCTGAGTGAAGACAAACAATATTGAATTGTTTATTGTTAATAAGTTGAAATAAAAAGTAGATTAAAATGTTACTATATAGACTTTACAAGAGCAATAGATAATAGGAGCTTTTTATACATATTTTTTTATTTAAGCAGTTTATTCCGTACTCTAATAAAACGACAACCTACTGTCTATATTTAAAACATTAAAACAACTGTAAAAAAATGTAATACTGTTTATTCGAGATAAATCTTCTGAATTTAAATAAGTACAAAATATCAATAAATTAATATAAAATCTGGCAATATTACAATAAATAAATTAAATTACATTTAAACCTTACTCATAGTACAACAGTATTTAATACATGTATAAAATTCTCTATCTATTATTGCTTGTTCATGGAGGCAGGATAAAGTTTTCAACATGTTCACAACTCATATCTTCAGTCTATACATCATCACAGCTGGAATAATCAGAATTACGGCCCCTATTGTGTAAGTTGTAGTAGCACCCGAAATCCAGTATACTAAAAGATAAATAAAATACATATTAATGTTATTTTAGTACCCAAATAAATCAGGATTGACTAGACCGAAAAATGAATAATTCACACAGCATCACATAGTCCGATAACCGATATAAATATTTGGATACATTTTTTTGTAACTACATAGGTACATATTAAATACATGGTAAACACACAGACCGATACGAACGATCATAATTTGCAAGAGATCGCTTTGAGTGATAAGGCCACCTTTTGTTCGGGTATTTATATATTATTCTTTTTTCTAATTTTTAAGTTTTTATACACAATAAAGAGTTTTATTAATATTATTGTAATCAAGAATACAAATGCTCGCAGCATACGGAGTAATCGAACCCGCGATCATCGGAAGTAAAGCGGCGTGCTAAACCGCTAGACCACCGAGGGCGTCGAATCTCTTAGCACTTACCGGAGGCAGCGAGCAGCGGACCGGCGGCTCGCGCGAGGGCCCCGAGTGAGCGCAGGGCGCCCAGCGCAGCCCCGCGGGCCGCCGCCGGCGCCTGCCCCGCCGCCACCGACGACAGGCACGACACCGCGAACGCGGTCGCTGCAACACCACGCATTACAAACCTAATACCTCCTCTTAACTAGCTGGATTGGTGGGTACTTCTCATGATGTACTTCTTAAGAGGCCTATTACAAAATGATGCCGCTCAACTTTAGGTTTAATCGCATGGATTTACGCACACATACAGTAATACACACACACAGACGCAAATAACCGTGTAGCGCAATCGGTGTGGATTTAGTATGAACCATTTTGATCCTTGTAATATTTTAATTAATAATGTGATATGTTTCTACTTAACTGAGACTACTTATTGGATTTTTTTAAATAACGTTATTTATCTTAATTATCAAAGTGCTAATAATGACCCTATTTTTTTATTATATTATTCCTAGAGGGTTGATGTCAGGATGCTGGCCGATTGTACAACTAAAAGCCAAAACCCTAAGTAATATGAGTAACAAATAATTGGGATAAGGACAGGAAGATGAAATTACTATAACATAAATTTACTAATTAATTCTTCTTACATATTAATTCAGTTTATTTAGTAATAGATACAATATAATTTATTGTAAGAGTCGGATACATTATTGCCATATTCACTTGTTCTAAATATTATACTTAGCAAATAATTATTTTATTTATATATAATAGTTGTGTTTTCAAGGCTTTGTTTTGATTTAAAGGTCCCATCCTTATATGTATATTAGGTGTGTCCGCGACTTCGTCAGCGTGGTATAATGAAATTGACCAAATAAAGGAAATATATTTAGATTATAACCTAAAAAAGTTTCTTTGTTTCAATTAAACAATGACGATACTTTTATACAACCTTTCCTCTCCGCTTTTAATCCCTTACAATACTTTTTTCGCACTATAAAGTAGTCTATGACCTTTCTCAGGGTATACTATCTGTGTATATGTATATCTATCTATATAGACTACCTGTGTATATATATGGTAGTGAATTTACAAGGTACAGGGGAATAACACCCGAGTTTTCAGGAATGGCAACGCATGAGGGAAATAATGTGCTGATATGAACATGGCAGGTACTGCTCATGTATATAGGCGACGGTTACCCCTTTCCATCAGGAGAGCCGTCAGCTTGTTTGCCATTCTAAGTTGTAAAACAAAAGCTTCAACTGCTCTCATTGCTGTTCCTGCATCATTGACGTCGCCGCATGATATTGGCTGATATTGCAGCTTCTCGTTCTTGGTTGGCCGATTCTTGATTCTTGATAAATAATTAATTGTTAATGTCAAACCTTTTTATAAATTATTATAAGACGCCTCATTGATTATATGTAATGAAATCACCATGAGCTATAGAGATTTTGGACAGAACCTTAAAAGACCTTAGAAACACCTCTGCTCTCATTGGCGGGATTACTTTTATACTTTTGCTGGAGATTTCTGAAAGACTCTCTGTGTCATTAACATCGTCTCCCTTATGGACTTTAATTGAAAGTTTAAAACTACTGACAAATTTGAGAGCTCATTTTTATGGAAGCACAGATAGTGATTTCCCACACTAAATGCTCAAACTTGAGGAAGGAATTTCTCAAAAGCATGATCCAGTCATGAAATTTAAGCCCGCCGAACATGTGCAATGGCGTCCCATTGGATATATTGCTTACTAAAGAATTGAAAGACAATTTAATTGTAGACCATTATAACCGGTACGTTAGCTGGGCAACCAGCTTATATACCAAGAATACCGATGATTCCAACTGATCTGCCAATACCATTTTAACGGCTTCAATTTCCGGTTAAAATATCATCTACACATGTAATAGATCTATGTATGTTTTGATCTTAAAAAACTACGCAGATTTTGATTCGTTGTTATTTAATAGACAGAATAGATAGACTCAAGAGGAAGGTTTATATATAACGTCCCAATACTGTACACGGATCTTTAAACGCGCGATAACCTATATATCCCATATTCACGCGGGCGAAGCCGCGAGCTAAAAGCTAGTCTCTAAATAAAAACATTTATAATGTTGTTGACTTTTCACCCAAACACGTATAATTATTTGACATAACTGTACAGTAATGAAAGTCCAACGAGTATAATAACAGAATAGCTGCAATTTAGAAATATCTGTATTGTGTAAAATAAAATAAAATTGGATAAAATATCTCTAAACATTAAGGAATATAATTTATATATAATTTGGTAATTTATTTACAATCCACATTGCATACTAGATGATATACACTATATAACACAAGACAAATGTACGTAAAAATAATAATGGTATTTTTATAAACAATAACCCTATTTTAATTTAGAAAAAAACTACAAAATAAACTTAGAGTAAAATTGGTTTACATTTTCTTACATTTTTCTCTCAGATAAGCGTTATTTTTAAAAATACTAAAATGTTCTCTTTTTTAATTTTAACAATTAATTGCCATTAGTGTGACGAAATACCATGCTCTTGTGCTTTTCATAGTCCAGCAGGGTAGGTAGGTTTTATTTGTAGCATAACTGTACTTTTGTCTTGGCATGCTAAAATAAATATTATATATATATATTTAACAACAACTTTAAATTAATATTCGTAGAAATAAGTATATATTAGCAAAATTAATTAAATATTACTTAAATTATCAAAATGGTTTAGTCGCTCTATACTAATGTTCACTGACGAATGTCTTATCTTAGCGGTGTTGTAAAAAATGGCATAGGTCCTACCTCGACGAGCGCTAGCGCGCCACTGAGAATTTACTTTTGGCGCAACGGAATTTATACAACTTTAAATTATTATTATTGTTTATTTTTTTCTTAGAAACTTATATTTTTTTTTCATATTTCTAATTTACAAGTATATTAACTTTATTATTATGTTTTTTTTATGCAAAAATTTCGTTGTATTTATGAGAAAATTAGAAATGATTATGGCAAAGTTTTGTTGAAATTTCGGGTTTAATTATGATCAATTTTTTAGATATTTAAGTTGAAAATGAAAAAAAGGACGATGCTGTCTCAATTTATAAAGTAATTATCAAGTTTTAGTAAAGATATCATATCAATTTATGTTTGTTTATTAATGAACGACGACCCCAAACTTCTGTCATTTAGCGTTTTTGAATAAACTATTTTAGAAATTAGGAAGACTAACAAAGAGAAAATTAACATTTCAAAGATGTAGTTTTTAAGATTAGATATCTATCTATATAATTCAGGAATCAAAATGTATATCCGACTCTTAATTTCTTAGAACCAGAACCCCAAAGACACTGCTTTTAGGCCAAAAAATGTGAAAGGCCTCTTAAGACATTAAATAAGTTATAATTTGAAAAAAAATAAATAACACCTACATATGTATATATGCGCAAATATATAAATATATTGGCATATATCACAGGTTTCGTGTTTATACTCCTGCGAAACGGCTTGACGGATTTCATCAAAATCGGCTGTATCAAATGACAGCTGAAGTCAATGTGTAAATGGCAAATAACAATGTCAGTGACACAAATAAGAATTTAAAAAAACTGGAATGGCAATCAAACTGAGATACCACCTATACTGTGTGCGCTGTAACATGGTGTAGTATTGCTACATTTAAGTTAATACATTTATTAATGAACGTGGTACAGCTGAAATACTAAGTCGTAATTTGTAAATCGCGTTTTTCGTAATTTGTAAATATAATTAAGAGTGAAACTGTCACCCGCACCATGCAACAAGCGCATATGGTATAATGCAAAATGGCAAGTCGGTCCAGTATGTTTTGAGTTCATTCGTCACAAACATAAATACATTCCTCTTTATAATATCACATAGATAATACAATATAATGCACAGGTAAAACTAAAAAGCACTTTTCTTGAGCATGTTTTGCAAGACAAAAGTCGTACTTGAATGCCGTCAAATTCAACGAATCCAATTTCAATAGTTTTGTTTATTTGTAGGTATATACTTTTTGTCATATTTTTGAGTTCCACGAACGTTTTGACGATAACATACGTTAGTAATGAGTAAAGTGTGACCACTCACAAACGGCGAAGAGCACCAGACCCAGCCAGAGCCAGCCGGCAGGCGATAGTGGGGTGACACGGGGAGCCGCAGCGGCGGCCACGCTCAGGAACGACAGCGGCGTCAGCGCCAGCGCCGCGCGGGCCGCACGCTCCGCGCCCGCAGCCCCCAGACGACGAGCCGCGCCGCCCTGCAGCACCGCCATTATCGCTCCTAATGCACAACACAATAAGTCTATTATATTATGTATACATTCATATAATCTTATTAATGTAATAAACGCGAAAGTTTGAGAATATGGATGGATGTTTGTCACACTTTCACGTAAAAACTGCGGAACGGATTTTAATGAAACTTTAGAGTTTTAGTAATATAGCCTATCAGAATAACATATAGTATATAAATTCACGCGGGTGAAGCTGCGGGTTCAACTAGTATAATATAATATTACGGAGGGTAGGGAAAAAATGATGATCATGAGCGGCTAAAATGTCCTACATGAATAAAACGATTGTTGACTTGATTTACTAATATTACAAACGCGAAAGAAAGATGGATGTTTGTTACTCTTTCACGCAAAACTATTGAACTTTGTTCACTAAATAAATTAATAAATGTATTTTACAGTTAAAATGACAAAAATATCAACACCACTATAATTGGTAGATTGAAATAGAACGAAAACACAAGTCACATGTGTTACTTACCTATAACTAAAAACATTTTTCCTTGTTGCATGGCTGTATACTGGAATGTATGATGAGTGAGGAATGTTAGAGTAAATTCGAGACCGGAGTATATAAATAAATATAGAAAATATATCAGTCCCACTTTTGTAAGAACTTTATTTTGATGTTCTGATAAATTTTTCACAGCACTGAATTTCAATAGATGCCATGGTGATACGAAGTCCAGTGTTTTAGACAGTGTAAATAGTAACGGTGATCTTTTTTCCTGAAATACAACAGTGTAATGCAATAAAGTCAACATTCATTTCTGATTGTTTTATGTTTAAGACCACACAAAATGTTTAATAAAAAAGTAATATTATTCAGCATCAACATTAAATACATTTTCGCAGTTAAAGTATCCTCATTCATAACATCATTGCACTGGTAGATAAGAGCCACCAGAAGTCTCTTATTGTCTGATAAACCCAACTTGTTTGTAAGATTGAGTAGTGTTAAGTATGATTATAAAGCTTAACTTTGTCATATGTTCATATGCTAAGTATAAGTATTAAAAGTCTGTAAAAACGCTGATGACTTTACTTATATTTTGACAACAGATTTTTACATTACATTTTTTTTATCTTCTATCTGCAATTAGTCCTTGAACTACAAGTAGATCTTTTGAGTTTGTGAACTCATAACGGAGGATCTGCTCCTTAAGATGCTCGTACAGTGAAATATTACATAATATCGAATTGTTATAATAGTTGAGTACCCAATCGATTTGGGTGTTTAAAAAAACGATTTTTATATTTTGTTTTTGAGGTGAGTATCTACTCTTTTACATTACAAAATGTATAAAAATATTTAAAAGTAAACAATTGTCCCTGACTAACCAGGATACATCCCTTAGGCACTGTTGCTAAGAGCCACTTTATTTATTTAATTAGGATTACATCCATATTGTGTTAGTAAACAACTTATGAAACTATGTAGCTAAAGCTAAAGCTATAAAAAATTAAATGAAATGACATCCTGGTGGCTTTGGGATCTTACTATTAGTTTAGTAGATACAAATAATTTCACAACAAACCTTAGGTAATGTCTCTGGCATAAAGAACACAACAAGTGCTACATTAGTGAGTGAGAGTAACAGTGCGTAGAAAGCAGGTCGCTCGCCCCACGCACCCGCCGTTAGGTTGTGGGTAGCTGCGAACCAAGCGCCAGCTAGAGGTCCAACTATGAACCCAACAGAGAATGCTAAACCTATTAATGCCTGAAAAGTGATTAAGGTCTTACTATATTTTGACAAGTATGCACAATAGGTAGTTACCAATCTCTAATAAAACATTTCAATAGTTTGGCCAAGAAATGGAAATATAGATTTTGTTCCATATATACATTAAGATTGAATATATAATACATTCTTCAGAAAATAAGTATATATTTATGAGTATCCTGATATTTCAGCAGTGTTTCTCATATTTCTGCATAGCTTCCAATACAGAGTACTGTTCCTATAACAAAACCTGCTCCCTCTCTTGCCAATTAATAACTTTGTTATATAGTTCATCAACAATATATTCTGCAAATTTTCATAAACTTGTTTAAATCTTTTAGAAAATGCACAACAGATAGGGATGTGCAGTTATTGGCCTTTAGAACCTTATTTTATTGTTATAATTACATGTGCCCCTTACAATTATTGATGCAACCAACAGAGAAAGGAAGTAACTTACATGAAATTATTTCTTAGCCATTCTGCATCCCTTACAACAAAGTTGCACATGTAAATTTATCATAGGTTAATTTAAGGAAACTCCTTATTAACTACTATTATTTACTTAGTTCTTTCCTATCATTATTTTATGGTAGGAAGGAACACATTAATCAGTAATTGAAAAAATACTGTGAAATCTATGATAGCATAGTTATATTGTACTATTTGGTATCAGTCAATACAATGCAGTAATAGGTTCTCATAGATTCAAATCTTGTTAGAATTCCTTGCACATTTTTGTTTTGAAACCTATAAGTTGTAAAACTATTAGCAAATCAATAAGACATATTTATATACAATTTGAAATTTATACATGCATGATACATGCATGTATGTAGGTCTATATTGTGAATTTAAGAATACAATAAGTTATTCCAAATTATTTCTTACCATTCCTCTAGCTCTCGTTTTCTCATTAGAGGCATCTGTAACGATGGCCATACTAAGACTTACATTGGCTTTGCTCAACCCACCAATGAATCGTGCCATTACAAATACACTAAAAGTTCTTGCACAGCCCCACAGGGCATGAGACAATGCTATGCCTGTCTGAAACATTAAAAAAAAACACATTTAATTTATACAAAAATAAACAGAACTTATAACTAAATTAAATATTAAAATAATGTAATTAGTGACAACATCCTAGTTCTAACACCATACTGGCCAAATGACATAGGGTTATGGTATAACACCCTTTGAGTTTTTTTTAATATTATAAGAAAATTTATTTCATCATCACATGCATCATGCTCATATAACTTAACTAAACACATCTATGCATGTCTAAAGCTATAAGGCCTTTGAACATATTATCCACATAATAAGGGAGATATATAAAATATATATAAATAATAAATAACCCTGGACAATTAACACATCACCATCTAGACCCACGGTAAGCAGAGCTAGTGTTATGGGTACTAGACTACTGATATAAATACTTAGATATTTTTTTTAAAACATACATGATATACAAAATACATGTATATAGAAAACACCCAGACCGATATAAATAAGACCCATGAAAACAAATGTTTGTACTGTGAGAATGAACTTGCAATCATCAGAAGCTGTGTGCTAAACCGCTAGGCCACTGAGACTATAATAATACAATATACATCAGTAATAATATTTTCATTTAAAGTAAATATGTTCCATACATAAATAAATTATGAAATAATAATGACAAGGTTCCTACCTTTTCTTGTCACTAAATAATGTTTAATTAGCATTTGATAAGAATAGAAGAGAAGATTAGAAACATTTCATTTATTCAAAGATAGTAACATTTATATCTGAACAGATATGATTATGCTTATTTAGAAGATGCTTTATCATTGAAAAATAGTTCACTTTAGTTATCTTGATTTTAAATTTCAAGTGTTGATTACAAAAGTATTACAAAATATATTCCATGGCATACAACTGACATTTAAAATATTCATAATTCATTCAATTCATACAAATTATTTAAATACTTAATTGTGATCAATTTTACACTTACCAAACAGATTATGAGCATAGGCTTCCTACCATATGCATCAGAAAGACTTCCGACTATTGGACTTGTTAGAAATTGAAGAAAACTATACATAGAGCCTAGAACTCCACCAAAAAGTACTGATGAAAACCGATCTGGTGCTCCAGTAAATTTCTGAAATGTCTGGATAGCTTGAAGCAAGCTTGCATATAAACTGTTTCCCTTGCCTTCTTCTTTATTGTAATAATCTAATAGAGACGGTAAGAGTGGAAGGATCATAGTGAAAGCCAATAAATCCAATAGTAATGAAACAAAAATCAAAGTAATGGTTCTTGGACTAAAAGTTGCTTTAGAACATTTAACATCTGATTCCTTTATCATTTGTTCTTCTTCAAGCTCTTGTAACGTGTTATCCTTTCTCTTTTTAACGACACCATTTTCTTGTTGATTCTAAAATTAATAAAAGTATTAGAAACTCACATAACAAACCTACAATTTTTAGATACAGTTTTTAAAACTTACCATTATTATAAGTTAACTATAATAAACTACTTTAGTGAAAAGTTTAAAAGAAAGTTCACGCAATCCATTGAATGAAAAAGCGATTGTAGAATAAAATACCTCAAAGAGAATATTTCTTATTAAAAGGTTTAAAACATTTTAAAAACTAAACAAGACGTAGTATATATTTATAAAATAAATCACAGATAGATAAACGCTACAAAGACCGACAGTATAAATAAACTATTAGACAAATATAAAAAGGACCACCAACTGACTCGAGTCTGAAAAATGGACTGAGCGAGGACTGACTGCCATTTGAAATTTGACAATTCAAAGTTAACAAGGCTTGACACATATTAAAAAACTTATACACGTATGGTTAGGAAAATATTTTAATTTCTCCCCTACATACCTACCTATCTTTCAAAATTGATGTCCCTTTGGTATATTATATTCGGTATATTTACTTTACTCTTTGATTGATGTTCTAGTGTTACTTTTAAAAATGAAATTATCCTGTATATAATATACTAAAATGTTCGAATAAATAATAAAAATAATAAATGTATGCTTGCAAAATACAGAGTTATTACACTAACAAACGAATTTTCGATCATTTAGTCCGGAATTCTGTCTATCAGTGCATACCTTTTAACCGAGTGTGTCGACTCATCTTCTATAATGAATTAAACATAAATTAATAATTGTATTATCAGTTTAATAATTAGTCATAAATTACGCTGTGATAATAATAATATAAGTTAGACATTTGTTGGTTGCTTATTTATTACTATAAAATTATTAATAAAAAAAAATCAGCACTCGGCACAAGGGTAATTCAAAGCCGTAAAGCTATTAAAAATAATTCATTCGCCACCATTTTGTTTTACTTGCTTCTATATTATACTTTGATTTGTGATACCAATATAATAAGCAATATAAAATAATTAAATATATACTATAAAATACTATGGGTGAGGATAAAGGTAAATATCTTTTTAAATATGTATAAATGCAGTAAAACATGTTTTTATTTATACGCATTTTATTCGTTTCGGTTTTAGATCGACGACGCAGATCCCGATCAAGGCGCCGTTCTAGATCACGTTCAAGAGAACGCAGAGAAAAGAGGAAGAGCAGATCGAGGTCGCCATCAAAGAGGTCCCGTAGACGTAAGCCTTCTCTTTACTGGGATGTCCCACCACCAGGATTCGAACACATAACGCCATTACAATATAAGGCTATGCAAGCGGCTGGTCAAATTCCGGCCAACATTGTCGCTGATACACCTCAGGCGGCGGTACCTGTCGTAGGTTCTACTATAACACGACAAGCAAGAAGATTATACGTCGGAAATATACCATTTGGTGTTACTGAGGAAGAAACAATGGAATTTTTCAACCAACAAATGCATCTGTCTGGCTTGGCGCAAGCTGCTGGTAATCCAGTTCTCGCTTGCCAGATCAATTTAGATAAAAACTTTGCTTTCCTAGAATTTAGATCTATTGATGAAACTACACAAGCAATGGCTTTTGATGGTATCAACTTCAAAGGTCAAAGCTTGAAGATTCGACGGCCTCATGACTATCAGCCTATGCCGGGTACAGAGAACCCAGCTATAAATGTACCAGGCAAGTTTCTTAATATTTTATTTACAATATGAACATGTTTACTAGAACTGTAAAAGGCCTTCTGCATATCTCTGTGTAGCCTATATCAACCATTAAGCAGCTTGTTTTATAAACTGTGTTTTGTAGAATGTGATTAGGCAATGAATTACAGATTAAGAGATAGGACATCTCAGTCCTCTGAATTAATCACAAATCATTTAACATTATCTATGACTGACTGAGAATATGCCACCTGGTGTTAAGTCTCCCAAATGTACTATTACCTTAAGTATTTTTTGTTAATAATGGAATTGTACTCCAGCCTATGCTAACAGTTTACATTGGTGTAACACCAATGGAAGATGATAAGATGAGCATGAAGTCCGGTCAGTTAGTCCATTATGATAAATTCCTCCTATGCTGAGTTCAACTTGATGTGGTACATTACTACCAATGGGGTCAACAGTCCACATTGCCAGCAACTTTTTGTACAGTGTGCATTAAAGTTGAAAAAATCAGTGGCATTATAGGTGCTACTTAACATGTTAAATGCCTTGTAGGTCACCGGTGACCTCATAATGTCTGAATCTTTGCGCCGCGTAGATCACCCATGACCTCACTTTAGAGATGTGTTTAAAAAGCATTTGATCACTGGTGTGTGCTTTTTTAACACATTTTTAGCACTGTGCTTTTTTAACACTAGAATGACCGGACCGGCGCTCAACAACAATACTCTGTCATGACCTGCGGCGCACACATATAGAAAATGTGTTTTAGGTCCCACAGCGCCACAGTGGTCACTGGTGACGGCAATGAATTTTCTTTATTTTCCTCAAAAATTTCAATCTAAAATAAAAAAATAAATATGTTTTAATGTTTACCAATGTCATAAAAGGATTTTTTTCTTACAAAAAAAAAGTATTTTTGTTATTTTTTACAATGGCATTTAACATCTAATAATGTTACACCCATAGTGCTATATATGTATGTATATCTTTATGTATAAAAATTACTTGTAACCTTGTTTGTAAATAGACTTGTTTGTTCCAAACTACTGAATTGGTTGCAAATTTGATATGCACATTGTGTGCAATTTGATCCAACTTGAAAGATAGAATAGCTTACATCTCAATTTATAGTCATCATATTAAGTTATTCAAGAACCTTAACCAAAGCAACTCATGTCTGGGACCGCTAATATACATATAGGGGAAGGTTATTGTTTACCATCTAGTGGTTGGTCAACCTGTTTACCATTCTATTTACATAAATAATATGTCAATAATTATATATGTTATGCTTGTATTAAATTCTACCTATTTTCTAATAATTTAAAAAACGTTTTTTCAGCTGGTGTTATTAGTACAGTTGTGCCTGATTCTCCACACAAAATATTCATTGGTGGTCTTCCTAATTATCTTAATGAAGATCAAGTAAGTAGTTTTCTCTACAAACTCTGTGAAGCATACATTATTTATAGTCTATAAAGTATAGACTAACATATGAATATTCATATCAATATAGACCCTATAAATTCATGTTTCACAGTTTAATGTGTACATAAAATTTATACAACCATTACCAAAGCATTTTCTGCATAATAAATACAGTAAAATTGTTATACTTATTGTCCTGACTTTAATACCATTTGATATTTTGTTATTGATTTGTAAATCTGGATTTGATTAAACTAAATTATATTTTGCAGGTCAGTACCCAGACTCCACATATATCTATTTATAAAACATGAGTATCATTCATCATCACATAAAAGTACTTATAATTTGTTGTTATAACAAAAAATTATCAAATGAGATCTTTTCATAACCCTACTGTGTAACCAATTTATTACTAATAACAAAAATCTATACAAATGGTCCACATCAAGTATTAGTTATGGATTGATGTGACACTAAAGTGAGATTACAGTACTGTACATTTATTACATCATTATACTGACTACTAGCTAGTTCCCATTAAGTAACATTAGGCGCCGCAACAATTTCAGGGCGAGATTCAACAGTTGACAGGGCTACGGTGAGGCCAGCAGTGAGCCGCGTTATTATTTGGTCCGTTTCAGGTATTTTCAGGTACCCCTTGGAGGGATGAGCGTGCACGATTCACGCTCAATACTTATACTCATACAACTCACTGATATAGTTTGCTTTTTGCCCCTCCCTAGCTTAGATTTGGCACATTCGCGGCCCGCGTGTCACTGTTGTCTCTCATTCTCACCTATACGTCTTGTACTTGAATGAGACGTCGGCACTCCAAGGCAAGTCTCCTCCATTCACATCTGAATCTAACATGCGGCTAGATACAGGTCAGATAATATTCATTTATATATTTGCTGCATTTTGCTAAGCAAATCTCAATGGGAACACTAAAAGTTATGTATGCTGAATGTACGACGTAATAAAAAACTTATATATCAAACTATGTATTTGTACGAGTTCTCACAACTTAATTGACTTTTACTAATAGTCTTACATATAAACAGGTAAAAGAACTGCTGATGTCATTTGGGCAACTTCGAGCTTTCAATTTGGTGAAGGATTCCTCAACAGGCCTTAGCAAAGGTTACGCATTTGCTGAATATGTTGACATATCAATGACAGACCAGGTATGTTGAAATAATCAATATATTCAGTGTTTAACATTCTATGTATTTTCATTCTTGATGGGTTTTTATTTGTAATTGTCAACAGGCCATTGCAGGACTGAATGGTATGCAGTTGGGTGACAAGAAATTAATTGTACAGAGAGCCAGTATTGGTGCAAAGAATTCAACATTAGGTAAGAAATAATCTTTACTTTAGATAGAATTTGTATTCTTTTTGTAGCAAAAAGAATCATGGAAATCAATAGTATTAGCGAAAATAGCACAGTTGAATTAAGAAGTCTCAATTTCGCAAAGATTAAAGAAATTACAGTTTCGAAATACAAAATAGGACCTAAAATATTTTTTTTTTTAAAAAGTAATTAAATATATGTATTTTAAATATTGTAAAAATAAAAATAAAAATGTTACATCTTATTTCCCGCTTTGACGCCATCTTATAATATGAACCTGTATTGCAATTTCAGTGTGAACTGTTTCTGTATATACAGTAGAGTATCGTAAGTGTATAACTTACGATGTACATTTTAACAGTATATTTAAACATATTTGGTAAATATGATTTCGTGTTTGTAGCAATGACTGGCGCCGCACCTGTACAGCTGCAGGTGGCCGGCCTAACACTAGCGGGCGCGGGCCCGGCCACCGAAGTTCTGTGCCTTCTCAACATGGTTACACCCGACGAGCTTCGCGACGAAGAGGAGTATGAGGATATTCTCGAGGACATCAAGTGCGTATAGCTTTATACCTCATTTAGTAAAATAGTTAAGAAAGTGTTTAATTGGCCATGCAATTATTTATATGATATAAATATGGAAAGGATTATAGTCCACTGACTTTGTATTCATATCAGTTTTAAATGTCGGTGATGTATAGTGGATAGTATTTTAAATATATGTGTAAAGGACTTACGTGAACACACTTCCGTCGACGGAGATTTTGCCGCCTATACACCTACCAAGAAGAAGAGTGCAAGAAATATAATCAATAAAATAAAACAATGTAGTAAAAAGACTAGCCTATAACGTTCTAAGTGTATATTACACACCTACTTAGATCTTGGTATAGTAAAGGTATGAATACTAAGAAAATTTAAGCAATAGCGAATTCGCGCATTGGTCGTATATTTTTCACACTTGTCATATAAATATTATGTATTTTATTGATAATCATACTATATGGTTTATTGTTACAGGGAGGAATGTAATAAGTATGGATGTGTACGTAGTATAGAGATACCAAGACCCATTGAAGGTGTGGAAGTACCGGGTTGTGGAAAGGTAAGAATACTGAATATGTTACAATTACCAAAAACATTCTAGTATCTAATATGGTGTAGTATAGTAAATTGACAATTGTTAAACATATTAAAATATATACAAATATTTTTTCATGATAGAAAAACAAACATTAATAATCTATAACTACAATAGAATAATAACATTCTAAAATACAAAACCGTAGTACGTGGGGATAGTTAAGATAGCTTTCACAAGATAGTTTTCTTTCCGTTTTAATATTCTAAAGATATCTATCATATCTGCTATCATTAATTGCAACAGAAATAACTGATTTAATATGTTTCCTTGAATTTACAGGTATTCGTAGAATTCAACAGTATTGCAGATTGTCAAAAAGCACAACAAACTCTCACGGGTCGTAAGTTCAGTAACCGTGTCGTCGTCACATCGTACTTCGATCCTGACAAGTACCATCGCAGAGAATTCTAATTGACAATCGATTATATCGTTTGGGTGTAACCGGAAGACCACACTGTCATTATTAAAATCTCATGTAAAATGTTAATTATAATAAATTTTTTTCATCGATTCCTCTTGATTATATTGTGTATTTAATAAGTAACAATAAAAAGATTTAATTATAACATAATGTTTTATTACTATTTTTATTAGTTATATTAAAACAAAGGTAAAATTATTGATTAAAAAACTCAAAATAAAATGTATAAGATAAACAAAATATAATACTACAAAGTATATTACCACCAGTCCCGGCATTGTAAATGCATATAAAACGAGACTATCTTGAAATATCGAATTATCTCTAGGAGTCATCCAAAAAATACATCACATCTTTACGAGAAGGGAGGGGTTCTAAATTTTTAGATGTCACATTGTAAAATCTATTACCAACTACGTGTATATAAACAAATTTTTAATTTGTTTATTTGACGGATTTACACTTGGTTTACCTAATTAGTGTAAAATTGGAAAATATACCACGTTGCACTAGGATCTCAAACGAGACCGTGTGAGCTGTAAAAGACAGGTGTTAAAAATATATGAAATTCGGGTGGCGTAATATATGGCAGTCCCTATAGTATAGTAATTCAACCTGTAAATACATATTCATAACATAAAAACAGTATGTTTTATATTATGATAATACATACTATTACAATTTTCGGTGGTTACTCAAAATACTTATTAGTTTTATTTAATTTTATAAAACGAAATATATTTCATAATTTACTTAACTATTCTTAAACAATATAACAAGACAATAGTGACAAATTCTGTGATTAATCATGCCGGTTCGCTTGTTGCCGTTCGTTGATAACCACGGTCGGCGATCTGCGCGTCTTCTAAATCCGGAGATATAATGATTTTTCTCATTACTGCATATACAATGCCGCCAACAATCAGCATCCCTAGACCAGCCATCAAACTTATAGCCCACGCAGGTACTGCATTACCATCTGAAAACCAAATAATTATATTTAGAGTGTTGTGCCAGAGTGGTATCCGGACATAGTACCAAGATAGTGATTTCGAATCTGGCTGGCACAAAAAATCTTTGAGTTTCAATTTATACTTCTGACTGATTCTGCGGTTATAGAAACACCGATACACCAAATTAATACGAGAGGAGGTACTTTCCCCCCTGCCAGGCTGATTCACTTATACCGAGCGAAATGTGGGCATGTTAAGCCATTAGTTCACTACGACGTTGATAGTTGATAATATCTATGACTATCCCATCCGGAATAACAGCCGTGAAAGTATATTATTAGTATAATTCAAAATATAGAAAATTGTTTTCATGACAGAACTTGAAATGGCCAATTAAGTAGTATCGCTTTGGACAATTTGAAATCACAATGGTTAATTACTGTAGCGCCCATTACAGAATACTTGTGACACTAATAAACTAATAAATGTTTATGTAGATTGCATAAACTTATATACTGCATATGTTTATATAGATGCCTCTCTTTCAGCTATTTCAACCGCATTTGTGTTTCAGTTTGAAGGGTGAGCATAAACACATTGAAGTAAGGTTACAGAGACAAGACATCTTAGCCTACGGGCATAGACATAGGTTTTTGTAATGTGTTTTATATATTGGTGACGGTTATCACTTAACATCCGATGTATCATTTACTTGTTAGCTAGTCCAATTAAATAATAAAAGTCTCAAAAATTAATTGAGGGTTGGCGAGCCGCGAGTATATATCTATTACCACACCACAGTGTCAGATATAAGATGTAGGTATTACTTACGATAATAAGTGCGTGTCATAACCCGCCTTCCCCTCAGAATTTTCCTTCTGGCTTGGGCTTCTTGAGTAAGGGTACTCAAAATAACTGAAATTTGAAAAACATTAGGTATCTTAAATAATAATCATTACATAAGACATAAAATCTGTTTGAAAGTGCTCGGCGCAGAGGCTATGGTCTAGTAGTATCATTGACTTTGCCTGAAAGGTCGTTAGTTCCAATCAAGTCGAACAGAGCCTTTTTTGTGTATCATTTTGTATTTCTGACTATTTTTTCTGGTGTTAAAAATACCGATAACAAACTAAAAGGTAATCCGAGAGACTTGATACCTGCCACATTAGATTCAGGTAAAGCAGAGAAATGTGCCCACATTTTTTTATTAATATTAATGGAACGATGCACTCGCCTGTGTTAACGGTTTATGATAGTGGGATACCAGTGGAGAACGATAAGATGAATATGAGGTCAGGTCAGATAGTCCAGCAAATTACTATTATCGCAATAGTTTCCAGGGAGAATCGCGTGGAGGTCTACCTGATATGTTGCTAGCAATGGTTTTTCAGTCCACATTATTAGCAATATCTATCTACCCTTCTCCGCTGTGTCCACATTTCATCACATACCAAGAGTTGGTCCTTGACAATGCTTCGGACAGTCGGGATAAAAATTATGATGGTCTATGTCTTACTATAAAATCTGTATAGGTTTAACTATATCGTTTCAAGATTCAATGCCACACAGAATAAAAATGTCACGGTAGTGTTGTATTGTAAGTTGAAAAAGATTGATATTTGATTGAAGATTGTTTGAAATAGAATGGTGTTAGAAAAAAAATCGTGGCTAGTATGTATTGATATCGCACCACTGTTTTATTTAGTAACAAAACGAAGCATCTTAATTTAATAAATTTGTGGTTGCATATTTTGAACTTGCTCCATGCAATATAAATTTTTGGTGCATATTTTTTTTATTTTTTTTATTGGGTTGTTTGGGCTATTGTCAGATGTGTAGCACCTGTAGCACTGCGACCTACATAGATCTATTGTGCTCGCCCTTTTCAGAGTTCGCTACCTAGACCCGTCAGGGACAAGAATTGAAGGATATTCTTAGGAGCGATCGTTTTTATCTCATCGGGAAAGAGTGTAAACTTTCCAAAGGAGATATTTCGTTTATGCATGAGTGGGCTACAACCACATAGGATGTGAAGCGGCGTTTCCTCTTCAGTTTGGCAGAATCTGCAGATACTTGTCGTGCATAGGCCTAGCTTAGCCATATGCTTGTTCAATTTGCAGTGTCCTGTGAGGGCCCTAGTCATCATGCATATGTTGTTTTTACTCAATTGCAGTAATCTATTGGAGTATTTGGTCGAGAAGCCCGATATAAGGTCTTTTGAATGTATTAATCCTGGCATTTCTTGCCAGTGATTCAGTGCTTCTCGTTTGGTTATTAATTTGAGATGTCCCAGTTTTAGGCAACGAGGCACACCACAGAAGGGTTCGGGGCCCAGTTGGACGGTTTTTGCCCCTAACTTTGCCAGATGGTCGGCATTCTCATTGCCTTCAATATTTGAATGCCCGGGGACCCATCTCAGTATAATATTATTTCTGCTTCCTACTTCATTTAGTAGCAGGATACAGTTTCTAATAAGTTTAGAACATAATTCATTATTGAATTATGTTTGGTGCATAATTCATTATTGAATTATGTACCAAAAAGGCATCTGATCGCAAAAATCCAGTTAGCAGATATGGCGTCCTGTAGATATATGTAGGTTTTACGGTTAGTCATGTCTACTTTACATTCTAGTCGACTTTCAAAACACTACCCTTATAATAAGTAGTCACCACTCCTATATCTATGTACTTACTTACGTCGCAGTGATATCTAAACAAATACTACAAAGAGGAAATATTTACTTATTGTTTGTAATGAATAAACTTAACAAAAACTTATGTAAAAGATCTTAAATTTTTTCTACACATAAAAATAAAGTAACCTTATCAACCATAGTAACATGGACAGTATTTTTATATATTTTCACAAAATGATAGGTTCCTAAAGCAAGTGTATCCTTGAAGGTTGAGGCACGGCTCTAATAGGTACGCAATGTACCTATGTAGTTTTTAATTTTTATTGTTTAGTTAACGTTAAATGCCTAGTTAAGTTCAAATATGTACAAGGAATTTTATCTTAATAAAAAATAATCATTATACAGACCTACTTAACACGTATTAATAATGTATTATGCATGTATTTAATAATAAAATATGGATAAAACAAATAACTTACCCAAAATGACCGCAAGGTAAAACCAAATAGATCTTCTTGCCATTTTGATGAATTATATTTAGATACTTTTTTATTCTGTATTCACAAAACCCCTTTAAAATAAAGGTAATTTAAGGTATACTAACGCAGGTGAGGTGTTCTTTAGGACCGAGCTCTTATCACTATACTGAGATAAGATATCGTGATTACTAATACGCAGATATTATACGGTTCGCCCTAAAGCAATTGCTCAAATGTAGCACATATAAAGGATATGACTCAATGTTTACTATTATTCTAAAACAGACTTATTTTTTCTATTCTGTTCCTGGCTTAGCTTGGCTTGGAAATACAGACTACCTAATCTTAGCTTTGTTTACACGAAATTAATCCTAGAATATATCACTAGGGTAGGTACCTACTACACTGCAGAATCCTACTTGTATGGACATACAGATATATATATATATATATATATATAATATGTATATTAAATACATTTCTTGGTCCTTTGGTAACTGGGAAATGTACCTGTTGATTAAAATGATAGTCTCGGTGGTCTATGGTTATTAGCATAGAGCCATAGGTACTTCCAATGGTCATGTTCGATTCCTAGCACAATGTAAACATATGAATTCATAAGTATGTTTGTATTGGTATAAGTGTTTTCTATATAGTTACTATATCTTCTAGTTAGTATATCTTCTTATGGATGATATTGTAATAGTGCACCTGCCTCCGCTGTCGGGGCATCAGTAGAGGAAAACAAAATGAATATGAGGCCCAGTTCAGGCAGTTGAGGCATCAGTTAGCCCATCAGGACAAATTCACCAAGGATTTATAAGCATAGTTTCCAGGGGAAACCGCGCAGAGGTCTACCTCACATAGTACATTGCTAGTAATGGAGTCGTCAATCCACATTACTAACAATCCCCTTTTCCGTTGTATATGTGCATTATGTATGCATTTATTTAAAAAACTTAGTCTGTGTTCTCTATTAGGTACCTATTTCGCAAGCTTTGCTTAGCTTGGGTCTAGATGGCGCGCGTGTGAATAGTCCTGGGTTATTATTACTTAGAGAATTTACCACTATCGTACCACGGGCGCCCGTATGACAAATTCACCAAGAATTTATCACCATCGTGATAAATTCTTGGTGAATTTGTAATGATACGCTAACTAACCTGACCTCATTCTCATCTTATCATCCTCCACTGGTGTCCCCCCAACGTAAACCGTTAGCGCAGACGGGTGCACCATTCCATTGTCTCCGATAAAAAAAAACTTTCTGTATGTATGTATGCTTAACATCCTCGACAAACTTTGATAACTTTGAGTACCATTTTATACTTACAGGTATAGACTATAGACAGCCAAAGGGTAGTAAATAAAAAGATAATAAATAATAAATACTCTATATTATCTAGGTACCTATCTAATTAAAAAAAAAAATATTAAGTAATTCCTAATTATCCTTGAAAATATTTTTTAAATCTGCTTCTGCAAGTGTTTGAGGTGTCGATACTTCTTTATTTTTGCTAGTAATTTTAACTTTAGCCACTTCTTGCCGCTCAATGTTTCTCTCGTTTTGTACAATCGCTGCAGATTTTTCAATAAGTTCATGTTCAGGGACTCCTTCGTTTTTCAGTATTTCGTATTCTTGTAAAAGTTTTTTCGTATGTGTTTCACTAGTAGGATTCATCATATTTACTGCGCCTAAACCGTGACCATTAGAATGAAATTTTCTGTAAATAAATTCTATATATTAGTATTCCAATTGGGACACATTTCAAATGTCTTTCTTACTTAAATACATATATGACTACTATTTAGTACAATAGTAGTCATAATCCAGCTTAGGTTGTGAATTTATATTTCTGAATTTCCGGACACGGATAAAAAACATAGAGATGACACGTCCACTTGATAGCACAAAACTTCCGAACATAGATTCCTAGGACAGTATTAGTCTGAGTGTTTCGTGAATGTATATATTTACGAAAGTAAAATATATTTAGCTATTTAATATCAGTTGTCTAATATTCACAACTCAACCTCTTAGCTTGAGACAGAATGGCGCTGTGTGAACAATACTTACACTCTTACTGCGTCTTCCTTGTATAAAATCGGTCGTATTGGTTTAATTTCCGGTTTAGGCCTGGCAAATTTAGGTTCGGTTATAGGCGGAAATGCTTTGTATACATCGAACCAAAGTGGTCTGTCGTCCGGTTTCATTGCACCCCGTGTCAGAAGCCCTTCAACCCTGTTAAATAAAAAAATAATTTTAACATAGTTTTAGGTGAAGCTAGCTTCAGCTTTCATTGCACCCTCTATTAGTAGCCTTTTAAAGATGCTGTTTAAAAAAATAGTTTTAACAGTCTCAGATGAAGCTAAGTAATAAAAGAAACAATAAATCATAGCTTTTAAATGTAAAATACACGCGCTTGTTTGGTAATTGAGGGCTACTTTTATGTTTACCACACATTCGTAAGTTAAAATAAATTTAGATAGATAAAAAAACAAATATGCCATCTAGACTATATTGAATTTCAAATCGCAATAATAGTTACTGAAATATAGCGCTGTAGCAGACGAACAAAATTTTTGGACAAAATCTTGATGTGGCATCAAGATTTATTCCAAAAATTTTTAGTTAGGACTCCAAATAGCTCTTATACTCCTCTGTTAACCTAATTCACAGCGCCTATATGCACTGTAAGGTCTCCAGCAATATTATGTACAAACTTGTACTTTGTAATGGAACAAGCAGAGTGAAACCAACATGACAAGAGCCGAGCTTAGGTACTAACGAGAAAAGGACAAATTGTCACTATTATAATTATTTAATTTGCCTTCAGTTGGTAATAATCCAGCACATTACAGCCAGCTGACAATTATGTTAAAGGTATTGATACATTTTGCCCAACCTGTTCTTTATAGTTGTTAGATCATAGGATCTGATATGATAAGGATTACTTTAGGAAAGCCAAAAGGCTATCATAAGATAGTCATATTGGTATATTATCACAAATAAAAATGTACAATAATATCACAAATATAAATGTTTAGACATATTTATTTCTAACAACGAAATTATACAAAATCATAGAATAGCAATAGAAAATTACAATTAGTTAAAAACTATTTTCAACAGTTTGAAATATAGATCGACGTAAAGCCGCAAGTCCATTTCGTTTTGTTTCTGCTATAACTTTATTTTGTATTTTTATAATATCCTCCTTTAAGTTATCGGCTAGTTTATCTGTTTCTGACTTGTGATCATAATCCATCACTTCTGATCTGAAATATAATCAATACAATATTTATATTATATTATTCATAACATTATCCAACAAGAAATAATAATAATAAATTCAATCTTACTCCTTTTTGAAAGCCGCATGAATTTCTTTTAAACTTTTAATTTTTTGTTTATATGCATTGCCAGATTGCTGAAAGCATTTCATTATTGCCACAGTCATATGTTCTAGTTTCTGTTCATTATCTTTAACAGTATTATAATCAACTTGTAGCTGATTTATTACATCTGACAGATTGTTAAGTAGATTGCTATGACAATCTTTTCTGAGAAAGAATAAAAAATTATAGTTAATAAAAAAGGCTGATAAAGTGTATAACTAGAAAGTAGCTAAAATAATGTAATTGCTGACTAAAGCAACATAATCCATAACTTGGCTTTGATAAACAGATTTACAGCATGTTGAGGTTTACACACCAATTACAAGTTGTTGTACAGTTACCTGTCCTCATGATACAACTTATATTTGAAATTTCATTACAATTCATTAAGTTGTTTAATGATAATGCAATAGTTAAACAGACAATTATATACATTTAGAATATTAATAATATGGTTCAAATTCAATCAAAAATGTAAGTGTATATAGAGGTCTTATTTTTTTTGTAATGCCCTGGATGTTTCTAGAATGCCCTATTCAGCTGCATATTGTCTATATGTTTTATGGATAAATTGTAACTATATATATATGAAACGCAATGTACTCATACACAACCTTGTTTTTAATTGTTGACTCATTACATGTAATAATTTTTGCCTTGATTCTTCGGGACCTTCCTTTATTTCTGTGTCTTCTTTTACCTTTCGCTTTTTTGCACTGGCTTCATATTGATTAATTAAATTGTCTTCTTCCTTAATTGTTTCAGAACAATTTCTTTTCGGAATTCTTTTCGCTTTAGGTTTTGAAGAAACTTTTAATAATTGAGTATCTAGAAAGTCATCCACATCTTCAGCATCTAATTTTGAATCCTTGAGTTTCTTTAAGTTAGACATTGTTCAAACAATAAGAAATCTATTCTATTAATATGAAAATTTAATAATTCACTTCTAAACACTCGAAAAGTCAAGAAAAATTTGTTTAATAACTTATTACTTAGATCTATTCTAGCTAAAAAGTACCGACAAATCAGTACCAGTTACTTCCCGCCTAATTATAGTATTCCCGCTCGAAAATTAAAAAAAGAACCTAATATCAGAATTTCTTATTTTTTTAAATCATCATTTCCACATTATCGAGTAAAAATAAAAGCCAAGAAAGAACACAAAAGTCCATACTCCATGAATACAAACAGAAGAAAGCATAAAATACTTTTCATTCCTGTTAGAAATTACATAAGCGCAATTAGATTTCAAATTAATTAAATGTTTAATTTTGATAACAACATCATCACAATTGACATCATATTATTCTAATGACTATTATTTTCTCATTAACAACAATATTTGTTATGTACAAACCTTGTATATATAGTGCCAATCCTTTCAAGCCTACTGCTAGCCATTTTTCGTTTCTTCTTTGGTACAGCCTAATTAAATTTAATAGATTTTAATTCAGCGTAATAATCTGATAATTTATTATTATTTAATATTAAAATTTTTAGGTTAGGTCAGTGTTGCCAACGCTTTGCCATGTTTTAAATATCGTATTATATTTAGCAAATGAAATTATCGAATTTTTATTAAAACTGAACTCTATTCAGTTTTATTAATAATTACTCAGGCTTCTTCTTAAAAAATACACACTCAACTCTGAAGACTTTATACTGTCCGTTCTTTTTATTTAGCACGTAGATGATTATTTTAAATATAATGGAGTCTAAAACAGCAGTGACAACACTGCTGTTTCAGATTGTATAACAGAAATGCCAGTTGTTAAACAAAAAAATAAAAATTCCGTGTTTTGATATGGGCAGAGTTATACCTTTCTTCCTTTCTACATACAGGATGCAAAATAAAAAGGTAGGGCAGAGTGGATACCCTGAGTCACCGAGTAAACGTCCTCTAAAGTGACCATTATTAAACCTTTCTTTTATAATTGACTCAGTAAATATTCTACTGTTGAGTACTGCCCCTCCATCTTGCTACAACATCTCTTATTACAAGTTTTGCATCACAGACAACCTAAAATCAAAATAATTGTACTTTATACATTACTAGTACATATATATATATATAAACCTTCCTCTTGAATCTATTATACCCCCTTCAACATGCATTGTGACTTTGTTTTATACTATGTAATGATAATTAGTTCATCAAACAATATAGATATGTTTTACACATAATACATAATTTTATCACCTGCACATTCAAAGAATAATAATTTATGTAATATTGGGCTGCATCACCACCTGTTTTTTTAATTTTAATATGGGTACAGTCTATAGCCCCTGTATCTGGAAAACCAGCCAGACTTTCAAAATTTGTCATACAAGACCGTTCCTCTGTGACAGTTTCTGGCATTTTTATAAAAGTGGAAGCAAGCTGAGCAAGTGCCTTTGCCACCCTACTACATATCCTACTAACTGTGGGTTGACTGAGTCCATGAAGATCAGCACAATCATCCTGAACCTATGAAATGAAAGATATCAAGATTAATTATGAGTTTGAATTGTATGAAAACTTACATTATCCTATATATATATATATAAATATATGATTGATGAATGTATTGTAAAAAAACTTACCTCTCTTCGTCCCCAACACCTCAAAGCAGTTAATACTTGCAACTCTGGAGAAACGGCACCACCTCTGGGATCTTGTTTTAGATCGTACACCAAGGAAATTATATATAGCAGTACTTTTATTGAATCGGTATTTATATTTAAAGCACTTATCTGGTAAAAGAAATATATATGTTTTTTTTGACGATTTCTTGACATATCAATTAAATTAATTGTAGAAATAGTCGTAATTGCTTCCATTTTATTAATTAACGGAATAATTATTTCACAATTTTTAGGTTAAAACGCTAAAGTAGGGAGTTGGCTCTGTTAACTTTATAGGCTCGCTATTTGACGTTTTAACTTTATCGGACCGCTATAGAGCGTTTATGAATAACGTTTTTCACTATCAGAGGTTTATCATAGGTTTATAAGGGTTTATAGAACTGATTGCTAATGAACAGTTATAAAGCTAGCGTTTATAAATAGAGATTTTTATAAAGCCTTTATAGCTCTGTTATAGTGGGCTTATGGCTTCTTAAGTTTTATGAATAACACCGTACATATTTTGTGAGCTAAATATATATGTAAATAATTTCACTACTATAACTATAGCAAAATGAAAATATCTAGTCATAAGACATAATCTTGTAAAAAAGAATCATATAGAAATCAAGCAATCTGATTTCTATGTTTACCTCTGGCAACTCAAAGGACCAACACATATCCATACAGACTAAAATACGTATAAAATAATAACAAAAATATATATTTGTTTCTGTAGTAGCTACACCAAGGAACTTATTACTCTAAAGAGAACTACGCTGTTGGTGCCACTGCCGTAATAGCGCCGATACAGCACTGGCTCAAGGGATTGGTAGACAAGCGAGTTATTCTTCATGGAGGTAGACTGTGTATTAACCTTCATGAAGAATAACGCGCTTGTCTACCAAGTAGTAGATTTACGCCAGGGCCTTAATATACTTGTATTGTAACTAGACTGTATCTTTGCTTCTGATGGTCGCGGATTCGATTCCTCGCACGATGTAAACATTTATATTCATGAGTACGATTGTTTCCGTGTTTGGGTGTGTTCTTATTCACCAATTTTTATCAATACTTGTCTAGTAACTATAACACAACCTCTGCTTACCTTAGGGACTGGATATGATGTGTCCAGGTTATTATTAATATTAATATTAAGCTTTTGGTTCCGAAATTAAATCATTTCAACACAACAATATTACAAAACATTTAATAAAATAAAATAATTACTCTAAGTCACAAAAATGCAAGTCATTCAAGGCAATCCTTTCAATTTAGTTACTTTATCGCAAAATGTACATATTACATTAAACTATTTACAATATACAATTCCAAGGTTTTGCTACGATTGCGATCGGTGTTTTCTGAAACATCGCTTGTCGGCTTGTCGCGTCAGAATATCTGACACGAAATTTCTGTGTGTAAATACTCTAAGAATGTCATCACGAGCTTCTTGTATGCCTTCGCATACTATTTTACTCCTTTGTATGTTCCCCTATAACAAACAAATATAATATGATTATAATTATAACATAAGCTAATAAATAAAAATTATAACAAAAATATTAGTTAAAATTAATCCATCATACATAATTATCGTATTACTATCACTATTGGTCACTGACTTTATTCACAAATATTATAAATGATTAACAATAAAGGCTTGACGAGAGTACATGTAACATTTTCACAAAACAATGACCCAGCGAAATATACTCATATTTTAATTTGATATTGATTGGTAGGTTAGACACAAAGTAAAAGTTATTGGTAGTGTGAATTAATTGGATTAATGTAATGAAACTAGTTCTTTAGTTTACGTACTGAACAAGAATAAAATTAACGATGAAATTATTCTATTTTAATGTCAAACTAAAAATATAAACAATAATTTAAAAAATTATAAGATTGAATCTATATATAGATTTGAAATACAAAAATTTAATAATTGTGTGAAAACCTTTTTGGCTTTATTCAATTGTTATTTTGCATTATTTCGCTGTTGGATTTATAAATTATATAATTAATGTATAAATATAACTTACCTTCAATAATTCTAACAATGTGTGTGAATGTGGTTGCAATACGTGAAGTGCACGTCCAGAGGCGGTTTCCAGAGATCGTAACACGCCCGCTAATTGCTCGCCGACGTCTGCTTCCAATGACACCTGCATTAAATACATACTTTTGAATTTATGACTCTTTGTCCCTGTATTCCTTCTGAGACAATTTCAACGCTTTATGTTTATATCGTGTATAAATAGAATGAATAATAAATAATAGTATATTACGATATAAGTGCGTTGTGATTAATTATAAAACAATGCGGAATATCAGCTCGAGCCGAAGGCGATGACGTAATAGATTGTGTTAAATACGCAGGAATATCGTACGTTTTTCAACATATTTGATTTTAGATAAACTCAATTATAAAACTGTGATTCAATCTGTTGCTGTCCCGCCGTTTTCTTTTATAAAACAGCGCGATGCCTCCTGGCTGACACCGCGCGAGGTACAGTTCAAAAATTGATAAAATATTAGCAAATAGTGCAGTTAATAAATATAACTTCAGAATTTGGGTTTCTATCGCACGTGTTTTATGAGCTGCTTTATATATAAAACTAGTGAATTAGATTAGTGCGTTGAAAAAGACCATAAACAAAATGTATCATACCAAATCATCCATTTGCGCAGTGAGATGATGCACTTTCCAGCCGTCGGCGCTGTTGAGGACGTGCTTCTGGCTGGCGATGGCGAGGATGTCGGAGGCGCGGGGCTCGCGACGTCTCACGTCAGCCGGACGCACAAAGTGCAGCGCAGTGCCGCGCCACCCGCACACGTAGCTCGAGCTCAGCAGTGGTCCTAACATACATTTACAGTGGTGCTACTTTTACATGTTCATTACAATTAAATACTATAATATATACTTTTGTAAAAACATTACAAAATACTTACGTTTAGGTGGAGGGTTGACAGTGACTGGAGAAGGAGAGGGTGGAGGCGGTGTTTCTTCTGCCGGGAACTCGCACTGTCTAACTTCACTGCTTAATCTGTTAATAATATAATTGACTTTTATTAAAGTATAGATTATATTTATTTCATTAACCAGGTGGTATAAGAAAATTGACATCAGCTTCATAACTCATTAAAGAAATACTGGCTAGGAGCATAATATTTGGGGGGCGATGGTTGCTCGCGTCCGTAGGCACTTACCACCTTGCCAAGGCCCACCCTACACGTGCCCCCGGGTGGTGCAAAACGAGCAACAACGCCGAGGAACAGGCGGCGGTAACTATCCTGCATGAGGTCCTCACTGTCCTTGAGGTATTAAATACCCTCTTAAAGCGTGACTATAGTGCTCTGGGAAGGCACTATAAGTATGTTTCCCAAAACCTATATTATGAAATGTTAGATAATGATGAGTGCGTTATGTCATGCGATCCGGCTAACCCCCGGCGCTCCCCGGTACCCGGGCGGAGAGTGTGAAATATGTAACCGAAGACTCTGCGAAAGTGGACTCCCAGGCTCCCGTAGCTGTTAATATTACTGGACAGAAAAAGTATATACAACATATAGCTTGTTCACTACCAGACAAAAGTGCGTCTCTAGGAAGTATTGCCGCAAGTGATACTCCAAAAGTTACTAACCAAGGAAATAATCAATCTAAAACTAACGGCCATCCCACCTGGCAAAAAATCCCTTCAGTTAGAAACCCACAGAAAAAACGAAAACTATCCAACCCCCCAGAAACCATAGAAACGGTCAACAGATATGATGGCTTACCAGTAGACCAACCAGAAACAGAACAACAAAAAACTACAAAACCACCTCCTATAATACTGTATCGAGGATATTAACAAACTCACAGAACTTCTAGAAAGTGTAGCCAAACGTGACCAATTCTCTTATAAGTTAATCAATCAGAAACAACTCCGCATAAATGCGTTGAAGTGTACAAAAGTGTAATAACAGTTATTAGAGAACAAGGCCTGATTGGACACACCTTTAATAGAAAAGATAAAAGGAACTACAGAATTGTTATTAGAAATCTACATCACAGCACGCCACATACGGCTATAAACGAGGCATTCGAGGAAACAGGAAATTCCGTAATTGGAGAAATCATAAATGCTAAATTTGGTCCTGACAAACGTCCAACAACTACGTTCTTTGTTAATCTAACGGCTGGACCGAACAACAAAGCCGCAAAAGATATCAAATACATATATCATCAAAATGTTAAAATAGAGGATCCCAAAAAGAGCCAAATAATAGTCCAGTGCCAGCGTTGCCAGCAGTATGGTCACTCTAAGAACTATTGTATGAGGCCATACCGTTGTGCCAAATGTGGTCAATCGCACAAGACAAAAGACTGTCGGAAAACTGATCGAACTACGCCAGCGACTTGCGCACTATGCCTCGAACCACATCCAGCAAATTATAAAGGATGTAGTCTACAAAGAAATATCAATACGCAGGAACCAAAGACATTCTAAACTGCGACCAAATTCAACTGTAAACCCCTTGCAAACAAATAAGTCCAAAACTGATGTGAATTCACAGACTACAAGCACAAAGCTAGACACAAATATACAGAAAACTTACAGTTACGCAGACATAGTAAAATTTAATACCAGAGATCAACTACAACCGACCCAACTAAACCTCGATAACTCATCAACAATCCAAAAACTTGAAAACATGTTCATAAAACAATCGGAAAAAATAGATTTAATGTTACAACAAATGAGCACCCTTCTGGGTCTCATAACAACCCTAGTGAAAAATACATCTTTACGTCCTTAAAATTAGCGACCTGGAACGTTAACGGGTTGTCTCCCAACAAAAGTGAAGTGGAAACACTATTAAACTTGCACCATCTGGATATATTACTCATATCTGAATCACACTTCACCAGCAATAGTTTAATTAGAATAAGAAATTACAATATTTATAATACTAACCACCCAGATGGCACTGCGCATGGGGGCACAGCTGTAATCATCAGATCCTCAATAAAGCATAATGAATCAATCGCATATAGGACTGATGCAATTCAGGCGACAACTGTCACTGTTCATGATAAACAGGGCGATATCAATATCTCTTCTGTTTACTGCCCTCCAAAACATAAGGTCACTGAAACCCAGTTTACTACGTATTTAAATTCTCTGGGCTACCGATTTATAACTGGTGGGGACTGGAACGCTAAGCATGAACAATGGGGATCAAGACTGATTACAACTAGAGGTAGGGAGCTCAAGAAAAGCATTGACATGAATCATCTTAGCACTATGTCTACCTCTGATCCTACATATTGGCCAACTGACCAAAATAGGCTTCCAGACGTGCTGGACTTCTTCATAACTAAAGGTCTATCAAGATTACATTTCAAAATAGAGTCTTGCCTGGATGGATCATCGGATCATATTCCTGTTATCTTAACAGTTAGTGCTAGTGTCATCAAATTCAAGAAAAAGCCAACACTCTATAACAAATTTACGGACTGGAATCTATTTCGAGAAATTATAGAAGATCAACTGGATTTAAAAATCCCTCTCAAATCCCCAGACGACATTGAAGACGGAACCACAAAATTTACGCAAATACTACAGGAAGCCTGCTGGAACAGTACCCCGCAACTAAAAGGAAATACTCATAGGCCTATCAACGTTTCAACTGATATGCGCAAGAAAATTCTTGAAAAAGGAGGCTTCGGCGCGTTTGGCACGCCAGTAGACATCCAACGGACAAAACTGCTTATAACAGGGCGGCGAAATATTTAAAGGATGCGATTCGAGATGAGGAAGATGCAGTTGTGGCAGCTCAAATTGAGTCCCTCACTGCAACTAGCTCAACGAAATACTCTCTCTTGAAAGCGTGCAGAGTACATCAAATTCCAACTGGATTCAAACCTCCAATTCGTTTGTCAAATAATAAATGGGCTAAAACTCCACAAGAAAAAGCAAATGCATTTTCTAACCATCTTGCCTCAGTATTTAAACCTGTTGAAGACGAAAACCTCGTCGAAGAAGGAATAGTAGTAAATGAGACTGTACATCAGGAACAGCAAACGGACCTTCCGCTTAAACTAACGACACCACGAGAAATAAGAATGTTAATTCAGAAAATGGAAGACAAAAAGGCACCAGGCTTTGACCTGATTGACAAGTACGTACTTAAAGAACTACCACGCAAAGGAGTTGTATACCACACTATTCAACAGCATTATGAGAATTGGACACTACCCGGCTCTATGGAAAGTCTCTCAAATTATTATGATACCTAAATTGGGCAAATCTCCATATGACATCACATCCTATCGACCAATTAGCCTTTTGCCAGTGGTGTCAAAGCTTTTCGAGAAAGTACTCCTTGAACGTTTGACACAAAGGCTCTCTGAAAAATTGGTAATTCCAGACCACCAATTTGGTTTCAGAAAGGAACACTCAACAATAGAGCAAGTTCATAGAGTGTGTAAGGTTGTTCGAGATGCGTTTGAGCGTAAAGAGTATTGCTCCGCAGCATTTATAGATGTACAGCAAGCATTCGATAAAGTTTGGCATGAAGGCTTACTCTATAAAATCAAGAACGTCCTCCCATATAATCTATATAGGCTAATGGAGTCTTATCTCAGGGAAAGGATCTTCCAAGTAAAGGAGAATGAGTACACCTCGGCATTTTACGAAGTTCTGGCTGGGGTGCCACAAGGCTCCGTACTTGGTCCACTACTATATAGTATCTTCACAGCAGATATTCCGGAAACACAGGGAACAACCGTAGCCACCTTTGCAGATGATACAGCCATCTTAGCTTGTAGTAAAAATCAAGTGGAGGCTACAGATCTGTTACAAAATGCTCTCACAAAGATTGGTCTGTGGTTAAAGCAATGGAAAATTAAATTCAGCGCCTCAAAATCAGTTCACATAACTTTCACCCTTAGAAAAGGCAACTCCATCCGTGATGATGGGTTCGAGCACACTTCCCACTAGTGAAACTGTGAAATACCTGGGTATGCATCTTGATTGTCGACTCACTTGGTCTAAGCACATCCAAGCTAAAAGAGATGAGATTAATATCAAATACAGAGAAATGCAATGGCTGCTTGGAAGAAACTCAAAGCTGTCTACTGACAATAAGCTACTCATATACAAGACAATCCTTAAGCCAATCTGGATGTATGGGCTCCAACTGTGGGGTTCTGCAAGTGTTACCAACATCAACAAAATTCAAAGAGCTCAAAACTACATATTAAAGCAGACCTGTAACGCACCCTGGTTTATTCGTAACTCGGAGGTTCATCACCACCTGGGGATCAACTCTGTCAAGGAGGAAATCTCTCAAACAATAAAAAAATATAAAATCAAGCTGGACAGACATCCAAATAAACTTGCTGTTCAACTGACATTGCCTGATTATATGGCACGTCTTAAGAGACGTAAAATACCAGACTTCAACAACCTGGCATAAGCTGGAATATCTGAGGCTGGATTCTCAATGGAGAATCACCTCTCACGATATCAGATAGTCAACAAATCTGCTTATAGTCTGGAAGACTGATTGCATGATATAAATAAATAAAAAAAAAAGGAGCATAATATAGTTATGAACCTAGACTATAGATTGAATTATGGTTGGATTTTTCTGTGACTATGCTCATATGACATACTTTACACCCGATTACAAACCTATCTACACATATATATAAAAATTTATTGCTGTTCGTTACTCTCGCTAAAATTCGAGAACGGCTGAACCGATTTGGCTAATAAAATATTTCAAGACTAAATCTTGAAATATTCGTTAAACCTAGACTAGGTTTAAACAGTGATAAAATATGAAAAAATTGCATGGAGAATAGTAAAAACAATAATTTTATTTTCCCATAGAAACTGTTAAAACGCACCCTGTTGATAAATTTATTCTGAGGCGGAGACGGAGTTCGCGGGATCAGCTTGTTATTTATAAAACAAAAAAATTATCCCCCTGTTTAGACGTCATAGTATTTGCCTAAACGCTACAACAGCACACCACACTGTAGACTACTTTATTGTCCCCGTCTTTTCATAAATTCAGTGAGCCGAGTATCACTAACATCTGTTTCCTCGGCTTCTTCCTGGGCGAGACGTCGGCGTCTATGCGCGGCGGGTCAGCGTCGTCGTCGGGCGCGGGCGAGGACGACGCTGAGATGGTGGTAGAACCACCTGAGCCTGCACCAGCTGTTGTACCACCGGTGGGCACGTCCTCCCAACCCGTCCCTTCTCGTCCATACCCCACTAGCTGACCTGTCTTCGTTGGTGACCTGAGAATAACAAATATGAGATACAAAAATACTATTAACAGTGACTGCAAAATAACTTTCTAAATAATATCAATAATTCTCGCACATATATGACCAAAAGTATACGAATTTTGATAAGTGATTGGCAAACATTTATCTAATTAAAATTATTAAGTATGTTGATAGAAAAGTTTTAAAATAATACCAATATTATTAAAAACAATATTAGTTATGGATGGAAGAGAAAAACATATTACGCCAAATAAATGGGATAAGGAAGAAGCAGATGATAAAACTATATTAATTAAATAACTAAGTAACGTCAGTATATATACATATTTGATTAAAAACATTTTAAAATATTTTTTTATACGTTTAATTAACACAAGGCTAAACATGGTTTGAAAAAAAAATACAAATAAAAACCTACAGTCGCATTCTGAATTTGCATTCAAATATAATAATATCTTATTTAATTCCTATTTAAAGTCTGTTAAAGAATATTATATTAAAAATATGTTTACCCATCTATGTCACGCTTTCTCAGTATAGACGGTCTGGGAAGCACAGGTGTGATGGAAGCTGGTGGCGGTATTGATGAGACAGTATTTACCACGCTGACTGTAATAAAAAATGTATTACAATAAAATCTTTATATTTATACTTCTGTGTCGATTTCTCAAGACTGAGGGTTGTAACCACCAGGAAAGCTTATTCCAAATAAAACTGTCCAGCCATCTCTATCCTGTGTCAAGAGATTAGCCGACTATATATTTGAACTATGACAAATAAAAAAAAATAACAAAATGTTTAATTTAGAGTGACTGATTTAATTCTCTTAATTAAAACAATTACCACAAACTTAGACTGATATATGACATACCATTAACAAATATATTCGTGTCTATGTTAAGTTTGAAAGTTTGATATTACCTTGTGCGGGCGTCGGGTGCTGGTGCAAGGACTGGTGGTGTAGTGCGAGCGGTGGCAGCGCGCGTGGTACCTCGTAGTAGAGTTGCGTGGGCGCACTGTTGCCAACCACACCGCGCACGCCCACGCTCGCCACGCCCACCACCTGCACACTCACACTCGTCACAACCGCCGACTTCGTAAATTATGTAATACGCCGCTCAGGTGTCGTTCGTAAATTATGTAATACCAATTTAAACCTTTTAAATCCCCTGCCTTCTGATGTTAAATAGTATTAATTTATATTATTATTATAAACTAAAAACTTCTCATTTTTATTTTAATCTATATGAGAGCATAGTTTGTGTAACTAAACAATTGATACTTATATAAATAGGTATATAATTCTAATAAACATGTATGTGTGTCATATACTAGATAGTGAACTTTGATAAAGAGCGAGGACAATAAATCTACGCAGGTCGCAGTTCTGGTGGTTTTAGCACCTGACAATAGCTCGAAACCATTAATAAAAAAAACTTGTATATGTAAACAGAGTTAGTATGATCGTCATAATATCATTGTGTGGTTTCTGGTATAAGCGGCGACATTACCTTCGACTGATAGTTCCTCTGCAGAAGTGGCAAAGGTCGGGCGGAGGGAACTACATTGACGCTGGCGCTGGCACTGCCAACCGTGGCGGCGGGGCCGGCGGGGGGTGCGGGGCCGGCGGGGGCAGCGGGGCCGGCGGGGGGGGCGGCGGCGGCGGCGGCCGGGCCGGCGGCGGGGCCCGGCGTCGGCGTGGGGGCCCGCGGAGCGTTACGGGTGCCTGCGATCACGCCGCCAGCTGATTTATTATCGACCAATTATAAACTTTTTTACCATTACTCATTCAATCATTTTACTTCAAATAGCAGCGATATTATTGAATTAAAAAACGTTTATTGTTGAATCGTAAGCATTGAACTGAAAATATTTTTATTTATGTCGAAATATATATAAAAAAAGAGTAAATCTTTCTAACCAATACTAATAAACGTTTATTAGGTTGTACACTAGCAATTGTTGGTTTTATTATTACTTTTTATTTATAACAAAGACTTAATAGGCTATGTAATGCTGTTTTTGATAATTTTTATTTGAAACAGGCTAAAATCAGTAGTTTTGAAATTTTGTTACCATTCTATAGTTGCAATAGTTAATCTCAAAGTTCATAGAATATTGCAAACTTAAACATAATTTTACAATTGTTTGCTTTGTCATTAAGCCTCAGGACTATAATATTAATTGTTAGTGTTTTTTAGAATTATGCGAGTCAAAGGTATATAAAAACAGGTCATACTAACAAGTCAGTACAGATGTCGTTGCCAATGTCATAATAGCAGAATGAGACGGCTGTGCAGTAGACAAGGCAGCTGAGGGCAATGGTAACGTAGATGCGGCTGCGAAGCTCGATTGTGACCCCGGTATAGGTGGTGTTATTGACATGGAGGCTGTAGCGAGAGCGGAGGCGGGAGCGAGGGCGGAAGTGGGAGCAGTCGGGCGAGGTGTGGTCGCTCGAGGCGGTGGTGCCCGCGTACCATATAGCACTCCCCTAGGTCCGCGGTTAACTCCTGACCAACTATTACCTAAAATAGTAATTTAGTTGCATTACATAATAACTATTAGCGGTCATGTGGTCATTGTTATCAATATAGAAATACTGAACCCAGTTCCATATTATAGGCCTGTATTGAAAAGTGATTATATTAAGTTTATTTGAATAAAAATTATTAATATTTTTATATACTGTATATCCAAAACAGACTAACAATTTTGTAGGCAGTATTTATAATATAATCATAAAATTTCACAAATTAGATATACAAACACAAAGCTAAAATACAAGAGACTACTGTGGAATATAATGTGGTAAGAGTAATTTTGTACTTTGATACTATTTATACTATGATTTTCATTTTAATCATGAAATATTATTACTACAGACTCTTAATATCTTAAACTGATAATATTGGCAATTTCTATATGGCTTGCTATGGTTTCCTATAACTGGTTGAGGAAGAACATAATTAATGGATTCTATTCCTTTTTTGTACTATTTTGATAGGTTATTTTACTTTATTCCTCTTAATTTTTTAATCTTAATGTACCTTATAAATATACTTCTTTTTAAAAAAAAACTGATTAGGCTATTAGAATATATGATATCTAGAGCAAATTCACATCTATATTTATACCAGTTAATTGGACAAAGAGGTCATTTATGATAAATAAGAAAAATAATTACCAGACGCCAGTTGCTGAGGAGCAGGTGTGGGTGCAACTTGTCGGATAGCGAGAGACGCGCCAGCGGCAAGGCCGCGGGGGACATGAGGGACATGACTTGTGACACTAACTCCTTTGCTAACAAGTACACCACCAGCAGTGCTCACATTTGATAATACAGCTGTAAAGTAATGAGATAATTTGAGGATTAAATCTGATTAATCTAGAACTTAAAAACATACTATCAGAGTTATCCCCTAATCAGAGGCATTGTTAATCTTGTGGTAAACGCAATATTGACATGCTCACATTTTGCTTGGTATATTTTGAATCTAACATTGTTTGGGAGGCAAACCTACTAGAAATGGAACTGAAATTCTGACAGATTTGAACTATAGACCTCTTGTACATAATTTATACTCATAAAGCGCAATCACAATTAAAGTCATAAAGAAAAATTTGTGTAGTAAAAATAATATTTCTTTTATTGTAAAAATGGCACAGATAATAAATGGATATTTTACTTCCATTTAAACATTGATCAGAAAGTGGCTAAGTGAACTCAGAAATGTTTTTCTCATAATTTTTAGCTATGATGAGACATTTCTTGTTTTCCTTGCTCTTTTACTAAACATTCCTGATGTATATAAATATGCACATATTGTTTCTATAATTTGCTCATTTGTATTTTTAGAAAGGAGAATAATATTATACTTAGTTTACCTGGTCTGGTGTTATGATGAGGCAGTGGAGGCAATAGTCTAACAGGAGGCAAAGTGCGCACAGATGGATTAACAACGAGATTGCCTTGTCCACTCATCAACTGCCCTCCCACATTTAATACCTGTGTTGCACTGCTCGGTGCCACAGAAGTTTGGACATTATTGTTTGTTGATTGTGCTGACAATTGGGTGCCTTGGCTAATAATCTGTGTTCCTGGACTTAAGAGCTGCCCACTCGGACTAATCAATTGGGGCTGAGATATAATCTGATTACTTTGTCCTTGAGATATTATTTGTGGGTTTTGATGTATAGGTGAACCACTTACAATCATTTGTTGCTGAAATTATACATATTATCACTTTAAATAACCACTAACAATATTTTTATTTCAGTTTCAGCTATTAACTGATTGCTTAATTAAATCTATCAAGTTTGTTGGCTGATTATTACCAGGTTGGTATATAAATATATATAGATAAGAATACTTTAATTATATCATAAAAATAAAAATATTGTATAATTTTCTAATCGTCATTTATTCTATTGAAACTCAGCAGGTTTATCTTTCAGTATATGAATATTGTAGTGCGATGGTATCCTCATCACTGTAGCATTATATATGTTGTGATGAGGTGGCGCTACATAATATATTATTTGTTGTAGTACGTAGGTATTAAGTATACTGGTAAAATTATTGCACTATTTATTAAACATTATTAAGTTTATTGGTAGTGTGCTACAATATTAAAGCTCATAGATACCATTAATATATACCACCAATGAATCTGTGTGTACAGTACTTAACAGCCTATCTAATCCAAACAAAGGATAATTTAAAATGATGATTTAAAATTTTATATTTTAAGGCAGAAATTGTTTATGTAGTACATTGTAACTAGACTACATGCTGAATGTAGTCTAGTTACAATGTCATAAATTTTATAATCCCAAAAACTGAGAAATACTGAAATTTTATAGATACATAATAAAATTTCTATTATATTTAAAAAAAATGCATATTATTTTCAGGTAGTCTTTACCTTTTTAATACAGTGTAATAAAGTACAAATGGTAGAGTATAAATAAGTCTGTTTTTTTTTGGGAATACATTAGAGTTCTGATAAATAATACATAGATCTCACAATGTATGGTTGATAACGTTTATCATATTAGTGTTGTTTTATGTCGTGAAGCAGTTTTTGGTATTAAGGTTTTTCAGTTTGGGCAAACGGCCTAAATGATGTTTTGGCTGTAATGGAAATGGATGTGTCGAATAATAGAAAATGCATACTTGAGAAGCGACGCTTGGAGTAATGATCTGAGCGGCTGGACGCAACAAACCCACTGGACTAGCATGCGTCAATATTTGGCCAGAACTCGTTGTCTTTGGCTGACAAGGCATCACATGAGCCATTTTAACTTCAGTATTGGGTACACTCTTTACGATAGTTATCTTCTGGGGAGCCAAGTCAATGGGATACATTTTGCTTGTAGAGATTGATCTATCGCTCTCTACGTTATTGCTCATTTTATCGTTTTCTTTCCTATGTCAGAATATCATTTTTTATACTAAATAAAAAGCTTTTAATTTGAATTTCGAAAATGTCCGAATTATTCAATATAAACACGACAAAAGAATCAAAAACGACTTGGAGGAAAGCACAGAATGTTCAACAACAGAAGTAAGTAACACAGATCATAAACTACATAAAGATGCTAAGCATACACAGATCATAGAGAAAGTACGAACTTGTTTGTTCCTTCAATTTAGGCGTATGTTTGCTTATTAGGAGCTCAAAAAATCACCACCTTTCTCCAAGAATTTTCAGTTCTTCGTTATAAAGCATATTTATTATTAATAAAATAAAACTATTTTTTTAAAGTAATTTAATACAACTTTTGCAACCACTGGTGCTGAAATGGTGAGACCCTAGTTTTAAAAAAAAGACGTGACACTGGCAAAATCACGTATAGATGCCATAAAAATAGTGGTTTTGTCCATGGTTCGTTATGGCGGACTTAATAGGTGACGGTGATTTTTCGAAAGAAAATATACAAAAATTTAACAATGAAAGGCGGAGTAGTAAACAGTGGGTGAAACTGAATGTTGGTGGAACATATTTCTTAACTACGAAAACTACTTTGTCTAGGGATCCTAATTCATTTTTATATCGATTAGTGCAAGAGGACAGTGATTTGATTTCAGACAGGGTTTGTAATGTTTTTCTTCTTTTGTATGATAATAAGGTTCCCCATAAGTCACTCATTGTTGACTACTAATACATATCAAATTTATATTACAGGACGAAACTGGCGCATATTTAATAGATAGAGATCCCACTTATTTTTCGCCAGTCCTCAATTATCTTCGTCATGGTAAACTGGTTATTAACAATGACATTGCTGAGGAAGGAGTTTTGGAAGAAGCAGAATTTTATAATATTACTGAACTCATAAGATTAGTTAAGGAAAGGATATGTCTAAGAGAAAGAAGGCCTTTGAAAGATTCAAAGAAACATGTATATAGAGTTTTGCAGTTTCACGAAGAAGAATTAACGCAGATGGTGTCAACAATGTCAGATGGTTGGAAATTTGAACAGTTGATTAACATTGGCTCACAGTATAACTATGGAAATGATGAGCATGCTGAATTCCTTTGTGTTGTTAGTCGTGAATGTGGCAGTTCTTTGAATAGCAATGATATAGAGCCCACAGATCGTGCAAAGGTACTCCAGCAAAAGGGCTCAAGAATGTGAGCTTACAGAAACTGAAATATGTTCTATATATTTGAGACTCAGCTCTGTGTGAAATGTGTATATAAATAATTGTAGAATATAAACAGCCTGCTCCTTTTTCTTCTTAGTTTTATATTCTAATTTGGCTTGTAAAAAATAATGTTGGAATTAGTCAATTGAGTGGTATCTGGTATATTAAATATAGTTCTCCATAACTGAATGTATAGAGATACAAATACTCAGTTTCTTATAAAATTATAAAGAACTTAGTACCTAGTTTATATTTAATTTTGAACTATTAGGAAATTGTAATATTGTTGCGATGGATGTCTTCTACCTTGTATAGTTCATAAAAAAAAGTTGTTAAAACAATAACTAGTTATGTTACACAAGTCTACATGTTGAATATTGTTATATATAATGATTTATATCTTCCAAATACATGTTAAATCTTAAATTAGATATTTGTTACCATTAATATGATGTCCAATTTAAGATTTCTGTGAACTTGTGTTCACCTCTTTATTATCTTGCATCTTAAATTTTTTTTGTATGTCAAATAATACTGTAAATTACTTATTCAACAATTGCTATTATAGAGCTTCAAACTCTTCAGAAATTGTATGATGGAGGAACCTGGCGAATATATTAATCTCAGTCATAATACATTGTGGTGGTATAAAGAACAATCTGATTACATGTTGTGAGCATAAAAAAGTGAAGATAGGGGAGAAACAATTCTGTGTTTTTTTTATTATTCTCTAGGGTGCATAGACATAATAATGTATTGTAATACAATGTTTATAGCTTATATAAAAGACAGTTGTTCAGTTGTCGACTGAGCAAAACTACAATAGTTTTATTTTATAATAATAACAAAATTTTGCAGAAAACATAGTCCTTTTTGGTCACTTATAAAATAATATTATGAAATAAATCATACTTTTTCCCAGTCCTAGTCAAACTTTTTATATATTTATTAAAAAAATAACAGTGAAATTTGAATTTTGTTCATCAAGACAATCTTAAACCAATTGTCAGGTTTGGAAGATAACAGGCCCTGTTAACATAACACACATCTAATACAATACTGAATTAACTCAATAATTAAAAACAAAATGAAATTGTTCACATTAAATTTTTAGTGGATTTTCCTAAATTTGTTTTTTTTAGTTAATCCAGCATTGTTTCGTGTGTGATATGAAATGGCATTATTAATCGTCCTAATAGTAGGGATTGATTTGAATTATGAATATTTTAGTCAAAGTTGTTTATTGACTTCATGATACAAAAATGTTTTTAAAATATTAAGATATAAAATTTTATTAGGAGATATAAATATTTTAGTAAAACTATTGTGTAATATATGTTATTAGTCGCACAGATATAGTGTGGGATCGAGGGCGTCACGCGCTGTTATTTACGTCTCTTTGCATTCGTTTCGCTATACTCGAACATCCGCGCTGTAAAAAAATAACTTGCGCATTATTAGCTATGCGCAAGTTATTTTTTTTTATTTAGTCTAAGAATTTTTTCTTAGACTATAATGAAATATAATCTGCAACTGTTTATTAGACAAATAGTATTGCCAACAAGTTGTTTTGAAAGCTCTTTTGGCTGTAGGGAATACCCTAGCTGTGCCTCTTATCCACTTATTGTCTAAATTAGGCAGTAAGAGGATAAGAGGCACAAAATCTTAATCCATCAGAATAGCAACGCATACGTGGTATCATAGTCAGTCGATTATGTGATGTTTCTGATGTTTTTCGCGTATATATGCAACGGCCTGCCATTCCTAATACATGAAAAGGATATTTCTAAGAATCCCCTATATCGCAATTACCCATTGCAACAAATTTAGTAAAACATGAATTATTAAAATTCATTACAATTTCATTCTTGAATGATTACTTACTTAGTACTTTTTATAACGTTTTAATTTAATTTATTTATGTACATAAAATATAGCGGTAAAAAAGCTGCAAGTAACTGCTAGTGACGCCTTTGATTTCATTTTTATCTATACGCGACTCAACAAATTTAAAAAATAAAAGAACTGGTGTACAGTTAATTGACAACCAAACTATTTTATTTTTATAACATTATTTTTTTTGCCATACAGCTAAATGATTTAATGGTACTGACAAATGGCAAGTCGATGCTTAATTATAACGCTCTTACTATCAATCCTCATTAGGAACAGATTAAAGTTTACTTGGTATTTACTACGGACCATTCCACAATTGCAATTACGAACCATACAACTTAGCTTCTTCATGTGTGCAAATGGTTCACGAAAATTGTAACATATAATCTGTTACAATTGACAATTGTTTGTAATAGCGTCACATAATTAATGCTTTATTATGAATCTCGGTTGCTAACAGTTCTCACTAATACAGAATTAACTAACAAATTAAAATGGATAGTGTTACGATTATATCCTAGTGAACCACTTTAGCGTTGCAGGTACAAGTTCTATTGCCCGTGATTGCAACTGGTAAATCGTACTTAATCGAAACCTATAGATTTTAATTGGTTTCAAATTAGAATTATTATCATTAGATTGATTAATGAATCCCCGTGTCTTGATATAAATAATAATATTGTTCATTCGTAAAGGTATTTATTCGTTGTAATGGCTGATGACTAATTTATAGAGTATAGATATATGTACTGTAGTATTTTGTTAAAGCAGTATTTACAATTGAACTGCTTATACATTATACTAAAATCTGGGGCAATATTGGATCAGTGGTGGTGAGGGTAAAATCGGATCTGCAGGTAGGTATATGAAATCGGCACCAATTTCGCTACACAGAAGGCGATCTTATTACTGCTTCGATATTGTCGTGTATAAGCCGTTTTATTATTTTATTTTTATTTTCTACATAATGTATGTAGTACAGTCTTCTTAAAGAAATATGGTAACAGACAGCAACAACTTTAGAACGCCTGATGTTTAAGTTTTCACGTTGTTATTACACATAATTTGACTAATTATTTATTTAAGTGCGTCGATATTTCGACTTGTGTTAGGTCCTGAAACTTAATATATTTGTTATCTGCGCTAACTGTATATATATATACCGCAGGGCACCATTGGAAGATGATAGAATGAGGATGAAATTACGTCAGTTAGCCAGTGTTAGTTAGAATTAACCACCATGGTCTATTGGAGAAATGCGTGAAGGACAATCTGATGTGGTAATGTATTAGCTAATAAACAACTATATTAGCTATTTCTGCCATTGAAATGATGGTATACATCTGTAGCGTGGTGGTTATCCTCATCGCTGTAGCGTTATATATGTTGTGATGAGGCGGCGCTATTGAAATGGCCAAAGTATATAACGGTAAAAATGGGTTCAAACTGTCTTGTGTGTAACGCAAGATGAGAGAGAAGTATGACGAATTGATATACTTAACACTAGGTTTACGGGCGTTTCTTATATATCTATCTCTACGAGCATCCGTCAAATTGACGGGTGGATGAAAATACGTATTTATTTTTAAAAAATCAATTTATGCAAACTAAATCTGAGTTTAACAATATAAGGCTTCACGTAAAAATAAAATACTAATAAGTCAAAGTTTTTGTTAAGTTATTACGAAAATGATAACAATAATATAAAGGCTATATAATCATATTTATCGAGGACATTTTTTACATACGTATTGAATTTCTTTTGTGCATTTTCCGCATACGATATTTTGTATATGTATTTTTACAATACATACAGCAATTACTGCTTCTATTTTTATTACAGTAGCCCACTTGACAACTTTTTCGCACTCCCGATGTTGAAAGTGACCGATCTGAAACGTCTGAACTGTAACGAACGTTCTCCTTGTTTTTTCCAGCTAATTCATCGGCTAAAGAAAATATAAACTCCTTTCTGGATATTTTCGATCCGGTACACTCTTTGTACAATATCCACGCGCTTATCGCTGCCAAATCTAAAATATTATAAAAAACTTGGAGAGGCCATCGAAAACACCCTGCTTTCACACTATATTTGCGTCCCATCTGCTACCGAAGTCTGTGAAAGTTCCTTGTGTGTGTTGTTTATGTTTGCACCAACACATGAACTGATTATCTTTTCCATACGACATTTAGTCTGCTGCACGCTTTGAGTTTCGAATAACGCGAGGATTTGACACCCGGGCTACACAATTCGTTATCGAGGCGCTATTGAGACTATGAGTTGGGGGGGGGGCGGGGTCTTAACCCTTTCTATTAGTCTTATATTTGCATTTAGAGGTATAATTTTACAAGCGAAGCAAATATATAAGGATTGTTGACGTAATCAGCTAACCCGTCAAATTGACGGGTTCCGTAGAAATAGGTATACAAGATACAATTTTCAAAATTTATAAAGCTTAGGAAAATACTAATTGTGCGTATAAACTCTTTTAATGAAATTATAAATTTACAATGCAAAATAGTTAAGATTAATGCTATGGTTTTTTGCGTGTTTCATTTCAAAGTTTGAAATCCGTCAAATTGAGTAAACCTAGTGTTAACTAAGAAACCTGTAAGAAACTGATGTCGTATGTACTTAATCGCCATCTGATTTCCAAACGAGCACAACAGCTACATTAATTGTTTATGATGAAATTACATGACTCAGGGTAAACAGATGTTTGTTTTTGATTCAAATTCGCGTTGAGTTTCAGTTACTTGAATTAAAAGAGAGTAGAAGAATGTTGACGCTCTCTAATAAATTAATCATGGTAAAAATTCCATTTCTTCTGTAATATTAATTTTGAATGCTTTTTATGCGAAAACTTTAATTTACCGTCCCAGATAATTATGACCTGTGTGTGTTTTATATTATAATTTCTATCAATATCTAGTCTGGTACCCATAAAACAAGTTCTTGTTAGCTTGGCACTAGATGACGCTGTGAATTATTCAGAGTTATTGTTACTAATTATCATGTTCGATCCATATTAAGTTGACTGTACTATACACTAACCATAATACATTTTGGGGCAAGGAAAATATTCTAGCAAACAATGACATCTAGCCTTGTTGTGACTCATTAAATGAATTTTTCATACATTGTGTTTTAATGATGTTCCTAGAAATGGTTATCGCTGACAGTCAACATTTCAATTTCAATTTCCGAAGACGTGGTAACGCTTTGTGATATCTTAGCCTTGCTTTGCTGAAAATTAATAGCTTTTGGAGATTATTTTGGCATTCCATATTATGAGTGGAGAGCGAGAGAGACTATTAAGTAATTCATAATTATTAAAGGGCCTATACTCTTGTATTCATGTTTTTATAGCACAGGGGACAAAAGAGCTTGCGACTAACCTGATGGTAAGTGATTACTAAAAGTTTCAATATCGTATCGATTTGGAAATACCATTGCTGGAAGGTGATTTTACAATGCCGTTGTGCATGGCAAAAAGATTCTAGAAGATAGAAAACCTCACTGTGGAGGACTGCCATTCATCCAGATGATCACAGTAGTATTTTAAGTTTCTGGTAGGTGATATGATGGAGATACCCAAGCTGGTATTAATCTAACAATTCCTCACAACACTCACCTTGATATATGCGGCAGACAGGGCACATCGAAGCAATATCTCGCCGCAGAGCCAATGGGTCGAATCTGTTAGAAAGTAATTGGTAATGGCATGGCGTAGTGTTGTAGCTTCTGTGGTGTGTAGTTCTAATTGGCAATGGCAATATAAGACCACTTGACGAATATAAATAACATTGATATAATCACATTTGTATACAGTAATGAAAGAGAATTACAATTTTAATAAAAGGTGCAACTGTTTATTTTAACTTGTTACAAGTTACTGCTAGTGACATGCAGCTAAAATAAGGGATAAGGGTCGAAATATGCCGAGCGTAATGTTGTATGTACGACAGAGTTATTTTATTAAGTTTTATTTGCAATACTGAACTGTAATTCACCACTTGCTCTTGCACAACTAGATCTCTTACTCAAATGGTTTGTAAATCTTGTATTCACTCGATATAACTCTGCAATAAGAAAGTATTAGTCAGCAGTTACAAGATATCTAGTAAGAAAAACCTGTTATGAAGTCTGTTTTTATAACATATAGTGACGATACGTAATAGGTTCTTGATCGGAGTCGGATTGAAATCGGAGTTTGACAGTAAAAATAACAATATTTTACATGGGTACCTTTATTTCACTGAATAAGTAAACAATTGACTGAAAACGTAATAATGATTTGACACGTCTTCACTTATATTAGTTGTTACATACTTTCTAAGTTAAATTCATAACTACATATATATAAATCTATAACACGATATTTTAAAAAAATAAACATTAGCACTATTTAAAACTTATTAAATTACACAATGTATTATAAAATATTGCATTTAACTGCATTAAATACGAGTTAACAAGAGGATCCATGTTAAACACTCTACTGTAGAGAGAATATTGTTATTATCAAAATACAGAATTTTCTCACACATGTAAGGCAATGGGGGTTTATTGTTTGTTTATATTAATGAAATTACAACCTAATTGCTTTGATGTAAATAATGCTTTGTATATTTCAGCACCAATCTGCCATATATGTGAAATCTTCAAACATCTTGTGATCAGTGGCAGTAAGTGGGCGAGGCTCTTTAGGCGGTGTAAGCACCGCCGCCTCAGATGTGAATTCACTATCAAAGTTGCTCACATCCTCTAAATTATTTATTGTTGGCACAAAAGGTGGTTTCACTTTACGAAGTAATAACTGCTCCCAGTTTACATTTCGGAAAAATGCCTGCTTTTTCACATCTTCCGCATCTCTTTCTGATGAGCCTAGACGCCTTTCAGGATTTTTTCTTAACAGACGCCTCATCAAAGCGATCGCCTCAAGAGACAAAGTTCTTGGATAGCGGACTTCATCATTTACAATAGAATCGAACACTTCACCTTCATCTTCTCCAGGGAATGGTGATTCACCAACTAACATCTCGAAGATTAAAACACCAAGGCCCCACCAATCTACAGCTCGGGTATAGGAAGTTTCTGTTAGAACTTCCGGAGCAAGAAATTCTGGTGTACCACAAAACGTACCAGTACGGTCTCCCCACCCCATACCTTCTTTGCAAAGACCGAAGTCAGCGATTTTAACATAACCCTCTGTATCTAAAAGTAAATTATCTAGTTTTAAATCTCTATAAATAATGTTGTTCTCATGTAAATACTGTAGGCCTAATACTACACAAGCTGCATAAAATACTGCCCTAGGTTCTGTGAACACGTCGGCATGTATGTGCATCATAAGGTCACCACCTGCAGCATACTCCATAACGAAGCATACATGCTGTTCTGTTTGGAAACATGCAAACAGATTCACTAAGAATGGATGCCTGATTGTATTAGCTACTTCAAAAATTCTTTTTTCTGATAATAATGAATCTACTTCATCTCGCGCTATAATATCACCTTTTTTTAAAGCTTTTATTGCAAAATATTCATTAGTTGGTTTGTACTGAGCTAAAATTACTTTACCAAAATGCCCTCTCCCTAATACACTTAACAATCTAAAGCTGCTCATGGACATGTCGCCTGACTGCCTTCTAGAATCCTGTCCTTTATTCATAGTTTCTATTACTGAAGATGAACGGGATGATGATATTCTCATGTTACTAGTGACCTCTACTATTTGGTCTTCATTACTTGGAAATTCAAGAACTAATTTAGGTGATGGAGAGGGTGGATACTCAACCAATGGTGTATCACATTGGCTTTGGGGATCTTTTGTGACATAATTTTCCCTAGTGTATGAATCTTCTAAAAATGCAAATGCTTCTTGAAGTTCTTTTTCCATACGAAGGGTTGATACATTGGGGGGTGGCTGCAAAGGTAGAGTTGGTTTTGGTGGTGCAGTAGCTAACAGTTGTGGTGTGGTTGGGGAGGAAGGTAGATCAAGGGGCCTGACTCCAGCCATTCCACCAAGAGTAGTGTTAGGATTTTCCATTTCTCTGTGGTCAAGAGCATTAGAATCAAAGCTGGATTGCTGTTGAGTAATATGAGCACTTTGGATGTTTTGTATTGATGGTGAAGATCGTTTCAGTAGTCTACCAAGTACAACAGCAGGAATATGCATTTCACCGTATGATGTTCTTGGGATATTTTTCCCTTGTTGTTTAAATATTTTTTTCTGTCTTTGAAGTTTTGGTTTTCTGGATATGATAGGATTCAAAAATTTAATCTCAGCAAATAATACACCTCTTGGTTCAAGTTCCAGGGCCATACCGTGTCGTATATCATCAATGAATTCTTCCAATCTTAAAAACTTTATAGCACATAGTCCTCTCCAATCTTTCCAATGTATACCAATTTCAAGTTCTCTTGATTTGTCTAACTTGATTGTAAACCTGCAAGTAAACAGATATAAATATAATATACAAATGTTATAAAATATATACAAATTTCGAATTTTTCTCCAGTTCATACTATGTGTAACAGCATAGCTGTTAGCCTAGTTTGTCCTAGTAATACCTTATATTTTCCTATCAAACTTCATTAAAATTTTGAGTCATATGTTTAGTTATTCCAGAGAAGAGTAATACTTCACATATATATATATATATATATATAATGAAAGCTATAAAACTAGCATTTTTTTTATAGGTATATTATTAAAATTCTTTCATTAAAAGGTAAATCTTCTGTCTGTGTACTAAAAATGACTATGTCATATATCATATGGCTGTATGATATCTGACAGTCATTTTTAGGTCACACAAGACAAATCTTGCCTTATCCTACTTTATGGTTCAAATTACAATTCACATAAAATGAACCTATTAGAATTAGGTAGTAAAATAAATAATTTTGGAAACTATAATAATCTAGTCCACAATAATTATTCAAACTTCACTTAAAATGTTTAAAAATATCTGTCTTCTGGCATTGCCATTGAAAACAGTTAAAATCTATTTTGGTACCATATTTTATTCAAAACTATATAGTAGTTTTTCATGGATGAGGAATAACCATCCAAATGGATGTTTATTCCTCATACTATAAAGGTTATAGTTTAGGAGCATAGACAGATGTCTATGCTCCTAAACTTTAACCTTTATAGTATTATTAGGTTAATACTATTATGTAGTAACTTTATACAAAGGTACAGCCTGCAATATCATTGTTGATAGATACAAAGCATTATTAAAGCCATATTGAGCAATTACTAATTATAAAGGATGATTTTAGAAGAACTATGAGTTTCATTATTATGTTAAAAAAAAGAATGTGCAACATATTTTCCTTTCATCATACTAAAAAAACATAATTTGAACTTCCTTACATAGAATATGTTTAAAAATAGCTTAGTCACAGTACAAATATGTACTTATTTATGTAGACTAGATAAGATATTATGAGTAATAGGAAAATATCATCAAGATTATATTGTCAAGAGGCAGAAATATAAGTGATAAGAGCAATTAACATTTTGATGATGAAGTCAGTTATATAATTTTAAAACTTATTTAAATGTAAAATAATTAGCATTATTTAAATAAATACAAAAATAGAGATTTGTTCTAATACATCTACACTTATTTAAGTAGATGCCAAGAGGATTATTATTTTAATTAATTTATAATAAATTATACCAACCTTTGGTCCCAAGCTTGTTGTGAACATGGTCTCCAGCTGGTTTGAGCAACTGAGTGATTGTCTAACTTTAAAACTGCCATGATTTCATTACTTGTGTCTTCCTTGATACTGTATGTATACTTCATAGAGTTACGAATTGTCACACCTTTAACAAATGACTTCAAATCTGAAGGGCTGGCTAAAGGGTCACGCCGACTGCGCCCAGGTACATCCTCTAACAAATCTTGGCAACCCATGAGTCGTACCTCCAATGTCCCTGTTACTTGTACACATGGGCTGATCATAGGAGCTGGTGATAGAAATTGAGCTCTAGATACATTACTGCCCGATAGGCTAACATATCCTGTGCTTGATCCCGTAGTACGCAACTCATGCCCAAGTTCAATAAATGCAGGACTCTCTGATGGCAGCTCCTGCCTGCGCATATCTAATGAAATACGTAATAATTCCAGTTTCTGGGAAGATTCTAAAAGGCTCATCTGGGCTTCTTGCAATGCCTTCTTGTCAGTGACTTTTTTATCACTTTGTAAGAGTCTTATAGCATTTTTTGAGCCTTCAACAACAGCTGCTTCAATTCTGAGTCTATTTCGTAATTCTGCAATTCTTTCATCAAGCAGAGCATCAACACCACTTACATCTGCACTCCTACCATCACCGTTTGCACCAGCGCTGTCACCTTTCTGTTGTTTACTAAGTTTGGATATGCGCAACTTTAAATACTCTATCTTATCTTTTGAATCAGCAAGCATTTGATGAGCTTCTGCAAGAAGTTTCTTATCCCGAGACTGGTTACTACTGCTAATGCTTTGTATCATGTTTTCAGCACCTTGTTTTACCTTCTGTTCAATATTTAGCTGCTTTTCCAGAGATGCCAGTTTTCGATCAGTTGTGCCTTCACCTAGTTGCCGCTGCTGTTGCGCCGCTTCGGAAGCCAGGATAATCTCTTCATCATAGGACAAATCTTCTGGCGAAGTAGGAGTAGACTGACCGCGTGACAACAATAGTTGCGACTCTAATTCTTGTAGATCTGACTTTAATTCGTTTAGTTTTATGTTTGCTTTCTTCACAATATTTGCTACATCTGAGAGAGATCTTCGATCAGTTGCTACTTCACGCAGTTTCTCAGCACCTTCTTTTATTTTGAGTTCCTTACGTATCTCCCTACGTATAACATCCTTGAGCTCCTCCAACTTAGACGGTAAAGCTATTTCTGGAATACACTCAGTCTTTATTCCATACTTGACACCCAGATCGTGTAAAACAGGGTAACGAATATCGCTGTGGTAATATCCTGGGTCTGCCATAATTGAGGATGCACAGCCCGTACGTCAGTTAACCATAATTATGTGGGAAATATCACTACTATTGCTTAAAAATCACAAAACGTAGGTTGTAAGGCATTTATTATTACGTTCAGTATTTGGCAATATACACGATATCATTATTATATATGTAAAATTTAAACATAGTTAATAAAATTATATCACAAAACAAAACAATTTATACAAGTTGGTCGATGAACGAAACCAACAAACGAACGAGAAAAAACTAGCATTAAAATTAAAATGTATATAGATACCATAGACCAGGGTTACCAGATGTTGACATATTGAAAACGCTTTATACTAGAATTGAAACAGGCCAAATTTTTCAAATCTAGAGTTTTAGTAGTCGTTAGGTCGCCATTAGTAATTTAAATCACTAAAATTGTTGGTTTTTAATATCAACATACAATAAATAGATTAAATATAAATATCAAAGACTGTGTCTCTTATATTATACTGTATGTAAAACGGAAATATATTTAGTGATTTATGTTAAAAATTCACATCGCCATAAACGTAATATTTTGCTTGATAAGTCCCAACTACAGGGATTACAGGTATCACACAGTTAAACTGTTCACTACAAAGTCAAATAGCCAAATAGGCAAGAAATTACCCAATATGGCAATACTGACCATAGACACAAGTGCACAGTAATTATACACAGACCGCCACATTTCCACAGAATAGATAGGCGGAAGCCGTATATTATGTTACTTCAATTTTTGATGAGGCCCAGTTAAGGAATTTATATAATACTGGTCGCGTATTCATATTCTTTTTACCCCATGTCACGTTTTAGTGATGAAATCAATCTTAAAGTGTACTTTTAGTAAGAACTGTTCAAGCGTTAAAAAAAAACAAACAGGCAAACAAATTTTTTCATTGTTAATATTTTTATTAACTACATAGGTACACAGTACACACTGTTTTCCATGTTTTTGTATTTCAAATACTAATTAATAACTACATACATATAACTAATTATTAACTAACTATAGAGGATTTTTTCCGATATATACAAAATAAATTAATACAGACAAACAAACATTAATACTATCAGAATGTAAATTTAATAAAATTGTACATTAAATTAAAAAATATAGTATAAAAGAAATTTGAACAAAAATTTTTAAGCCCGTGTTTTGTACACTGTCAATCACTTTGCACTATGCTGTATCTACAGAGTACTTAATTCTAAAATCTCTGCTTCAAGTCAGTCATTCAATTCAATAACGTTTTACAATACAAAAGACAGGTCACAATTTTAATGGAAAAATAATGCCAGTTAAAGTTGATATTACTCCACCACCTCCAGCTAATTCTAAACAGCCCGGGGTGACAAAGTCTCTGCTCTATAACGGTTCTAAATTTCAAGGGCATCAAAAAAGTAAAGGAAACTCATATGAAGTGGAAGTGGTTTTGCAGGTTAGTAATGAAAACAAAATAATACGCAGTAATAAAGTTTTATTGCTCTATTTATTTATAAACCGACATATTCTAGACGAAGATAACATTTCTATGTATTTTTTATATTAATATATATATATTTATCAATCAAAGAAAACCAACCATATCTTGTCAATGTGATAACATGTTCTTTATTTCTTACGTGATCTGTTGCATAAATTTTAATTTGCTTTACAGCATGTAGACGAAGAAAATTCATATTTATGTGGATATTTAAAGATAAAAGGTTTAACGGAGGAATTTCCAACACTTACAACGTTTTTTGATGGAGAAATCATATCTGCCAAATATCCCTTTCTAACAAGAAAATGGGACGCTGATGAGGATGTTGATAGAAAACACTGGGTGAGAAAGTTTATATAATTTTATTTATACAAATACACAAAGGCACAACAATTTCATTTTTAGTAGGAAATTCTCCAAAAATACTAGTTTATATACTTTAAATACAAACCAAAATCTTTTCATTTATTCATTTTATTATTTTTACTAGTTTAAATATATTTTTTAATTTTTAATATGACACGGTGCTGGTGTTTGTGTATAATAGTATGGTTTTATACACTAACAAGTGGATATGAATTGGATTAAAACTGTCCCATAGGCGTAAAATGTTGCATTATTACAGTGTAAATAATTATGTAGGTAAAACTTGGATACCATTGTAAACTAATGTATCTTTTTTTCCATTTTGGTCTATCAATGTGGCACTTTAGTTTGCAGAAATGGTTGCCACAGAACTCAGAATTGTTAAGATGCTATTCTGTATTACAATTGAAGTAAGAACAGTGATAATTACACAATGCTTAGTCCACATAAGTGATATTGGCAACATTTTTCCCTGGTATATGATTTAAGAACCTGTACATGCTCATAAATTACTATATGAGGAAAGTGCTTCTGTTTGGCGCTTACAAATATTCTTGAAATCATGAACTGTATAATTAATGTGATTATAACTATCACTAAATTCTAATTACAGAGCAAGTTTGACTTGTTTGTGCCCTACTTGAAGACATTCAACTCAGATTCATTTGATTATGAGTCTCTTGCCAAGGCTGATTATGTATTTATGAGGTGGAAGGAACATTTTTTAGTTCCTGACCACACAATAAAGGATATAAATGGTGCTTCATTTGCCGGTTTCTATTATATATGCTTCCACAAATCTGCAGCTACTATAGAAGGATATTACTATCATCGAAGTTCTGAGTGGTAAGCCTGTTTTATGATATATCAAACAATCCCAGCTTTTGTCCTATGATTCACTTGTCTATGATACATAGCTATTATTTTTAATCAGTTTTGATATGCCTCAGGAACTGATGTTATGCTAATATATTTTGATTGGAAAGATTTTTTATAAATAATGTGCTACTTATTGATCTAAAATCTAATATTTTTATATTCTGTGATACATTTTCTGATAAAATTTATATACTTACTATTTATCACTATTGCATCTTAAATATCCTTATAGTTATATGAATGTATGGGAATATTGTAGGTGTAGATATAGTGGGAAATATGAAATTTAGGAGATTTTAAGAATTTGCTTTTGTGGCCTTGCCTGAGCGAGAACTCTATTATTTTTTTAACCCTTTCTTGTCACTTTTATCTGACTAAACTCTGCATACAATATAATTTGGCATGCTACTGGTTATTTCAATCATTCAATTGAGATTATGCATTCCCTCTATATAAAATATATATAATAAGATAATAGCGAGGTACTCTGTAATTTACTATTATTTATTTATTAATTATTAGATAATGCATGAAAGCCAAACCTTAATATAACACTGTAAATTGATCATAACTCAATTGAGTAGACATGTAGGTTCCTCTAAAAATTTTGAAGCTGCTAGATATGTAAAATATGTTATTTACATCTATTTTCAGGTATCAATCATTGACTTTAAGCCATGTCCCAGAACACAGCATCCAAATTTATGAGTTCAGATGAAATAACTACGTGAAAATGTTGACATTTCAATTGGTATTTGTGTCCGCTAGTACTTACTTGTTCATTAAGTCTTCAGCCAAAAGACAAAATGATTATGAATGTTAAGTTTCTTTCTGTAATGTAAGCAAAAGATGTCAGGGTCAGGGCTAAACTTAGAACAGATTTCACTCGGAACAAAACCACCCAGTAATAATTTGTTATGCAATTTCTGTTTATGAAAGACATCACCTCAAACTGTTCTTGCATATACTTTAATTCTCTATAGCGTTTTGTATTTTGTAGATAATGTATGTTATAGGAAAGTGAAATACTCTATAATGTCATGTGCTTGTGTTTGAATGTATTGGCTGCGTACATTATGTATAAGTTTCTCAATAATACTGTAAGTATTCTTATTATTGTGATATTTTGTACAAATTACTGTGTATAATAAGTATAGGTTTTGTTTCTATTTTAATTTACGCATCCTTTATTGTGAATTTAATATTAAAGTTACCTCAAGTGCTGCGAATTGAACAAAGTATGTGCAAGTACAGAGTATCCTGATTACTCGAAAAAGTCATAATTATCGATAAACTTGTAGGAATTATTAATTCAAACAATGTTATTGATGAATTTGAATATTTTTTTTCAATAAAATGTCTTACACGCCATTTGTCTATTATTTTAATTGTTAGATTCATATAGGAAACATTACAATAAAATATAGTGCTTATTAATTTGATGTAGATTTAATTTAACATTTATATTTACAATAAAATACTGACATTTATCATTTAATAATGTTGATTTATTATTATTTGTAAATAAGAGAAATTTTAAAACATTAATATTGAGTATAATGTAATTGCAATTTTATATAAGGTTGATTTCTTTTATACAATCTATATCAATTTCTTATAATATTTGTACAAGTTGTTTAATATTTGTAATAATATAGCAGTTAATGAAGTGTATAGGTAGTACTATAAAATTTGTTCTAAATTGAGACAAATTTTAACAAGGAATCTCTAGAAAATACCACACTTTAGTCAAGTTACTGATATTATTACTAACATATATAATAAAATAAATCAACTGTTTATTAAGGCATATTAACATACATCAAGCACTGGTTTAGAATTAATAGCACTTTGATAAAATTTGTATATCACCTACGATAACTAAATGATGACTTTAATAACTCATTCATAATCTAAAAAAACTATGTATATTATAAGTCCCCTTAGCATCTGCTAATGTTCCAATATGAAGCAATGCGTTTTTGATTGGGATATCATTACAATTTGTTTTTATTTAGTTTCTTAGATGGCTTACACATCGATATTTTGTGAATTATAAAAATACATTTACTTATTGTATCTAAATACTCTAAACATTTCATAGTACTGCTTACTTTATAAAAATTAAACACTTAAACTAAGCTTTGGTGGGATCGTTATTTATGTGTAATAAATAGTTCGGTAGCATTCAAGGTATAGTAAAAAGGAGAAGGTAATGGTAAAGTTATACAGTACCTATATAACTTTTTCTACAATGAATACCTTGAATTATTGATAACTTTTCATCTTTTTCAATTATATTTTCAATAAGTCATGTTCAAGGATTATTACTTAAACATATATATATATATTTTGCATTTTGACACAGGATTAGACCCAGCAAATTGGCAGTAGGTTGCCATTTTAAGCCCAAAAAATCTATTCAAATAATAATGTCTATTAACCATTATCGTAATTAAAATATGAATTTTGTATGCCAGTGCCATTACGACGTAGACATCAAATTAGTTTTCTAGATAATATTAGATATACAGGAAAATAATTTCGGTTATAATTTGTACTTGATATTTTCGCACATCCCTCAGTACTGTACTTATGATTAACAAGTTTATCCTTCAGAATGACCCAGTCTATTGTTGCAGTTCTTCAATATTCTAAACCAATCCTGCCAAAACCTACTTTACCTTGCATACCCTCATGTCATCTGTTATAGTCAATATCATGCGACATGCAATACACGATAATATTCATCCGAATGTAATTATTTTTATATATAGTGAGTAGTTCTTTCGATTTAAACAAACTTTAGGTGGGCTTGAAGTGTCCGAAATTACATTTGGTTATTTTGAACTAATAATACAAAGAATTATGTACAAACTATATCTACGCACAATTGAATACAAGTATAATTATGTGTTAACAGATGCAAGTATAAAGGTAAATCATTATAAAAATGATTATACAATATAATTCGGCAGACCAGTGCCAATTTTTAGAACATTATACTTTTTTAAATAATAGTTACATACAACATCTAGATTCACAACGAAAATATTATTAAAATATACATCGAATAAACATAAATTAGTAATATTTAATACAACAATTTACATAATACAAAACAACGGCAATATTACTAAGTATATATAGCAAAATAAAACACTTAAAATAACAAGAATTATTTACAAGAAATTAAAACAGTTAACAAACGTTTAATTTAACTATGACTCTAATATTTGGCTTTGAAATAAATAGGCTAATATATTGAAAGCTATGGACAGAAATGAAAAGTAGGTAGATAAGAAAAATAAGTACAAATAGCTCTTATACATTTCTGAAACTAAACCTAATTGCTATTAGTTGAAAGCTTAATTAGCTGTAAAGCTTTTACATGCTATATTCATTATTTCCCATAGCTTCCATTATACGTCGTCGGGTAACATCGAATTGTCTAGTAATGAAGAAATGTAGCTATCTTTTTGATGTGCCTTCACTGCTAAACCAATGCCTTAACCCAAGTAAGCTGTACAGATCCTGATTATTGGCGTGAGGTTGTATTGGAGTTGCATGGCGTTGGGTCACCATATGGGGATAAAACTGAAGTGGACCAACTCGAGCATCTTGTCCAACGTACAGACCACTATTGCCTACATAGTAACCACGAGGTTTAAAGTAGTGCGGATAAGAATGGTGATGGCGTCGTGGATTTTCGTGAATATTATAGACTCCCCCGACCTGAGTACGACCCGGCCAGTAATCTTGCAAGTGCCGGAAAGGATAGTTTGGAGGCGGGGTTGGTGAATGTTGGCCTACCCACGGATATCGGTAATACGGTTCATTTTTAGAAACAGTAGCATGGAGAGGCAACTTATCTTTGTGAATTACTTTAGACGGTACATGTGCTTGTGCGGTGTCTTTTAATGTGTCTAGTTTCGGTCGGTTACGGCGATGTTGCAGTTTCGTACGTGTGCCCAAAATGCTATCATCTTTTATAGCGTATTTCTTTTGGTTCTTAAAGAAATTATCATCCGTTGTAACTTCAGCATAACGACTTATAAGTTTAATCGTTTCTCCAATGTCCGAGTAATCATTCTCCGGGTTAAGTTTAGTTCCTTCTAAGTCTGTTTTCAGTTCTTGGTTAGTTGTATTTGTATTATCGTTGTCATTAACTATTAATGTTTTATTATGTATCGTCGATTCTTCCCTATTCTGCGTCTGTTGATTTCCATTCTCTATACCGTAGAGAACAGGATCTACATTGACGTGTCCATAAACTAATTCTTTTTGTCCTTCCTCGTTGGTGTTGTTTGTTTGAGTTGAGTTATCGAGAGGACTGTCCCGCTTAGGTTTATCTGCGAGAGCTAATAGATTATTCATTACATTATGATTCAATACGTCAGTCCCATCAGCAGTAGCCGAGTTGTTTTGTGAATGTTGAAGTTTTAATAGTTCTAATTCTGCTTCTATACTTATTTCACCATTGGTAGTATTATTCTTTTTATCGATTTTTACATAGCTTGGTTGTAGATCTTGAGCCTGCAATAAAAGAAAGGATAAATGTTTATACAATATGATATGATATGTCCAAAAAATAAGAGATCACTTTGTACTTAGATATTAAAGAATCAAAACATTAAAATATAAGTATTAAAGTATGTTATCATTCCTAATTCTTCAATATCATTCTTTTCAGTAATAAAGTAATTATAAAAAATATTACGAAATATAATTGATTCATAATCTCTTCACCACTTTTCTTTATGTGATTGGAATGGAATATGCAAACCAGTGTGATAGTAATTGGTAACTGTCGCCTATACACCTACATAAACAGCACTACGGACATTTTCTATAACTCTAAAGCACGTAATACAGAGGTAAAAGTGCATATGGCGGACTTTCAATATTAATGCAGAAAATTCAGAAAACGCGTTTTCTAATTTCATTGCATTTCATCTCGACTATTCAACCGAAACAGCTTACAAAGCAAGACGCTGGGCGATTGAAATGTGTGAGACTGAGGTACCCACCCAAACGCAGTGTATCAAAGCATCATGTATAATTAGCATATTACCTGTCCAGATGGCTCTTGACTCTGCAGTGGCGCTGCTTGGGGATCCAAACCGATGGGTATAGAGAGCTGCAGTGGGCCTGGCTCATCGTCGCCGTAGTCGTACAACACATCTCCGCTAGAACCCGAAGAAAATAGTGCGTTCAGTTGTTCAAGAAGAATTCGTTCATGTTCGTCTTTGTTTACGGTCATGACCTGCAATAATATTGATGTGATTAGATCAATGTAAGTCAAATATAGGTAGGTACCCACGTTTTTATACCCATGTCAGTGTTGTGACCACAGGTAAAAAATGTATCTTTTATTATTTTAATCTTTAAGGTATATTGTATTGTTTATGGATCTATATCTTGCAATAGTTTTATCGAGAATATGGAACAATATGATTTTTACATTGGCTGGATTCAAGGATTGGGATGTTGGATTCATTATAGCACAAGCTGAGCCAGCGACTTCGTACTCGTGGTGTTCGGAATAACAATTGTATATATTTATTTTGTGGTATAAATGAAATATTACATTTTAAGTAATGTACAATATAGGTACTTAGCACAAACATTGAGTACTTTTTGAGATTAGCATGCACAAACGGACAAATAGATATTAATTCTAACAATCATGGTTTTGGGTTTGATTTTGTTGTTCCTGAATAATATTTTTTCTCGTATGTCATTCGCAGATAGCGAGCAATTACATTTTTGTTATACCTATGTTTACTATAACATACGTCGCTGCAAAGTGAAAGGGGTTATTTTACCTGAACACAGCCATTGCGATCAAGCCGTTGTCCTTTCGGGCATACAAGAGGTGTGATGAACAGAGATTTGGTTATAATTCTCCTCGGCGGTGCATTCTGGTTTCCACTTTCTGGGCTTTGAAGCCAAGATCGCCAAGCAAGTTCTGCCGCTTTGCGGTCAAGGGTAAGAGGCGGCGAGCGGGTGGTAGCTACAGATCTTGTTTCTTCATGATCAAGATTAACTTCATCAATTGTGGTATGGGTATCTTCAGTTATTGAGATAGTTGTTGATTCGCTTTCGGGCTGAAGTGTTGTGGAAGCGACGGTCACCGGCTCGGACGCCTCCACTGCTGCCGCGACGTCCGCTTTCACCAGTGCACACGACACCAGCAGTAACGTCCACGTGTACCACATCGCAAACACCTAGAAAAATAAAAAAAAATACCATTATATATTATGATGTATACATATCGGCCAATGGCCTCAATGGTCTAGCGATTTATCACACTGCCTTACTTCTGATTGTCGCGGGTTTGAATCCTCGCACATGTTTATAACATTTGGGTGTGTTTTTTTTTATTAATTTTGCAGTAATATATTTGTGGTAAGCTTAATTTAAAATTCAGTGTTTATTGTATACAATGATTTAATCTTAATAAAATGCAACGAAACTCTATTCGGTGTACCTACATTATAATTGTGGTTTTAAAGATATTTGAGAGAATACATCTATTTATCTATATTTTTGAAAGTATGACCTAAAAACCTTTATAAACCTGAAAACAATTACGTATAAGGATTATAATTAATCAAGTCTGTATTTTCAACTCCGAAATTATATAGTAGATGAGGATTATTTAATTCAATAAGATAGGTGATAGATTGCATTATATTGCTGTGATGTCAACTAGATCAAGGTTCGGCCTTATGAATAGTTCAATAGTTCGCAAGTACTGATGGTCTGCGTATTCAATGAGCCACTAAGTAGGTATCTACTACAAACGATGGCTATCCTATTATGTTACGCCTACTATTTGCTTTTTGATATATGCAGAGAATGTAAGAATTAGTTTGCGATTAATTTTTAAAAAGAAAAATATAACAATCATCGTGTAACTGACGTAAGGTTGTGCAAAAACGCAAAACAACGTATGTCATTATTAACAAACTTAAACATAATAAAACTAAGTACATGATCCAAATACCAGAAATGTCCGACCTTGAAGCCCTTTATCATACGAGAAAGTGAAAGCGCGATAATAATGGAGTAAGTAATCAAAGATTTGCCTTCACTTTTAAAGTGCATTAAATTATAGGCACATTTAAACCTAAGAACAAATTCCGATGTCATTACTGAAATTGTCCATGATAAGTCAAATTAAGATGTTTTAAACGAATGTGCTTGCATCTCTTTCTTATTGAATATTACGGAACGAGATAAGATGAGATGTCTGAAGTAGTTCTAACACAAACTGACAACGCATTGGAATGTAAATAAATCCTTATTAAGTGGAGTACAACTTATAAACGAGTTCGTAAGTAAATACGTGAAAGCGAAAGACGAAATTATACACATGACTGATGATGATAATGTAATGTGGACTTTTGTTTCTTTTAGTACAAACAAACACGTAGTTGTAGTGTTAAAAAATTTCTAAACAAATAGCTACTGTATCGTCAATTTGCATACCCTGTTGCACAGTAAAAAGGGAGTTCTGTTTTGTTACAAATGTATATCTGTCCTAATATACCGAAGGTTGTGAAATTGTAAGAAATACATAAAGTAATAAATATTATAGAAAGTATAATAAGCACTAACAAGGTTTCAAATCAATTAAGTTTCCAGCTCCACCGATGGAAAATGGGGGTAGTCACCTGTAGAAATAAAATAATGTAGAAATTGCAGGTATAAGTAAGCTGGCTGGCTGTCTCTTCGTATACATATATTGCCTGCTTGTCTTGGGGACTAGGGTTTTATAGCTCTAGTGTTTTGGCGCCTTATGTGTGATAGAGATTTCACTGTATTGGGTATCGAAATAGTACGATGTTTTACTAATTGGATGTATAATAGACCACTTCCTTGATCCTACATATATCAAGCATTATAATGTTCATATTAGTGAAATGTACATATATATGTAAGTATGTTTAATTACTTATAAAATTATTGGTCAATTTAGTCCATGAAAATTACGCAATAAATTATTATTTCCTTGTAAGCTAACGCTACTTTATCATTTCAAAGAATAATGATAATATCTATATAATTTTAAAGCTAATAAGGTTCTAATTACCCTAATATAATTTTTGCCCTATATTATATATTTATAATCGGTATATGTGTTGGGCATCAATACTTGAGTAAATAAATTAGTGCGCAAAACAAGGGCAGTGGCTGTTGACCCCGTCGCGATCTATCAGCGGCATCTGGCAATGATCTCGCATCAGGCGCAGGCGCCGCCACCGTAGAGCTCTGCGCTCGCGCACGCGGAAGCGCCTCGCGGGAATTGACCGTGTTTCAATGGGTGCTTGATTGGGGCTTAATTCAATACCGCAGTGTAAAAAGGATTAGAAAGTGGGATTCACGCTATGTCGTAAGTCGATCGGAATTCACACTTCGGAATTCATCATCCAATTAGATAATGGAGAAAGATTTATAGTTACTATGATAGGAGCGATCAAAGTGCATCACAAATCCTATTAGAGACTGCATTTGACCTAATGAGATCATACTGTTTACACAAAACAGAAACACGTGTGTACAATATGTATGTGTTATTATCGGCGCGTGCTAAATCCTCGAATGTTGAACCCTACCTTGACATGTATGCGGGAGCGAGACGCTATTGACTACGGAACAGAGGTGCGCCGACGCAGGGTTGCACATAAATAGCTTCCAGTCCTGTACTCGAGTGGAGCATTTCTAAGAATGTGCACTCTTATCAATTATGCAGTTAAATCTCTACTTAGACGTTAAGATTTACCGTAAAGTATTTTAATTGGCTAAGAATATACACAATTACAGATGCCTACACAATACCAAAGGACGCAGAGCACGGTCTTTTGACTTCAATACAAAACTTATTTTATGTTACTTGAGCTTACTTGTCAGCTCACCCGATAGTAAATATAGTGGCAAATAAATATATGTCAAATGTAGACCTCTGTCTACCAATAAAGAGCAAAATTTGCCAAGATGAAGAGGAAACATCACTACACATCTTCAGTGGTTGTACGCGCTACACAAAAATATATATAATGTACGTTACGTATGTTATAGTCAAGATTATATTACAAGTAATTTAAATTTCGGACCTTTTGCAAACTACATAATTTTCCTTAGTTACGAGCTTAATTGACAAGTAAGCGTCGGGTTCCCACTTTTGTGTATGTTTATTAAGTATTATATAACCTGTAGCATAAGATACAGACAAATTACTTGGTAATCCTTCAATTAGCTATCACGTGTGGGAATACCAAGGGACCTGACACAGTTAGGTAGGTACCTACTTCGGACGTTCATAACAGATTTCTATTCCAGCAAATTTTGAACGTGCTATAATTCTTAAATAAATCACAACCAAAATATTACCTTACATTACTAAACATTGCCTTATTTAACATTTTGGTTTTACAAGTTTAATTTTTGACATAGTTTCAAATAAATTGTTTTCGAATATTTGAGTATAAGGAATATCAAAGAATTAATTATAACATGATAAACGTACATGTCGAAACATTCTATAAGAAAGGTAGCGTTCTAAAATTTTAAACTAAATATAATAATATGTATTCTAAATTATTAAATGTGTATGCTTAGTTGATTGTCCTTAAATAAATAAATTATCTTAATCCGTTTTATTGTCAAAAACCAACTGTTCATTTTCTCTACGTTTTCATTCTCTCATACATGATAATGAATGTTAGTTCTAGTATTTAACATGAAAAAAGAAATTGCTAGTTTTTAATTGAAGAATGTAAAGAGGTGCAAAATGGTGCCATACAATATCATTGGATTGGAATTTGTTTCCAGACCGGCTGGTCAGTTACTATATTATACCTATGGGAAATGGGATCGTAGCAACTCCACAGATAAGCCTTGTTCCAGTGATAACATTTGCTGGTAATATTCCTTCATGTGACAGCTTTATAATTGAGTTTACAACTTTACGGAATGTTTTCCTAATACCTATAACTGATATAAAATTAACGGCTTCGGTGGTTTACTGCTTAAATACAGTGTCTTATTTCCAATGATCGCAGGTTTGATTCCTCGTACGGAAGATTTGTCTTGAGTATTTTTGTTTGTACAGTTCTTGGTGTATTTAAGAGTATATAATTATTTTTGTATTATTAAAATTTCTAGAGATAACAAGTAAACAAATATAAAATAACCTTTATATTAATTAGTAAGAGTGTAGGTACCTACTACGTTACCGTATAATACGTCTTCTCTTAATAGTAGGTATGTACGTGAAAGTGGAGTAAGCCAAGGAGGTGTATATGTATAAGAAATATCTATTTGCCATGGGTTCTTTTAGATAACTATCAGCAAAATATCGTCACTAATGATTTCTTAAAATGTGACTATTTAAAATACAGAACTCGTATTTCAGGCGACGCAAGTTATTTAAAGTACTGAATTATCAAATTCAATTTGAAATAGAGGGCTTTATCATCACACTCAACAGGTAAAACGTGGTAACCGCCACGTGTATTGTTGATGGCCATTAATGTTCATTGTATGGTAATGGCATTGATGGTTTGACTCGAGAAAGTGGTCGCCGCTAACTGGACGCGCACGATGTTGGACAAATTTGCATATTAGGTAATTGCTGGTGAGTTGGTGACTCGGTACGACAGGATGGCAATATTGAAGCGACACGCTAGCTGTCGACCTATTTTTTTAAATGTATTTTTTATTACTGTAAAGGGGAACGGTTGCCTAGAAAGTATTGAACGATACTGACACGAATGGCAGGAACTAGGAACATTATTTTTATTAGCTGATATGTTTTTATAATTTAATTTTTTTGCATGAACACGCAAGTGAAATAGTATAATGCAAAGTAAATGACACGTGTAGCCTGTAAATATATATATACAAACAACGTTGTATCTATATCAAATGGGAACTAAACAATTTATAATATAATTATATAATAGTTGGCTACTAACTAACATGGTACGTAGTGATAATATGGATATACCCAGGAAAGCATTAGATAAAATTTCGACACTTAAAAGTTTTAAATGAGGGAATAAAATCGAGTCAAGTGTTAAATTGTCACTGGCGATGGAGTTACGATTCTACCTACAAATACTAATGAGCATTGTCTTTCCCATGAGCTTTAATGATTGTGACAACCACAAACAAAGACATTTAGATACGGTTGCTCGTTACTGTAGCTACAGGACCATTGCGTTGTAATGCAACGAAATAGTTAATCGCTTTTCGTAAAGTTGTCTAAGGACCAATATAAATAATGAACAGAAAATTGTAAACATGATAAACTAAAAAATAAATACCCTTTCCATTTGACCAAACCTATACCAAAACGTACGAGTACGTGGAAAAACGTATTTTGTAATTAACAATTCTCCATTTTTACCTACATGACAGGTCCCTAAGGTATGTAAGTACTATGAACAACATTATGTTGTCATTAAATAATGAATATACCTATTAACAAGTAATATCAGAACACTAGTGGTTAAAACATGATTACTAATATTTAATAAAACTTATTAATTATTTACGTTGTCGAATGTTCCCACTAGGTATACTATTATGTGAATCAATTTGTTTTAAGCTTTATGCCGAAACAACGCTTAAGATACTCGTATTTTAAAAACAGCAAATATAAAACGGAATGTATATAAAGTATGTACCTAGTAAGAATTCGTGTATTCATACACTGTTTTGAGAAATATAAGGGTCATACAAAACATTACATACACTTAAATGTTCTGTTTCACAGAGTGCATTTGCCCTATATACTAACACTAATTATGTATGTTATTAATATACTATTTAATTCCATACAAATCAATTTCTCATTTATGGTTTTGTGCAAATGCCATTAGAGTTTATGTTTTCCTCTTATGCTAGGTCAATTGAGATAATATTAGAGTAAGTGATGTTCACAGATAATTGGACTACGTCATCACAAATGTGAAATCGGCTGTAAATTTTAGCTAATTATACGTATGTTTACGACGTTTGTGTGTTCAGTGGTATAAGTATCTATATCATTCATATTTTACTCTGAGTGTAGTGTAGCGTGGATCAAAGCTTCCACTTCAAAAATTATAGTTTGCCTACGTATACTTTTTACATAGCCAGCTGCGTGGTGGTGAGACAGAGAAGTCTCACTTATTTTACCCGACAAGGAGCTTGTTCACTAAAATATCTGTTACGGTTAAAGGGTGAGGAGATAAGGCAGAAAAATTATAAGGTTTGGAGGCATGACATCTTAGTCCTCAGGAATTGATACGTATGAATGGTACCACGAACGTATTATGATAAATAAGGTTCGTGTACACGTACATATATCGAAGACGGTTACCACAGAGCACTCAATAAGCGGACAGATATTTTACCATTCACTCATTCATTAAGTATTATTTTTATATTAATAAAAAAGATACTTAATTAATTTTTCGTAGCCTAACGTCTACTATATGCTATACTACCTCAAGGGGTGCAGCTACTGTGTAGTTAGGTACGCGACAGCTTCCATACATAGTTGAGTTTTGACCTTTGCAGGTGTACACCGCAGGTTTTTCACCGGTGGGCAAGTGTGCCGGTTGTGGCCGACCTACTCACTGAACGGGCAAATTGAGTATGTCTCGACATTTCACTATCAGATTTATGTATGTTCACTTTCTGCAAGTCCTATTACCTATATAAAAACGGAATTACAAAAGTAATTATGTACACAGATTCTAATGTAGTGGTAATATAAATCTCTATATGGCAATCTAATTTGAAGGGAGAATGTGAATTAGAGTAAATAGAACTCTTGATGTGCAACTTTTTAAGTATGCACATGAGATAATAGGAACTGTATACTGAAAACCAGAGGACTATCAGAATATAAAATTGACAAGTGCTTGTTATGTATCTTAGATATCTATTAACACAACAATAATAAACAATCCATGTAGTCTACAGTTTTACACAATGGTAAAGTAAGGAAAGAGGAAACACTAAATCCCATAGTTTGAAGTCTGACAGAATAAAGTGATCTCATAATATTAAATTATCGAGAATAACCACACCATACTAAATTAAATATAATAGTAGTAAATTGTGACTATATACTTTCTCTATTTTGAGATGATTAATTGATGTTTTAGAACGCTTCTAAGATAAGAAATGGTTAAGATTTACTAAGGACTTCATAAAAACTGAAATATTTATGTTTTGCGATTAAATATCAGATAATCTACTTAAATACACATAAAACATTTTAACTATCATAGTTTTATGTGAAAAAACTGGGAAAGTAAGATTGGGCGTTTCTTGGTAATATGTGATAGAGTGTCAGATAATAAGAGGAACATTTAATTGAAGAGATTCATACCGGAAGATTAGTTAGAATAATCAATGTATTTAATTCTCTTGAATGTTCACATCACAGTATCTAAATCTGATTGCTTTAAACTAACAAAAAATATCTTAAGTTCAGACTTTTACGTATTTTCTTATGACATCACATTCTCTCTCACATTAAATTTTAACAGTAGCCATAATATGTACAATATAATCATGTACTTACGAAAACAAATGCATCATATCAATGTCTAAAAACAATTAAAGAACAGGCGGACCTAATCGTATTGTGCGTAGTAGATATGTTCCGACACGCATTGAAGACACCCGGCACGGAACTCGAATTAGGTACCAACACGAATGTTTATTTATAAGAATAGCCCATTCATCTCCCTTTAACTTTCAGCTCGCTTAATTTTAGTGGGTACGACGTAAACAACGATGCGTAAATGTAATCACACTTTGACATCAATAACAATTCAAGTTATTGTTTATTTTTGATTTGTTTTTATTACAATAGTCTAAATTATTCTTGTAGGTAGGTATTTGTAAATATGTCAAGGTGTTATCAAGCAACGAGGCAAAATTGTTTGATTTGTAGGTCCTAATTACTTATCTTTGTTATTTGGCAGTTGGCAGTAAAGACGTTCTACAAATATAACACCATAGAAGAATCCTGACTTCGTAATTTTGTAGCAAACTCAAACCGGAAATGACCGTCGGGCCAGGATTTCTAAGGGTCGATATGATTCCTCGCTCCAATTCCCAAATACGTTTCTAAACGAATCAACGGACGTTGTGAATGAGCGTGCGAATACGAAATCGTATGCATCGTACCGAGACGGACGCGGCGTATCTTTATATTTTTGGAAGGGAAACAGACTTTGACGGAAGCGGGCGACGCGCCGCGCCGCGACAGATTTCGCCGGCGAATAATAATAAATCAGCCGTTTCATGGCCGCGAGAGTGCAAGCGTGCCCTGCACAATGAATATGCAGACGGTATCAGCATTTAAAGGTTACCTGAATCTTTGCGTAGGACTCGTTTAGCAATCTCTCGTGAAGTAAATGTTATTCACATAAACTAGTCGGTTTTCTTTTTTGTTCTTTTATGTAGGTGTGTCTAATTGGCTAAATGCCGATTGTAGCTGTCGGATGAATTACTTTAGTTTTTATTACCTTTTAATATAAAAGTTTTCTGTATGTATTTGTGTTGGGTAGTATAAAAAAGGAATGATTATTTACATAGTGCCCGATCTAGAAGTTATATCCCGTCCTACAATACTGTGTCAATTTTGTGACATAATTATGGGTATTAATTCATAATAGTGATTAATTAAATTAAGGGCACAAAAATAATTAAAAAAAAATGTAGAGAATAGAGAATAATAACAGATTCTGAATAGTTTTCAGCATAAATTTAATTTTGTTTGAGTAAGTATAAAATAAAACTGTAAATTACCTTGAGGAGAGCGCGTCGTCGTGCGCCGATCACATTATAACGGGCAGGATCTCTCGTCCGGCGCAACCCTGGAACCAGGAAACCATATCGTTAATTTAAAGTGTACAATAAATAAGAATTATTGAACCAGTCAAATAGTCCTTAACCCTATTTATGTGAGAAAGTGAAATGTGCTCTCGCTTACTGTTTGTAGTGTGACTAATAAAACCGAACTTTATTTTGATATTATACAGTGTGATGGTTTACGTCTGTATGTAATATTTATGTTTAAGTAAAGTAAAGTTTAAGTAATAAGTTAGTTAGTTAATATTTCGTATCAAAAGACTTGTAGTATTTTAATAACTAATTTAAGGATACCATTATTTATACTTATCATTATGCCGAGATAAATTTTGTATGTTGAATTTAAGATCCGACACTCATTTTTTAATTTTATTAAAAAATTCTTCCATTAAAGTTTCGAATGTATTTCAGGATACCTGTCCATATATTACTAAATTATTAGCTTGTAAAACTGTGTGCAGAACTACATAAAAAAATTTAACATTTTTTAATTTAGTTATATTTGTTTACTCATTCTAAGTAGTTAGGTAATTAATTAATTTAGGTTTTGTTTTATTACGTGCCAATAAGCGCAGTATCATATTAATTGTCGAGATGCGTGTGTTAATAACCTTCAAATAAAGTCGGCAACCAAACAATCGAGTTGGAATTGAGAGCATGATCTGTTGTGGTGTTGACACCTTTCATTGCACAATTTATTGTTTAATAACTAAACACATTCATTGCAATATTTCATAGCTATGTTAAATTCACACCATTTTAAAGTAGTCTAGTTACAATCTAATCTAGTGAGAATCTAATTAATCATTATAATTCAAGATGTAAGATATACAAATAATGACATGCTTACTATCAAAACATGTATATTAATATTTACTCCGTTTTCTTAAAAGATAGAAAAAATTACGTAATGTGCTCGCAAATTTTTTATAGCATAAAATCTCATGAACTGTTTGGAACATATCTAGTTAAATCGAAACACCTCACTGAACAAATACCCAGTCCATAGTAAATGGAATTCATACAAAGAACCCACCATTTTACATTTATAGATATTTAGGGAATAATAAAAGGAGTAACAAAATATTAGCATTTACAATGTATTAAGTTTAGTTTTAAAAAGACTATTTTTATTCATCATATCTTATTCATCCAGTAGTTATATTAGCTACTTTTGTAGTTCTATAAATTTAGTTGTAATGTGTTCTATATCAAATTATTTGCAGTAAACCAATTCAATACTGAAATTGAGAGACAACGGAAGCACGCTCCTGTCATGTTAGATTCAAGTTTTAGCGAAATGTAGACACGTCACTTGTTCACCGCAATGCCAACAATTGATGACTGACTATGAAATCTGGGAAATTTTGATTAAATTAGATTTTAGGTAAATAAGTAATTTATTCCATGGTAGGCACTGTATATGTCGGGTGAAAGTATGGTTCATAAAGTCGAGTAAGTTTGAGTCCTCGTCGTCGGTTTGGGTATCAAATATCACATTCATTGGTAATCGGTCACTTTCTTCCATTATGGCGGTAGCAAATTTGCCCACCTTTTAATAAGCGTCGTGCTGTAATCATCCATATACTTCGAAGGCACAAAAGCCTATAAATCAATTCCAAAAAAGTTATTGTTAACTGGAATGACAACCAAGTTGATGGGTCTCCTGATGGTAAGTAACATTAGGTTGGAATTATATATTTACGTTTCAAGGTAGGCGTAGGCGTATCTATTTAATTATCTAACTACTTAAAAATCTATACTTAACATTAATTGTACAACTAAGAACCTAAAATTATCTAATAGATTTAATAAATAAATGTGCCTATGAAGAAATAAGCTAAATTTCAAACAACGATGTATGTATATTACAAAATATAAATGAATATTCAGTACAAAGAGATTAGCCGTTAGTTAGTAGACAAAGAGAATGTCAATATTGGTTTGTATGGAGGTAAACATCGGACGGCTCGGGCGACCGGCTCCCGAGAATCCGGCTATATTCCGTTCTACACATTGTTAGCCCTCAATTGTTTCAGGAACAAAGACTTGTATTTTTAAAGTGTATGATAAACTATTAAACTACATTATCTTTATTTTCGATACACTTAATTATCATTTTTTGTTCCTGCTATACTACTATTTATATTATGATTTAATGGCATAATTAGTTAATTATATTGATTAGACTTTTAAGCAAAATAGACGTGAAATGAAGAAACATTCAGAACAAATGTTTACAGATATATGATTTATTTTTTATAACACAATAATATAATTAATTATAATTCTTTCCCAACTTATTTTAACGATTAATAAGACTAAAAATATTGTGCACTAAATATTGTTCAAAATACAGGTTTTACAGAAAAATATAATAAATTAATATTTCTTTTTAAATATACTTGTAACAATAACTTTGTCTTTACTCAGCGTTTACAGACCGATTCAAATTATTAGAAAAATTAGGTCATACTATATAATTGTGACTACATGAAATAAAATACATTGGACGAAATATCAATTGATAGCATTGAAATTTATAAAGGAACTGAACAAAAATGAAGATATGCTCTTAAAATAAAATTATGAAAAAAATAGTAATAATTAATTTATTGAATAATGAATTGCATTGTTAGGGTCGCTTGTTATGTCATACCTAAAATGATAGAACATGCAACTTTTGAATAGTGCCTACAGTAAATTTTCAGTACGGTACTGAGAGTGTAAAAATATTAGTTTCTGCAGCTATTTATACTCTCTACACAGTAGTAGTTGCTTATCATTTTAATGACTATGACACTTAAAGTCATTACGTATAATTGTTTAAAGCAAATAAATTTCTATTTCTATTAAGTATACAACTGTGTACCTGAGTTTCACTGGGAAAAAAAATCTAGAATTGTTTCTAATGATTCTGAGATACCTACTGTCTATGAGAACTAACTACGTATTGCAGTTGTAAATTATTTTCTATCACAGTTTATGCGACTTACTTAGCATGACTGTTAAAGGGCGGCTGAAATTCTTTAAGTACCTATCAGCGTGTAAAACGCCCCTAGTTTTACACTTTTGAACTCGACATTCGTCTCATGATTGTACAATAAATAATATTTCGCTCGCAGAATGTCAAAGGAATTGAGTAATAGTCGTACTTATATAGAACGTTTGAATTGCTCCCCGTGTATGTATTAAATTCATTTGAAGCAGAATTTTCTGCTTTGCGCACTACAAACGACAGCAAGACGGAAATGTGCGATCTAGAAATACAGAGCTAAGACTAAATATTATTCCGGTTTCGTGTTGAATAGTTTATTATTTTAAAGTGTTTATATAAACCGCGTCCTGCTGATATGAATAAATGTCCTTTTTATATTTTATTTTAATGTAGATACTAATTGCATTTTTATTTTCTTTTTTTTGAAGAAGTTCAGCTATTTGTTTTACACTAAAAGTACGCATCTAGAATTTTGACTTAATGCTGTTTTATACCAACAATCCGATAAGGTAACCAGTAGAACTATTTATATGGAATTATTTATCTGATATTGATCAAATCCATTTATTTATCTAATTAATTCTTTCATTGACTACGAAATTTGAATGAATATGTTACTAATATTATTCATTGTCATCGATTCAATACAAAGAAGCGGTAACTGAAAAGAATTTTGAGATTTGTTCTAATAACTAACGTATATGGTCGAACGTTATTATTATACTTACTGCTTACTATATTTGTGTCTCTTAGGACTCAGGAAGCAATAGCTGCTGCGTAACGAGATGACACATGTTTCAACTACTAAGAACAGTACGTACTAGGTATAATAATATGCTGTTGTACAGTGTTTATTATTACTTTTAATCACATTGTCAGTAAAGTATTTCTTTATTTGTAGTCAATTTAATAAAACAACTTAAGAACTTTTAATTTACTCTGTAACTTGTTGTAGCGGTTTTCCGATTTGGCCTTAATATTGCATAATTATAGTTTACATTAATGACTTTTGAAATTAAGTTGTGTAGGCAATAAGTTCTAGCCATTGCCAGTTGACGTTAATTAAAAGTCGAAAAAAACTAAGCTAAATATTGTAATATTGTATATCTATTTAATTATACCTTCTATGTGATGAATTTATTGTATGTAATATTTGCAATAGCTTTTAAAAATTAAAGTGTTTGCAATCGATTATGATGAAGTAACTTCTACATAAAAAATTTATTATTAAATGATAGATTGTTTTTCTCATTATAAAATGTATTAAACAAATAATCAATATTTTAATCAAAGTGATTTTATTGAATAATTGTTTTGACCATTGACATCACTCTTATTAAAAATTATTAAAATATTCTTACAACCTACTAGGCTAAATACTATGAAAGAAACTCAATTTAAGAAATTTGCTATTTGCCAATTGATCGTTGTTTAAAAAACAATTATTAATAACTGAATTCCGCTTTAACAGTATACTATAATTATTATCAGCTGTGAGTTGTGTAAACAAAACATACAAGCCGTTTGTTTCTGAACATTGTGTGTAAATTAATATCGATAGTAGTAAATGCGCAGTGCCTGCTAACGTTAGTGGTAGGCTACATACGTGTATGCGGATTATTGATGGAATTCTCATTATGACCAAAGACCCTATATTCATGAAATATGGAGTTTACTTAAATTGAATGATATCTATCTGTTTACTTAGAGTATTGGATGTCGTTAGTAGGTAATATGCCTTTCATGAGAGAATTAAAAAATTATCTTTTACTATTTGTTAGATAAATAATTACTATAACTATATAATTTAAAATTATAAACGTATAGTAGCTGTATAACTATCATGAATTTTATATCTTATTATTATTTTATGACCTAATAATAATATCTCTTAAATTAGGGAGTAATTATTTGAAATTTATTTTTATTCAAGTGAAATATGCATTGTACCTACTATTAGTAAAATTTTATTAGTTTAGCGTAATATTATCTTATCTATGGTTTAAC